ATGTATGTACTACTTTCCAGTATGTTCTTTTTTGACCAGGCCCGATTGGTGGTATTACATCTTAGGGGACGACCATTTGATATTCTGGGGGGGGGGGGGGGGGGGGGGGGGGGGGGGGGCAGGAGGATTTGTTTTGGATGGGTTATTTATTTTTGTAAACTAAGAGGACAGATTACTAGGACAGATTATCTATTTTCTGCACTATTGAAGCAAGATTTTTCATTTTCATTAAAGCAAGGGACTGATTATTTATTTTCACAACTATATTTATATATTCGAAAACATACAATTTTTAAATTATTTGTTTATTATAAATAATTCATGTATAGTCAAGTCATTATGTACCACTTAATCAGAATTAATTATTATCCTCTGCAGAAATGAATCTCCTATATCCCCCAATGCATATACATGTATTGCATACATACATACACAGTATTAAAGTTTGTTTGTAACTAAAACTCTTTTAAAAGTATTGGCAAACATATTTTGCCGAGCGGAGCGAGGCAAAAATTTTTTTGAAGGGTTTTTGAACCGCTGAAGGCCCAAGAAGCTGTAGAACAAATGATGCAAAATCATGCCTTCTGGGTGTTCCCCAGACCCTTTCTTAAACTGAAAATGCAAGTTCTGTTTTAATAATTTTATGACAATATTTTGGTCTCAAAGCAAAATCACGTTATAGATTCAGTGTAAGACTTAAGTTTCTAGGAACAACATCAAAAGACAAATATGCATGATAAAGCAAAAATGTAATTCACATAGTTAAGTCTGTGGCTGCTGTGTTTTTTTAAACTCAGTATCAAGTTAATAATAAAATTACTAAATTACAAAATGAATGCAACACTAACAGAATACAGAAGGGCAATCAAAGAACAAAAGACAAATAAACAAGAAACATTGATCCCGAAAAGTCAGGGGCTACGTCTGAGGGAGAACAGAACTTGCTTCTTGCAAGGCACTCACGGTGAACACAATTTGATATGGAGACAAGCGTTTGGTTTTGAAATTTCCTACATGAGGCATTTGTCTCAATGTAGTTACAGCCCTGATTTAATAAAAGTGAGGTAAGTGTTCCTGAGACAATTAACCTCAGGTTAAATGAAACCAGTTTTCTGACATTTCAATAGATATAAGAAGATGTGGTATGAATGCCAATGAGACAACTCTCCATCCAAGTCAAAATTTATAAAAGTAAACCATTATAGGTCACAGCAAGTATATTTAAATAATATTTATACTTTTATTATTAATTTAAAAGATATGGGAAGTGTTTCCCGATTTTTTTTTTGGAAAAAAGATGAATTTATGAAGAATCTGGTGCCATCTCATACTTTCGATTAGACCTGCTGAGTTATTTATTTTCAATACATTGCAAGTCAGGTAATTTATTTTCAAACTACCACAGAACAAACCATTTACTTTTGTGATTATCAAGGCGGAGTTATTTATTTTCAAAATCCTCCTGGCCCCCCTAGAATATCAAATGGTCGTCCCCTTACAAAGACTATCCAAATTATTTTTGCAAAGAATTCCGCTCCAGCCGGTGCTAGGGGCCGTCTTGAACTTGCAGTGAGGTGGGAGTTTTTTCTGCTTAGTGTTGAAGGCCTCACTGTGACTTTGAGATGAAGAACAGCAATAAAAGCGCTGTTCTCTGGAAGGGTAAGTAGTTCCTGCTCCACGTGTGGCACCTTATGTCACATTCAAGGAAAAGAAGGATTGTGGTACGACAATTGTAACACATCCCTGAAACAGATATTCCATAACAGTTAACCAACTTATGTCGTCCTTGGTAAAATTGTTGAAAGGATGATATCAACTTCATTACCTGCAACTCTTGGTTTAAAAACTTCATTGTAAGCAGCAAACCTCTATCAAGGAAATCATGATAGAAAATATTAAGTCATATAATTCGGCCCCTGAAAATCCAGAAATTATCAAAATTCTTAAACTATATGTTAGTTCTATTGACATATGAATAGGATGATAAAATATGAACATTTAACCATACATTTTTGCATAATGTCTTCAAAGTTCTTGCATTTTGTGTAAACATTGCCAAAAATGGCCTCATTTTGAGATCTTGTCGTTAATATTAAGTTATGAGCAAAAGCTTTATTGCAAAGGATAATTTGTTACAAGAAGTATATATCTCGTTTGGGTATGGCTTGGGCTCATATCTGCTTTGACCAAAAACTATGTGTAAAATGGCCATTTTCAGTCAAACCTGTCAGTTTTACATGTCTATAACGATTTAGCGACATTACAAGTTGAAATTGCACTAAATTGTCAAGATTATATCGGCCAGCTCATTCATCAGTAAAGTTAACATAATTTTTAAAGGCTAGAATAAATTTAATTCTTCTGCAATTTCAGCGCCAAATAATTGCTCTGATCATACCTTCTCCTTTAAGATAAAGTGGTCAGAAGCAAGCTGTAACATCTGAGCGTTATCTATCAATTGCTTAAAAATTCTAATAAACTGTTATCACAGAGATATGTCTCGCCTTTTTGTAATTTTGATAATGCAAATGTTGAAATTAAAATAGCAATACTTTAACATGTAAGTTATGCAAATATTCAAAGTCGATGAACCATGACTGAAAGTACATGGCTAAACAATCTCCATGGAATGAGATGTGCCAATGCTAATACAACTGCATACCAAATACCATTGACTCATTATAAGTTGTTCCCTTTAAACAAACCTAAACACAAACATTAACTTGTAAACTATGTAAAAGTTTCAAAGTCAATGAACCATGATCAAGGGTGGGGCTATATAATTTCCATAGAAACGATACTTGCAAATGCCAATAAATTTGCATACCAAATATCATTGACTTAATTAGCATTAGCAGTTCATCTTAAACTGATCTAATCACAAACTAATACATGTAAACTAAGCAAAAGTTTCAAAGTAAATAGACCATGACTGAGGGGGCAGGGCCAAATATTCTCCATGGAAATGAGATATGCCAATGCTTATACAAAGGCATACCAAATATCATTGACCTACCACTAGTGGTTCCCCATAAATTGACCTAATCACAAACTAATACATGTAAACTATGAAAAGTTTCAAAGTCAATAGACCTTGACTGAGGGGGCGGGGCCAAATAATCTCCATGGTAATGAGATGTGCCAATGCTAATACAACTGCATACCAAATATCATTGACCTACCACTAGTGGTTCACCATGAACTAGACCTAATCACAAACTAATACATTATTGATGCCGCCGCCGCCGGAAACAGCATACATATATCTCGCTTTTTGCAGTGGTGGATCCAGAGGGGGGGGGGGGGGTTCTGGGGGTTGGAACCCCCCCTTTTTTTTGGACGATCAATGCATTTGAATGGGGACATATAGTTGGAACCCCCCCTTTATCCTGGGTTGGGAACCCCCCCTTTTTAAAACGGCTGGATCCGCCCCTGTTTTGACTCCGTCAAGGCGAGACATTAAATGGATATTTTGCTTTTCAACTGTGTTGTACCCAGGCAAAAATCAATCTCAAATAAAATTGAGAATGGAAATGGAGAATATATGTCAAAGAGACAACAACCCGTCCAAAGAGCAGATAACAGCCAAAGGCCACCAATGGGTCTTCAACACAGCAAGAAAATTCCGCACCCAGATGTGGTCCTCAGCTTGCCCCTAAATAAAAATGTGTACTAGTTTAGTGAAAATGGACGTCATACTAAACTTCAAAACATATAAATGAACTAGAATTAAAAAAACATACAAGACTAACAAAGGCCAGAGGCTCCTGACTTGGGACAGGCGCAAAAATGCAGCGGGGTTAAACATGTTTTGTGAGATCTCAACCCTCCCCCTATACCTCTAGCCAATGTATAATAAAGAAACACACAGAAATACGCACAGTAAAACCCAGTTTAAAAGAAGTCGGAGTCCGATGTCAGAATTAAGGTAACAAAAGTAACTAAGCAAAATAACAATGATACATAAATTAACAAAGGACTACTAGCAGTTACTGACATGCCAGCTCCAGACCTCAATTAAACTGATTGAAAGATTATGTCTTCATCATATGAATATCAGACACAATCCCTCCTGTTAGGGGTTTAGTATTATACCGTCATAAAATATATGAGAAGAACATAACCCGTATCATGACAACAACTGGTTTTAGAATAAATGTGTTTATTTCCGATGCAAAGACCCTATAAGTGAATCAATATAATTTATTCCTATCGTCCTAGCTACTATTTTGTTTTTATCCTGTTATTCAACATTGGGGGTTAATTTAGATTTCAGTTTTTAATGTTGTTTTTGTTTTTTTTAATTAATGAAATATGTATTGCCTTGAAGTTGACTGTGAAGAAGACACAAAAACAAATTGTGACATAATCAATAATTAAGATAAAATTACTATACTCCTCCCTCATAACAGAAATAGAAAAGTAGTAGCTGACATTTGAACAATATACAAAAGTTTATTTCAACAGTATACAAATTAACATAGGACAAAGATTATTTGCTTGGTCTGTAATTTTCTATGTTGTGTTTTGTATACTGTTGCTTGTGTTTTGGTAATTTTTCGTATTTTGCCATGGCATTGTCTGTTTGTATTTGACTTACACAATGTATGAGTTTGACTATACCTTTAGAATCTTTTGCCTCTCTATTATTTGTATCTGAAAATGCTACTGGTTGGATACATATTGTCTTGCAATTGTGACACAATTTAATGTCTGAAGTCAATTACTGTAACTCCTTGAAAGCACAAGTTGAAATTGTCAAAAGCAAACTAGACCCAAAATTTTTTTTTTTTCAATCAATCAGGAATCATAACTCCTGAACTGGAAAAGTGAAAATTGTAAAGAAACAAAATATAAGATTTTGAAAGAAAAATAAAAAGTTAACACACAGTAAATGGTTTGGTGGCGCCCTTCCACCTGAATGCCACCTTTACTATCACAAATGAATCACCTGATTTTTTCTTTCGAAAAAACTATGATAGAAAAAAAAACAAAATTTAAAAAACATACTTTACTTCTGTCATTATTTACAGTACATTATACAGTAAAACTATTTACAACATATAAATATAATTGTCAAAATAAATTATTGCCCCTTGATGAGTTCCTGCATTTTTTTCCTGATCAGAATGCATTGTTTACATTTTCAACAGCTTTCTGGCAAAGAGGATCCAGCTCTCCATCACTTCCTAAAAAATTAAATGAGAGAATATTTTTTTTATTATTAATTGACCAAGGAATAGAAAAAGGGATATTTTGTTTTCAAAAGGATATTTTACCAATTGATGCTTATTTAAATTAATGTGGCAAATATATAAGAAACCAAAATAAAACATACGTGATGAAAAATTCACAAATTGTCCCAATAATAACTATTTCTAGACGTACCATTATTGCAATTACCATTATATAAGAGAGATATACCGTAAACCATCTAATTTTTACAAATCGTTTAAAGGGAAACTCCGCAAAAAAATGAAAAATTGATATTTTGTTCTTTAAGCATAAAAAACGTCATGTTCATAAATAAAAAACTTTTATTCTCTATGTAAAGAGATCAAAATCGATTTTTGAAATTCACTATCAGTTCTCGACATATCGCCATCTTGTCGGCATGTTCGATCTAAAAAGTCACGTGATATCTATAAACCACAAAGAACAAAAAGAATCGGGGATTTACTGACCGTGCGTTAAAAACTCCCATCATCAATTGGGGATTACCGTAGACGGTTATTCAGTGTCAAAATGTCTTGTCAAGCGTAAGGTTGTTCTGTCAGACAAAGTTATGACAAAAGTCTACATAGTTTTCCCAATCCCACAAAAAAAGAAAGAATTGTATCAGACATGGTTGTACAACCTTAAACTAACAGCAAATAGTTGCATCTATAGCAAGCACAAGTTGGTGTGTGAAGACCATTTTGAACAATATTGTTTCGAGGGAGATTCGATGGTAATTATCCTTTTTTAATAACAAAATAACCTAGCAGTTCTGATAGCTATAGTTATCAAATCCTTATATGATAAGATTTCGTTGAATAAAAAAAAAATATAGATTTGATGAGGAATAACAGTTTTAATTATAAGAAAGACAAATGCAGTGTTCTTGTAACAATCACTGATTTACAGAAGATTCATTAGTATGCCTCTTTTATATAAAGTGCATTGATTTGTATAAAGAATAGTTCCGTATTAAGACGAGATAATTTTTCAATTAATAAAGTTATACGATATAGAATAACATTTTTTTAATTATGATATTTAACGGCTATTGACAAGGAGCAATGTTAGGAAGAGGTTTAAGCTGGGACATAATATGTTGATATAGTATAATATTCCCAGGTTATAGATATGTAAATATGTAAATATCGGACATCTCAATTTTTTTTTATTAAAAGTGGTTTTCTTTAACTAATCTTTAAATTATATCAAATTGATACGGGATCAATTCGGAACGGTCACTTATAAAGACACTTAGCTTTACAGTTAAATGTGTGACTCTATCTGGTATGTTCGGTGAAAATTTTATAGGTTTTTTTTCTTTTTAAATTTTATTTACGTTATCTTATTATATATATATTTTGGCTTCCTCCCGAATTGATAATAGGTATGTCAGAATTATTGATAGATGTCGTGTCAGAGCGACACATTCAGTTAGGTATTCCAGGAACGTATATTAGATACACGTCCCTGGGTATTCCAGTGACATCCTGTCAACTAAAAATTCGTATTACACAATTATATAATACAGGTTCATGCATGGCCTCTTTATTGAGGTACCCGCTGTGCACAGGTAACATTTATTGAACCATATATTTGTGTCTAACGTTGTTTATCTTGTGTGTGTTTGAAATTATAATTCAACCTTTTAATGAATGATGTTCTGATAATAATATTATCCACTTTTTTTGCTGATAATAAGTTTAAAGAAAATTATAAACATGACCTTTGAACATTTTTGTGAAATGAATATTGTTTTGTCATGATTCTGGACCATATTTTTGAAAGAAAAAAATTCTTCACGCAAATACAAGCTTTTGTTGAATGGCAAACATGCAGATATTTAAAGTAATGCAGCACTTATAGTCACTATCAATATTAATTCATTGAAGATAAGAGAGCCCCTTCTATGTCTAATGTTCCTATCTTTATAAGGATTAGGACGACAGGGGAAAAAGGAGCGGAGATAGAGTGGCATAATGAAAAAAAATTACCGAATAGAGAACAATATAGAGAATGATCGACAAAAAGCGAAATAGTTATTGTAAAGGAGCGGAGATAAAGAGAGGCATAGTGAAAAAAAATGTTTGCTTGACAAATTAAGTTATTGCTCGCTTTGATATTTTTTAGTTATACAAAATCACACATCGTGTTCCTAATTGGTATTCACGTGCACTAACTTGATGCTGGGAACAGTATATTAATATATATGTTCCTGCTTGATGTGTTAGGTTTCTGCATAGCATGGTTAAAAATAATTAGTATCCCATTTGTTATATCGTAGTGTCACAGTGTTATTTTGTTAAATTTATTTAGTTTGTTAATGATTGTGTAAATAAGAATAAATCTGTATAAAAACTTCATACCATTTTAGTGATTGCCTATAGGCGTTTGATTATTGTTACATTTAAGATATATATATATATATATATATTTAGAACCGTTCATACATCTTAAAGTAAAAGATGTGTGTCTGAGTTAAACGACACAAGAACCCTGTAATACTAGTACGAGAGTAAAGCATGTAAAAATTCCTACTCAATATGGTTGTATTGGAAATCTTTTCATACAGATTGACAACTCATGGTCCGACATGCATGTAATATTTGCCACATGACGCTCATAGTTCTTTCTACCATCATCATTTTATTCATTAAATATTGCGGTAAACATCGATGGTTCACACCCAAACAAAATGGGAGTAATATACCTTCAGATCTTCTCCGTGGTATACACTTGTGAAATATATAGACGAAATTCGGTATTGAAGTAAATCTACATCTCACAAACACAATTTTTGAATTACGATTTTGAGTGAACACCCACCAAACCAATACAAACGTATGGCAAGATATAACCATGCAGGCATTTAGTTTTCGTCAGGCATAAGATAAATAATCACTCTCATAAACGTATATATGCATGCAGTTTCAAATATCAAGAACAAGTGGTCGATGTCTATAGATCATTGTTAAATCCGTTTACTAACTGTTCAGAGTCAGACATGTCAATAGTTCATTCTTGGAACCTACATATACCCCATCCGACGATGGGAACTCTTTCTGATAGTGTTGACAACATATAAGCTTGTTTATCTGTACAAGTGGTTGCATGGCCTCTCCTTCCCCAACAAACAAAAACGCTACTAGTCTGCTATCTCTGGAGCTCATCCTTAATGGCGCTTATACGTCAGGAAACTTACAAGTATACTAGTAAAGATTGTTTCAAGAACAACGAGGTTAGGACGAACTGTTCTAAAATCGTCAATATCAGTAATACATTACTAAGATATGTCTTTAATTACAACAACTGTATTACTAATTTGGATTAATGACGGCTATCCTAAAAATAATCCTCAAACAAATTAATGTATTAGCTTAGATTTATAATGTATGTATATTGCTTAATGAAATAAACGATAATTGGTATTCTTTTCACAAATAATTTGTGCAAGTGATTGTCAAATGAATTTAATTATGTAAGAATGAAATGTTAATAAGAAAATTAAAAAAATCATGCATGTTGTGCTGTTGTATTTTTTCAATTAACTTGAAACTTTAAAATTGCGATAGTTTTACGTTTGTTAGCATTTAAACATCGCCAGATTTAAATACAAGTTAAAGAATTCCGGTAAAGTAAATTAAACAGATGTGCAATGATTATTAATTGGGAATAATAACATTTAATTTTTAAGATTAAAAGTACTATTCTTTTAACTTCATATCTTAACTTTATGCTAATTGCATAGAACGTAACCGAAAATTGTTCCATTTTAATATTGTAACACTTCCGGAATTAAAAAGTTGAATGTTAATTTTCAATTAATTTATACAATTTAATTATTGTTTCTCTATTGTCATCGGGTATTTCATCTGGGTATATTAAACACGCTATACTCTTTCTGTTAATCCATTCAAAATGACAATATACACTCCTGTGTACGCTTGAATTCACACCTGTGTACGCCTGAGGCTAAATTGCTGCAAGGTAAAGTTCAAACGAATTCTCCTCAAATCGAGAAATAAACAATGACTTTACAAAATAATATACACACTCTGTTCACAAATATTTTGCATTGAAATGGTTATCAAAGTTATAACGGTAAATAAAACTTAAAATATTTTCAGTTCAATATCAGTAAAAATGTTCTATAGATATTTTATGAAAAAATCTCAATAATTTATGAAATTAATTCGAAAATATTTATATTTAGATAACTTCATATAGGAAGTTTTATTCAATCAATACAAAACGGTACACACATATTCATTTTCTTTCATTCTTGTATTGTGGTTATTAACTACGACCAACGGTCATCTATGCGCTTTTAATTACGTAAAATTCTGATAAGCAATTAAGACTTTAACAGATTTTATTTTTTCCCATGATTCAACAAATCGGGTTAAAACGTCACAACCCAGTGACGTAGGTCAACCAAAAAAGTTACAAATACTTGATTTTCTCCGTTATTAGAAAGAATATAAATTTAAAACTTTGTGAATGTGTTTTTTATGTTAAGATGAACATATTTAGATGATAAGTAAAAAATCGCGGACTTTCCCTTTAATGCTTTATTTACATGATTTTAGTAAGTAGATATATAATATGAATATTATAAATCATCTCAAATATAATGTCAAAATTGAATCTGTTATTATATGAAAACATCAACAAAATTCGAAAATCACTGAAATAAGTAAAATTAATCAAAAAAATAAATCGATTTATTGTATTTTGCTCATAAAAGCAGTCTTTAACATCCTTTAAGAGGGTAGCAAACACCTAAGGGAGTTAACTCTGTAAAAATCAGCTTAACATTCTAATAAGATATTAATAGTAGAAAGGAACCAAGCTTCTCAATGATCAACATCTGTGTTTGTCAAAATGCTATATATGCAATGAAATGATTCCTGTAAATTGTGTGGTTCAAATTTCTTGAAAATTTTTGTGAACAGTCCAAAGTAAATATTTTTTTTAAAATTTTATGAAAATTAAACGAGCCAATTACACTTTTAAATGAATATGAGCTTTTTTGTCCGTAAATATCATGTGCAAATTAAACTAGAGGCTCTTAAGAGCCTGTGTCGCTCACCTTGGTCTATGTGCATATTAAACAAAGGACACAGATGGATTCATGACAAAATTGTGTTTTGGTGATGGTGATGTGTTTGTAGATCTTACTTTACTGAACATTCTTGCTGCTTACAATTATCTCTATCTATAATGAACTTGGCCCAGTAGTTACAGTGGAAAATATTTTGCAAAAATTTACAAAAATTTACGAAATTTATGAAAATTGTAAAAAATTGACTATAAAGGGCAATAACTCCTTAAGGGGTCAATTGACAATTTTGTCATGTTGACTTATTTGTAGATCTTACTTTGCTGTACATTATTGCTGTTTACAGTTTATCTCTATCTATAATAATATTCAAGATAATAACCAAAAGCTGCAAAATTTTCTTAAAATTACAAATTCAGGGGCAGCAACCCAACAATGTATTGCCTGATTGGTCTGAAAATTTCAGGGCAGATAGATCTTGACCTAATGAACAATTTTATCCTTGTCAGATTTGCTCTAAATGCTTTGGTTTCAGAGATATGAGCCAAAAACTGCATTTTACCCTATGTACTATTTTTTAGCCATATCGGCCATCTTGGTTCGCGGGTGGGGTCATCGGACACATTTTTTAAACTAGATCTCCTAATGATGATTGTGGACAAGTTTGGTTAAATTTGTCTTAGTAGTTTCGATGGAGAAGATTTTGTAAAAGATTACAAAAATTTACGAAAAATGGTTAAAAATTGACTATAAAGGGCAATAACTCCTTAAGGGGTCAACTGACCATTTGGTCAAGTTGACTTATTTGTAGATCTTACTTTGCTGAACATTATTGTTGTTTACAGTTTATCTCTATTTATAATAATATTCAAGATAATAACCAAAAACGGCAAAATTTCCTTAAAATTACCAATTCAGGGGCAGCAACCCAACAACAGGTTGTCAGATTCATCTGAAAATTTCAGGGCAGATAGATCTTGACCTGATAAACAATTTTACCCCTGTCAGATTTGCTCTAAATGCTTTGGTTTCAGAGATATAAGCCAAAATCTACATTTTACCCCTATGTTCTATTTTTAGCCATGGCGGCCATCTTGGTTGGTTGGCCGGGTCACCAGACACATTTTTAAACTAGATATCCCAATGATGATTGTGGCCAAGTTTGGTCAAATTTGGCCCAGTAGTTTCAGAGGAGAAGATTTTTGTAAAAGTATAAGGACGACGGACGCCAAGTGATGAGAAAAGCTCACTTGGCCCTTTGGGCCAGGTGAGCTAAAAATGTTTATACCGAGATATTTACCATATTCTAAATCTTGAATTTTACAATCAAAGACTTTTTCGCCATTGACCCAGATTTCAACTTTGTTCCAGTCCTCTATCTCCTCTAGTTCTACTGTGTGTCCTTCTTTATGTAACATTGCTGTAATGGACAGGAAACACTAATGTAATTGTTGCTTACTTTATTTTACAAAAATTTAGAAAAATAAATTAAAAACCTGAATATTTGAGGATTTCTTTAAAAAAAAAAAGACTGATTCTATACTCTTTTAAGTTACATGATACAAGTATTTCTTCTTCATGCCAGGAAATGTTGATAATTTTGAAACTTGTAATTTGTCAAATATGCTTTATCTTGTTTACTTAATTTAAGAAAGAAATTATGATCAACTTTGATTAAACTTCACAGATGAGGTCCTTCAGCTATTACATGGAGTATTATTTGAAACATTTCACCAATACCTCCCCAAAATTATCACTACTTTATGTACATGTAAACAGGAGTGCAATTATACACATAATTCAGGGGGAATAATTCAAATGTAATGAAGAATAAAATTAAAGTATAACAATATAAAATAGAATCATTGAAATTTCTGTAACTTTAACAGCATACCAACTAGGGTTCATAAAACAATATTGTCATCACCCAAAATCACCAGTCATTTTGATTGACAGTGATTCACTCTAGATTAACAAGAGTGACTTTAGTAGAATCACAATGCACTACTGACTTACCTTGTAAGCCTTCCAGTCTTGAAGTTCTATAATCAACATTTCCACATGCTTCATATGGACCATGGGCTACAAGAACTTGAGCATTTGGTGGCATCTTCTTTCTTTATAATGAATGAAACCTTTTTATTAATTTATATGATTAACTTATATGCGGAAATCAGAATTGTAAAACTTTTTATCAGCTAGAATGAATCTTAAATAAGATGATTTTAATACATTTATAATAGTTCTCTACTTTTATATTTTATTTTTACAAACAACACAGGACAAGATTATGGAAATGCCACCAGCCATAAATGATGATTTTCAAACAGATAGATCAATCTGGTCTACAGACATGACAGACAGAAACTCATCAGCAACAGCAAAACAGACCTCGGCCGATCAAAATTTGATCCATACACTAACACACGTTTCCAAAAGAAATTAGGATGACTAAAGAAGTAGATCCAGAATTTTTTTTTCTATTTTTAATTTGGTTGAAACAGGTAGAAAATTTCTGTAAAAAAATAAGACTTGGCCTTACAACATTAGACAATGAGAATGCCTAGAAAAAAAAATATAACCAAATAAACGTGTAACAATTCTTCTTCTTGATACCAAGTGGATTATAATCCAACTAGAAATGACAGCACAATATTTTTTTTCAGACAAAGCTGTATAGTAAATATATAGCAAAAAATTGTAGGAGACAATTACTTATGGCCAAGTTCAATTTGTTAGTACATTGTATAATGTATACTGAACAATTTCAACTGATTTTTACAGTTTGCACTTATGTTAAGTGCTGTTACATGTATACCACTGCGTCAAGTTAGAGGGAGGATTTGGCTCTTACAAACATGTAAGTAAGTAAGTAAAAACTTTATTTTGATTCGGCATATTGACAAACATACAAACATAAGCTCTAATGAGCTTTTCACCGAATATAAAAACATATGCAATAACAAATAAAACAAGACATGCAGCATGCAAATAAATAATAAAAAACAGCACCACATTTAACTTTAGCATATACATGTATCTTGCTAAATGCCGAAACATATATATGAAGCACTAATACAGGAATAATTTTAAAAATTTGCAGTTTAAAATTTTTAAAATAATTTATAAAGTAAAAATTTCAAATCTCGTAATTATTAAAATGTCAAAACAGAATTTCAGTTGCAATGCAAGCTGTTAATGCAGCATAAAAAGCATATATAATGTAACACAAATTACCTACAGGCAGAGCAAAAACAGTCTGTTCCACTCCAGGAATGAACAAGACTTCTAAAATGTGAGAAGCTGTTAACAGTCCTGAAATGGTCTGGTAAGCTATTCCATAAAGAAGCAGCAGCAAAGCTAAAAGATTTTTTTCCATATGAGGTAGTTCTTACCTGTGGTATTTCCAAAATATTACTGTATCTAAAAGAATATTTAGTGTGTTTAATTTGGAGTAAATTTTGTAAACATAAAGGAGCCAAATTATTTAAAATTTTATAAGTCTCAAGTGCCATTGTCCTGATGCGTCTTACTTGTAGGGTTGGAACCTTTGCGTTCTCAAGAAGAGTTTCAGAGGATGATAAATAGTCGTCATATACAAATCTTAATGCTCTCTTTTGTATTTTTTCCAGTTTTTTAGAATTTTTCTCTGTACAAAAATGCCAAGCCAAAGGGCAAAAATTAAAATTACTCAAAATGAAAGTATGAAAAATTGTAAGTTTATTTAATCTGTTTAAAAAGGATCTAATTCTCTTGAGAACATTCAGCTGTTGTGATGCCTTTCTACACAAGTTACTTATATGTGCATCAAATTTTAGTTGGTAATCAATATCAATTCCAAGTAACTTGACGGTTTCTTCACATGATAAAATATTTTGCTGAATTTGTATAGATAGATTTTTTGCAAAGGTTCTTTTCCCTACAGCAATAACTTGAAATTTATCAGGATTTGCCTGCATCTTATTTTCTTTAAACCAATCAATCAGCACTTGAGACTCAGATTCTAATATAGATACGAGATGGTCATAATCCGGACTGCTTAAAAAGACAGAGTATTGTCGTCAGCATAATTGTATAAGGTACTATGTTTAACAAAATAAAAAATATCATTTATGAAGAGATTAAATAAAAGGGGCCCCAATATAGAACCTTAGGGTACCCCCTTTTGGATGGCAGCCCAGCTACTCAGAACACTGTTTACTTTAATTTTCTGTTTTCTGTCAGAAAGATATGATTTTAATAAAGATACAGAATGTGGAGAAACACCATATGCTAATAATTTATCTAGTAAAATATCATGAGGTAAGCAGTCAAAAGCTTTTGATAAATCCATAAGAACGGCAGCTATATAAAAATTTTTGTCTAAGGCTTTACGCCAGTCTTCCAGTAATCTGAGCAGCGTAGTCTGACATCCATGTCCTCTACGGAAAGCACATAGATAATGATTAAAAAGGGAAGCAAAGAAATATCTTTTCATAAAATTTTGGAAAAATAGGTAACACACTGACTGGTCTGTAGTTTGATTTCAGTAGTGGGTCGTTCTTTTTATTTAAGGGTGTAACTTGGGCTTCTTTAAGTCGATCTGGAAATATGCCCGTGTCTACAGTCAAATTTATAAGACTGGTCAGCTGAGGTGCAACGACAGATTTACTTGCTTTAACTATTTTTGCTGGTATCCCATCTGCTCCTGTTGCTTTTTTCACGTTAACTTTATTGATGATTTTTTCCACTTTTTCTGATGTCACCTTTTTAAATTCAAATTTTGTATCTGTTTTCAAGTAATTTTGTTCATGTATGGCATTTATGCTATGATGGTTTAATGGATCATATATAACATCATTTCCTATCTTCTCAGCAACAGTAGCAAAAAATTTATTAAAAAATATCTGATACATCTTTTGAATTATTTATAATTTTATTTTCTTCAAATAAAATAGTCTTTTGCCCTTGGGATTTGCATTTTTTTTAAAAGAAAGGTTTGACAGTGTTCCAAAAATCAGCACTATTTGATCCTCCAGAACAGCGTTCTAAAAAATATATTTTCATAGATTTCCTTTTTAACTTATTTACCAAATTTCTTTGCTGTTTAACCCTGCCATATTATTCATGTCCTTGTCCAAAGCTAGGAGCCAGCAGCTCTTGAAGAATAAAAATATTCATAAGCCATACACATTTCATTATAACTTACGATCAGTTTTACTCGTAAGATTTTTTGTGAAAAGGGTAGCTGTAGTTTAGTGGTTGTTGTTGGTTCATGTCTGTGTAATATTTGTTTATGATGAATTGTTTTGTTATATATTAGGCCAATAGTTTCCTCTTTTGAATAGTTTCACATTTTTCATATATGGACCTTTTAAGCAGGTCCTACTCAACTAGTGTCACCCGTCGTTGTTACTCATGGTAAGTAGTAGGTCACATTCGGTGATGCAAACTTGTCACAGGCACTTGTTTCTATCTATGGGAAGCCCCACTATCAACGTATATTTACGAGTATACGTTGATAGTGGGGCTTCCCATGGATAGAAACAAGTGCCTGTGAAACTTGTATTGAAAATTAATTTTTCAACCAATTCGGTGAATCACTGAATGAATCGCATTCCTGACGGGATATAAGTGGTAACTCTTCAAATACAGGTGTATTTCTAATATAAATTTAATATACTTTGTGTTCTAAGTAAGTTATTAACCTTTTCTTTTTCAGGTATTGGATGGTATTTCAGTTTTCGGCGTCGTGTTTCCAGGAAGTGTGATTTCACTTATTTGATCTTAGTCTTGTGAACGCTTGAAAATAAATAGACTAACTCGCCCCATTGGCATTCGGTTCTTTATACGTGTATAAAAAAATCTTTAAATATTATTGAAAAAAAAAACATGCTAAAAAAATTAACTATGTTAAGGTAAGAGCCACTCTTATAGAACTATTACATACTCCGCGAAATTATTCTTGTGTCGGTTGCAAGAATGGACTGAAGTTGTGACGAATATGGAGGAGTCAACCTTGTGTCGACCCGAAACCAACTCGGACCATTTATAAAGACAACTCGTCGAATTTCATATCTTCAATTAAAGGTTTAAGACCGAAGTCCATACTGTGCTGTTTATAGCATAAGCATAACAGATTTTTTCATATAACAATACAAGACTTTTTTGTTAAATTGTGCTGGACATTTCACCGCACGCCATATGTCAAATCTTTTAAGGCCATAAACCTTGAATAAAAACTTGACTACATGTATTTGACCACACAGTGAATCAAATTCTAACATATGGTGATGAAATTTGGGGTGTTTTTTTTTTTAAGTTATCTGCAAACGGGAGATTGTTATTGTGAAAACGGTTCTGACATCATTATCCAAATTCTGTTCAATTATAATTTGTTTATATTATGTATGTTGTTCTGTCCAATATATTTTTGGGATTTCTGTTACCCTTTTGTGCATTATAAGAGTTATTATGTGACTCAGTCTGTTAGGCAGGATATGCAACCCTCTACTATGAAGAGTCGAAGACAATCTGAATGTCGAACAATAAAAACATATCTACCCCTATCAAGTTCAAAACTTTATTTATAGACGAGATCATTATACAGAAAACATAAGCTCTATTGAGCTTTTATATCGTCTTAATTATTACAAACAAAACATCTAAAACGTGCACGTTTAAAACAAAGCAGCATGCTACACACACAAAAGCTACACAAAACAAAACATTACATTGAAGCATACATATACAGTACACATGGCACGAAGAAGTTAAGTATGTAATACCATGCAGAAATATTAAAAGTACAATAAGCAACTCAATATTAAAAACATATAAAGCACTTTAAAACACATAAGCAATTACAGCACATTAAGAAGAAAAAAAGCAATAAAAATTAAAGCATTAATTATTTGCAGGCATTGCATTGGCATGAACTACCATTCCAGGTAACAATAAGTTTAGAAAATTGGTTAAAATTGTTTTCATCTCTAAAACTCTGGGGTAGTTCATTCCAAAATTTTTGCAGCTGTGTATCTAAAAGAATTGATGCCATAGCTTGTTGTTCTCACCTGGGGCTGTTCAACTGTATTTTTATATCTGAAAGAATATTTGTGATTTTTTATATTAATCAAATCATGTAAATAAGATGGACTCTTTTTGTGTGTTATTTTAAAAGTTTCTATAGCTATTGCTCGTAATCTTCTGACTTTAAGAGATGGAAGTTTTGACTTGTGTAAAAGATCTTCATAGGAGCTATTATAATCCTCATAAACAAATCTCAAGGCTCTCTCTTGGATTTTTTCCATCTTAACTGTGTTTTTTTCACTACAAAAATGCCAGGTGATTGGGCAATAATTAAGATTAGACAAAATAAAAGAATAATAAATTGTTAGACGACCAAGTCTATTCAGATATTTACCAATACGTTTAAGAACATTAAGTTGATTAGAGGCCTTCTTACAAATCTCAGATATATGTTTATCAAAATTTAATCTGTAGTCTAATGTGACTCCCAGTAGCTTTATATCATTTTCACATTCTATTCTATTTCCTTTAAGATTAAAAACAATATCATGATCAAAAGTTTTTTTGCCAATTGCCAGAGCTTGAAATTTATCTGGATTAGCTTTCATTAAATTGTAATCAAACCAGTCCAACATTTTAAGACTATCACTTTCTAAATTTTTTATGACATTCTGTATATCAAAATCAGCAAAGGATAAGGTGTTGTCATCAGCATAATTATATATAGTACTATTGTCAACTATACCTCTAGCCAATGTAGAATAAAGAAACACACAGCGATACACACAGTAAAACTCAGTTCAAAAGAAGTCCGAGTCCGATGTCAGAATAGGTAAGAAAAGAAACAAAGCAAAATGACAATGATACATAAATTAACAAAGGACTACTAGCAGTTACTGACATGACAGCTCCAGACCTCAATTTAACTGATTGAAAGATTATGTCATCATATGAAAATCAAGTACAATCCCTCCTGTTAGGGGTTTAGTATCATACCATCATAAAATATACGAGAAGAACAAAACCCGTATTATGCCAACAACTGGTTTTAGAATAAATGTGTTTATTTCCGATGCAAAGACCCTATGAGTGAATCAATATTAATATAATTTCAATCGGTTGATTTTAAGAATTAGAATGAAATTATTTTCTTCTGGATTGTCTGCCCATAGGTGGCGTTTTTAGGTTATGTGTTTTACGTGATTTGGCGGTTAAATCATTCGGCACGACAGGGTCTACTCAATCGGTCACGTTAATTTTTTAGATACTCGTTATTTCAGATTTTGTATCATGCATTAAGAGATTTGTTCACTTTACATAAGTGTTTGTGTTCATTGAACTATTTACATATTTATATGAGGACATTATAAAGATGTTTAGGATTCTGTATATGTAATATATAATTATTAAATGGTAATTAAACCTGCCATCGGCTCTGTCGTGTGGTATTGCAATTTACTATTTCTTGTTATTATTATTATGAGAATAATATGAGGTTCTGATATATGGGTATTAACGGAAGAAGAAATACCAAATTATGCAATCCTTAATGACTTGACAAAAGTATCGTAACTATATCCGTTCCGAATACATCTGTTTAAAGGTTTGGTTAGCTTTTGAGGCAAATTTTAACACGTGATAAGTGAAGAAAAAAATAATCAATCACATTCGTGGTTGAATATGCTTAACCAGTAATTTCTTTCGGTGTATTCACTAGAAATTTTAGCATCATTTGTCAAAGCTACAAAAGAGCGTCACAAATTCCTGTCTTCTTCTGAATGTGGCGTTACCAAAAAATGTGAACACGCCTAATGACACATGCTGAAAAATACCACATCATTTTTACAGTTCATTGCAAATGTTGAACAAAGCTTCCCTACATACTGTCTCAATTCATTTGTGAAATAGATTCAATCACCTTATATCGTGCGATTCAATATTTCTATAATCACGAGTTTGATTAATACATATTCTGACTGATCACCTACAATCTGGGCACATTGGGGGTCGATCGCTGACATCACGCGCAACGTATCTGAAGGCCCAAAAAAAATATTGAAAAAATAAATCATATTGTATACGCTTGCCTCTATTCAAATACCTTTTTTTTCATTTAATATGCTGTGTTCTTTCAGAATTTTTGTATGATAGTCAGATTAAGAGCTGTTAATTACATATATTATTTCAGAATGTGCGAGTTTTTTTTTTTTTTTTTATTATCTCCTTTTTTGTGATGAGTCACGCACTTTCCTACAGTTTCTTACAGTTTCTTTCATTAATATATTGCTGTTACACCACTGTTTCAAGCTTAGTGGTAGGGTTGAGCCATGAGAAACATGTTTTATCGCGCAGTGCAGTCTTCGTTTGCCCTTCGTGTATATTCAGTGGTTGCTGTGGGTTGCTGTCTGCCATGTTAGTTAGTTAATTGATTTAGAATAAATCAGGCCACTGGTTTTTCTCGTTTGCATTGTATCATATTTGTCATGCCGGGACCTTTATGGACAAGGGGAGTAGGAGCCGTGGGTGCAAACCTATGTTTTTGCTCCCCCTCCCCCCTTTTGGCCAAAAAGATTTCCTGACTCAGAAATAAAAACTAAATGGAAAAGGACACTGACTAACCTTTAGCCTGATATAGCATTTTTGAGTTTTTTTGCTGGTTTCTTTGAAGTGTGCCCCTTACTTTTTAGTCTACCCCTACTCCACTGTAGCCAGTGACTACATTATGGTTTTTCTCATTGTCAATAGCCGTAACTCGTGGTTAAAGACCGCAATTTGGCTCATAGTTGCTTACATCCACGTCCGTAACGGCGTTGGTCTTTGGTGGATATTTGTTTCATTGGCAATCATACCACACCTCCTTAGTATTTTGACATTGTTAAACAGATCATGTAGATCTCTTTCTATTAAATCTATTCACAATTTTTATAGACTCGGGATTATTTAGAGCACTACCCATTGTTAAAAACTGTATGTTGCCCGCTTAGTGTCGTTTGATATATTTTATCATTGGCCTGTCAAATTGTGTCATCGACGTAAACCGCACATCTTCTATTTTTTCATATATAACCAATTAAGAATATTTTCCTGTTAATATTTTATATAATGTATTTTATTACTGCTTTTTACACATGTGCTTATGGTTTTGGTCTGGCGCGTACGGTCATAGATTAAGTTGATTATATCTGGGAATAGTATACTAATATTATGTTCCAGATTATATTCATATTTGTATAAGATTGTCAAAATTATTTTTGTCTCTCAATTATAAAAAAATCATTGTAAGAAATTACTTTGCTTATCATGGGCCCTTTACTTGGAATAAAAATATCTTTATATCTATCTTATTTATCTTTATGTACATGTACATGTACATACTATAATGACGTAATATAAACTTACCACAGTGAATAGTTAAGGGCATACGATACAGTTTTGATCCCATATTGAAATTTTGATAAAAATTTGCATGTAGGCTATTTTTTACCTGATTAAATCAAATATGTAATAAAAAATATCCCTTCATGTGCTACTTTTTGAGTAAATTGAGGTTCAAGTTTCAGATATTTTCTCAAAATACGGATTTATGGACTTATTTTTCCTTTCGATAGAAATACATAACTTTTTTGTTTTAAAAGATAAACACGAGCTGTTTTTTTGTTAAATAATTTGTAATTAATATGTTATATAAATATTGTATAAATTTGTACATTTTATTTTTACAAATAACTCAAATTTCTCAAATGTTCATGAATGTAGAAAAAAACCGTCAATTTTTGCTGTATATTAATCAAATTTAAAAAAATTGCACTATTTACGTTTTCATGAAAATTGGTACACATAATCTTCTTACGTAATCAAACCAAATGTCATTTTAAAAAAGAGGGATCCATGAACTCGTTTTCAAGTTAAATCAGTTTGAAATGATAAAAATCAGCCGAAAACTGCATATTTCCCCGATAAGTCAACGTTTGACGTCGCGAAAATGACAATTTACGTTAGCAACGTCATTACCTCCCCTGTAACTGTATCGTATGCCCTTAAGGTAAATAATCCTAATATATGATTTCCAATCTAAGAAAATGTCTATTCTTATTTTTAATGTGATTGGTGTCTCATGTACATGAAAAGAGGGACGAAAGATACCAGAGGGACAGTCAAACTCATAGATCGAAAACAAATTGATAACGCCATGGCCAAAAATAAAAAGACAAACAGACAAATAATAGTACAGATGACACAACATAGAAAACCAAAGACTAAGCAGGGGCGGATCCAGGATTTTGGAAAGGGGGGGCGTAGTATTTAAAGTTCGCCGAGCGGAGCGATGCGAAAATTTTTTAGACCTCTTTTGGGGCTAAAAAACATAAAATAAGTGTAAAATGCACATTTTTAACGGTTCCTGATGTGAGGCATGTATATTTTATAAATAAAGTGTAAGCTAGGGTTGGACATTTTTGATGCCGCATTCTCCCCATTAATTGTCTATTATAAAATGACTGAATGGATCCAAAGCTATGTACAACTAATATATTTGATGTGGGATTTGTCAGTAAAAAATGGACATGGAAAATTCTCGTTTGTTGTATGGTTAGTTAGCATAACCTCACAGATTTCTTTTTGTAAACATGTATGATGATATGCGGCTATTCAATGAAGTTTATAATACGACCGACACGAACAAAGACAAACAAGCATTTTTTATCCAAATGTTTGGTTGAAATGTTTCACCCAACAAGGGAAGTGAGAGGTCCCAAATCAACCAAAGGCTACGAATGAGTCTGAAAATCAAATGACAACGAAGTTGTGAATGACGGTCGACAAATGGAGACAGGCCACACCCAGCAGGCAGGTTGCAGTTGGGCCTTGAAAAAAGTATTCAGTATATCAGTTCGGCGAAACAGACATTTCGGTCAGATATGGGATTTACATGCAAACCCCCAAAAAAATTTACGCCCGTTTTTTTATTCACCATGTTCATTTAATGCTGAATAATTCTGTTGGATTTTTTTTTCTGATAGCAAAAAGGGGACACGAGAATTGTTTTCAATACAGATACGGCCAGAATTTTGGTTTAAGGCAAAAATCAGGGTCAGAATTTTTTCTCTAAAATATCTCCGACTGCCCTATCAAATCAAATGGTCCGTACCTTAGACTTTAAATCTATCTAGAGCTTACTGACTGGGGATCACTATTCAGCAATGTTATTAATTGGCTGGGGCGTCTGGGGTTCAACATATTTTTGTAGGTAAATAATATTGCTGTGGAACTTTTTTTTATGAGAGTGTAATAGAGTATTACTTTCTGTTGAGTGGAATTGTGAAATAGAAGTCAATACGTGGTTCTTGTTCAAACCTTTGTCGCTTTGAAAGAGTCATGCTTGTCATCCTCCGCCGAAAGCAATGTGTTACTGTAATTTAAATTTCAAAATGACTGAGTGACGTTTTTTTCGACGTACTGATCAACTCCACCGTAGCGAATCACATGACTTTGACATAATCAATAATATATTACAGTAAATACGAGCGAAAAATATCTTTATAAGTAAAGAATTGTCGCATAAAAATTAAATACACGGCCGGGTAATGGCAAAGTTCACGAAGTCTAGTCTGATTAATCATTTTACAAAAAAAAAAAAAAAAAAAAGTTCATGCAAAGGGGGGGGGGGCGTACGCCCTCTACGCCCCCCTCTGGATCCGCCACTGCTAAGCAACACGAACCCCACCAAAAACTGGGGGTGATATCAGGTGTTCCGGAAGGGTAAGCAGATCATGCTCCACATGTGGCACCCGTCGTGTTGCTTATGTTATTACAAATCCGGTAAATAGTCCAATTCGTTAAGTCACATTCGTGAAAAGGGAAGAGTATTGTAGTTACGACATAAGGAAAATATCCGATATCATCTGTGAAACGGTTATTCCATAACGGTCAACCAACTCGTGATGGCGTCCGTAAAAGTTACGAAGGGATGACTTCAACTTCACCATTTGGAACTCTTGGTTTAATAGCTTCCTTGTGAGCAGCAATCCTCTATCAAGGACATCATGATAGGGAACACAAGCCCGGGAATATCGTATCAATTGGGAGATATATACTCCGTATGCAGGCGCTGCTGGAATGTTGCTACATAGAAATGGAAAGTTCACAATTTGGGAAGCTGAAATCATCTCTTTTGTCGTAAACTTTTGTTTTCAACCGACCCTCATTGTCAATTTCTAGATGTAAGTCAAGATATGAGGCAGACTTAACTGTATCTGTAGTATCCTTTATCTCTAGTTTGATGGGATAGATTCGTTCAACATAGTCACCAAATTTTGTATTATTTAGTGAGAGAACATCATCTATATAGCGGAACGTAGATTTAAAGGATATTGCTAACTTCTTATCTTTCTTCCTTAAGGTTTTCCTGTATGAAGTCAGCCTCATAATAATAAAGAAACAGTCGGCAAGAAGAGGGGCACAATTGGTTCCCATTGGAATTCCGACAGTCTGTTGAAAAACACGAAGCTGTTACACTTGTATTAGTCATGACATAATCGTGTTTAAATACATAAATTGGAGCGGTAAAGGAAAGACCAAATCATCCATCATTTTCTACGTAAGGAAATGCCTGTACTAAGTCAGAAATATGACAGTTGTTTTCCATTCGTTTGATGTGTTTGAGCTTCTGATTTTGCCATTTGATAAACATTGATAAGGACTTTCCGTTTTGAATTTTCTTGGAGTTCGGTATTTTTCAAATTTTGTTATTTTACTTTTTTCATATCAATGAGAAACAAAGATCAGAAAGTATCCAAAGAATCATCATTATCATTGATATCTTATGCTCAAATTATTTCCACAATCTACTATACTTCATTGGTTTATGTTAGATATATCGAGATTGTCTTTTTGAACAAGGTCCGAGTTGTCTTTGGGACGAGTTTTTATATTTCTTTTTCAAGCGTTTTTGCCACCAGGACTTAGACAATATGGCCACCAAAATAAACGTCGGAGCCTTGAGAAATGTTTTCTTTCGCAAACAGCACGTCTTCACAAGGTTTATTTTTATATAAACGTTCAATATGATTGAAGAACACAGCTGAATGAACAGGGAATGGGGAAATTTCCACTTATTAGGAAGATGTTTATATGTTTAGTCTTATGACAAGTTATGTATGTGTCTCGAAAAGGTGACACAGTGCAATCAACATCATTAACAGGTTGGGGAAGATCATGATGACATCATAAATTTGTATTCTCCTTATTAATTGATATTAAACCCAAAATCAGGTATCAATTGTCAGTTAAATTTAATTTTGTATTTCATGATACTGGCTGTCATGGCACTGTTGTATAACTGGAGATATATAAGTACAATACACCTTATAGCTATTTGTCCGCCATTACTGGACATCATAAAGGTTCCCGTAAAAATTTGAGGTAAAAATGTGTGACGCCACTAACATGACTAACGAAAAGTGATTGTTGTATGACGTCAATACAAGTGTCGCAGATTCTCAGGTCAAGTGTTGCAGATACCCAAATAGTGATAAGGTCTATGTAGTCTAACTGGTTGAGTTGGGGAAGATCTCTGTTGGCTCAATCAGTTAGAGCTCTGCCTTTAGTTCCCGAGATTGAGGGTTCAAATCCCGCTGGTACCATCCATGTGATTTCACAATATTTATGCTGCAAGCATCTACGACTGGTACATACAAGTGTCTGTAAATGCCTGGCAGTTAGATATGATCATGAGGTTTGACCAGGTCATTAAATGACCGTGACATGTTTGGGTGACATGCAAGGAACTGGCTAGAGGGTTTCTGAGTGAAAGACTGCCCAGATTGTTCAGAAGTAGACCTGTGAGCTGCTTGGATGGATGGTATGCAGCGTGAAAAAAGAAAAGGGGAAGAGTGTTGTATAACTGGAGATATATAAGTACATGTATAACTGGTTGAGTTAGGGAAGATCTTCTATGGTTCTGTAGGTTAGAGCACTGTCTTTAGATCGTGTGATTGAGGGTTTAAATCCCGCTGGTACCATCCATGTATTTTCACAATAGCACAAACATTTCATGTAAATGGCAATGTTTTCCTTGTTGACTCTAATCCAAATAATTATGACATCTACATGTAAGGCTCTTTTAGTTTTTTGCTGCGACCTCTTTAAAGGCTTTCAAGACATCCTTATTATTTGGACTATGTTGGGGTATGTTCAAATTAGAACTGAATAAATGTTAATAGCCTTTACTCTAGAAATTCAATTTTTGATGGTCACTATTATCTAGAAGATATTTAAGTCATGTTGTCTTTGGGCAAAATGCTGCCATTTAAATGAATGTTTGTGCCATGACAGCATATATCCTGAAATCCATTTTTGATCACTGTAAATTAATATGTGTTTAAGGATATAATATCGCTAAACAGGTCATTATCGTCCTGGGTACAATAAGAAAGTACTTTATTTTTACTTGATCAAATGGAACCCAAATTTATTTGTTTTGTGTTATAGTACCCAGGGTGCTGTACATTTGTATGTTTGTATTTTCAAAGAAAGAAAAGTAGGATTGGTTTTTATACGACCGCAAAAATTAAAAATTTTTTGGTCGTATATTGGTATGACGTTGGCGTCGTCAGCCGTCGTCGTCGTCCGAAGACACATTGGTTTTCGCACTCTAACTTTAGTTTAAGTGAATGGATCTCCATGAAATTTTACAATAAGGTTCAATACCACAAAAGGAAGGTTGGGATTGATTTTGGGGGTTATGGTACCAACAGTTAAGGAATTAGGGGCCAAAAAGGGGCAAAAAATAAGCATTTTTGTAACTTCCAGACATAACTTGTGTGTTAGTGTATGGATCTCTCTGACATTGTACCACAAGGTTCCATATCACAAAGGGAATGCTGGGATTGATTTTGGGGGTAATTGCTGCAAAATTTTAGGAATTAGGGGCCAAAAAAGGGGCAAAAAACAAGCATTTTTCTAGTTTCATGATAATAACTTGTGTGTAAGTATATGGATTTTTCTGAAATTGAACTACAAGGTTCCATATCACAAAGGGAAAGCTGGAATTGAGTTTGGGGGTAATTGCCCAAAACGTTTAGGAATAAGGGGCCAAAAAGGGGCCAAATATAGCATTTTTCTAGTTTCCAGACAATAACTTGTGTTCAAGTGTATGGATCTCTCTGAAATTGTACTGCAAGGTACCATACCACAAAGGGAATGCTGGGAATGATTTTGGGGGTAATTGCCTCAAAATTTTAGGAATTAGGGGCAAAAAACAAGCATTTTTCTAGTTTCCAGACAATAACATGAATAACTTGTGTTCAAGTGTATGGATCTCTCTGAAATTGTACTGCAAGGTACCATACCACAAAGGGAAGGCTGGGATTGAGTTTGGGGGTGATGAATCATAAGGGGGTTCAAAAAATTTAGTGGAGGGATTTTTTTTTTCTTTAAAATTTTCCATTTTAAATTGGTTATTTCTGATTTGTATATAAAAGCAAATAATAATGATATGGTTTGAATAGGTAAATTAAAATTTTTTAAGTTCTTAGACCACATTCATTCTGTGTCAGAAACCTATGCTGTGTCAAATATTTAATCACAATCCAAATTCAGTGCTGTATCAAGCTTGAATGTTGTGTCCATACTTGCCCCAACTGTTCAGGGTTCGACCTCTGCGGTCGTATCAAGCTGCGCCCCAGCGGAGCATTTTATTGTATACATGGTTAGCGATGGACAATGAACATCCATCAGTGTTATAAAAGATTGCAATTGCGCGATATTTAATCTGGGTATGCCTTTTTAGATCAGCGATTGACCTGGGTTCCCATACAAAGTAACTTTTTTTATTTCAATATGGGTACTTTTCATACATGTAACATAAAACTTACCCAGGACCCGTTCATCTATAATCAAAATGATAATACCCATTTATGAGGATCTTCCGCAATATGATCAGTGATCAAATAAAACAGACTGGTTACAATCTACATGTAATATAAATGTAAGTTGGCAGGTTTTACCTGTGACAGAAGTCTGCAATCAGTTGTAGCTACTGTATGCCATTTTCTATTCTAGAAAACTACTTTCAAACTAGTTATACTGAATGATTGTAATTACAGGTAGATGTTGACCAACTGCTAAGACTAACACAACTAGTGTGTTAACAAGTCCCCTTTATTATTTTATTCCTCGTATAATTAAATTATCTGCATTAAAGTTTTTTTTATCACTTTCTTAGAGTTTCCTGCATGCACACATGTACACAATGTAACAATGTAAGCAGGGCCATACCAAATACACACAACAGAGTGCTGTTACAGCCACCATGTATGAACAGAAAATCATTAGGTAAGAGCAAAAACACATTTCAAATATTTTGTTTGGCCCTATACTGCTATATACTTTTGAATTTTAATTTGCACATGTATATAGCTACCTTGATGACCAAGTTGTCTTAAGTAGTATATCTAAAGTGATCACTAACATGTCTACTCTGAAGTATTGAGTTCAAACACTGCTAGTGGCTAAGTGTTTTTGACTTGGATCTTAATTGACAAGGATTGCTAGTAAGTCTGCTGAAGGTCGGTGAACATGATTATTTCAGGTTCTCTGCCATCCTCCACCATTATAGACATGTTAAAAACTAGCCGTCATGATCATGATGATACTGTAAACCAACTTATTTTCGCGGATACTTTACTTTGTGTTAAGCCCTTTCTATCCCTTTTTCACGATTTTCAAATTTACTTGAATTAATTGAATAAGGAATGATCTAAGTTTTATATATTTGCGACGATTTATATTGGCGTTATTTTTCTACTCGCGAATATAAATTGCTCGCGAAAATAAGTTGGTTTACAGTATAGACAAAGTCACTGAAAAATCTTGTCAAAGATACCAGGCTTATAATGTTCAATTACTGAATGGCAGACATGCATTTCAAAAGTGTGATGAATGCCAACCAACAATATACATGAACTTGTACAATTTCATACAAATAAAAAATAATTATAGACAACAATGTACCAATGCCTGTTAAATCTTCAATGCAATAGAATCCCTAGAGTGGATACCACTGGTATGCAGCAGGGGCGGATTCAGGTGGGGGCGTGGTGGGCATGCGCCCACCCTAAAATTTGCAAAGCATGGGTTGTCCTCAGCTTAATTAAAAATATTTTGATAATTTTACCTCCAAAAAAAATGTAAGTTTCAGTTCCCCCCGCCCCCATAAAACACATAAATGTATTAATCCTTGTTAGTTTTATAAGGATCTTTACATTTAACAAAGAAGTGAACAAAAATCCTACCATTTATCTGTTTGCAAGTGGTCTGTTTGCATACTGGATATTAAACACCATCAAATTATTTTGCAGTAGTTAACACACATTGAACCTGCAGGGACAGTAGTTTAAAAGTGCTGATAAGAACAAATTGTAAAAATCAGTTGGAAATGGCTTTATTTAACAGATTAGTTGGAAGTGCACAAAAACAACTAGCATTAAAACAATGGACACAAGAGTACTAAGCTACTGATGTCTACATGGTGTAGTTCAAAGCAACTTATAAATTCTCCCAGATTAAAATATCAACCTGGTTTGTATGTTACTAATACATGTATTTGTTAAATTGCAGATCTTATAATGATAGTAAAATTGTAAGAATATATAATTTTGGAATTTCTATTCTTGTAATTTCAGTGAGACATATGTTCATTCAGACACAAGAGACTCCCAATCCAAACAGTTTAAAGTTCATACCTGGAGTACAAGTATTGGAGGCAGGAACCAAAGATTTTCCCAATGCTTCATCAACTTACTGTTCCACCTTAGCAAAGTAAGAAGATTACTTTTTGAATGTTTAGATTTTTACTTGCTTTAGAACAAAACAACCTAAAACCAAACTAATCATGCAAAATCAGGAACCTCATCAGGAACCTCATCAGTTGTATATATTTAAAGCTAATTTCCTAATGCTTGTAGTTTAAATGTTTGGTTGGCTTGCTTGCTTTGTTTGTATGAACGTTAGCTCAAGCATTGTGAGGGACCTCGGTGGCCTAATGGTCTAAGTAGTTACTACTGTAATCACTAGCCAGTCAACACTGAGGTTGTGAGTTCCAACCCCGCTCATGTGGGTGCACTAGACTCCAATCTTTATTGACTAGGATTGTCAGTTTTCCTATCGAAGGTCAGTGGTTTTCTCCGGGCACACTGGCTTCCTCCACCAATAAAAAGTGACTGCCACGAAATAGCCCAAAAGCGGTGCTTAAAAGTGGCGTAAAAACACCAAAAATCAAATCAATCAGTCAAGCATTGTAATTCAGATTGACATCTGCAATCAATATATAGGTGGGGCTTCAGCTTGTATACATTATACCCTATCTATTGATTGAAGATGTCAATCTTAATTACAATGCTTGAGCAAACATTTATACAAACAAAGCAAGCAAATCAACCAAAGTCTTAATCTACAAGCATTAGGAAAATAGCTCTAATAGTTGTATGCAAGTGTTTTTTTAATTTTTATTTATTTATTAATTTAACCAATTTGGTGTTAAAGACAGATATTTTATACACAATTTGTCTATCTTAGGGTGTTTGAAAGCTTGACATATGATACAAAACATTTGTTTTTTGTTGACACACAAAGATAAAAGACATCTAGCATGTCTAGAAGTCAACATACAGTCTTCAACAAAGACAGAAAATTGTGGCAAATCCCCCTAAAACTAATAAAAACATAAGTTATTTGTAAGATAAGGTAAGGCCATACTTTTTTTATTATCTGTTTAGCGAGATCCGCCGACTCCAATTTCCCGATTTCAGAATAAAAATAAAAGAAGTGCTTTTTACTTTTATTTTTATTTTTCCCGCCGACTGTTACGAAATCATCAGAACAAAAATAAAATATTAAATTTTTACCAAGTCGATGAAACAGCAATTTCAAAGTAAAGAAATTAAAGGCATAAACGATTTATGACTTCAAAAAAGAGGTTAAAGCATTCATTTTTTAAGCTGGTGGCATGTTTTTTCATAAAAACAATTTGTTTAAAACCACTTTCGACGGTACTTGTTACACGAGAGAGTACATCAAAAGACAAATCATTCTAACTTTCGGCTAAATAAGTTATTACTTCATTTGAACTTGATGAAATTAGCCTGAAGTAAATTTGTAATCCATGTATTGCATTGAAAACGTCATATTCCTTTCCAAAAAGCGTATCAAACATCGTTTATTTTTGTAAAGTTTTCTCCGACATTTAAATTATTGGGTTTTTTGAAGAACTACGGATCGGAGTCGGGATTTCATTGGAAGCGGACCTGCTATGACCGAAATCCGGATTCTTGCGATAATGACTACGGACACATGAATGGCACTGCTGACAGACAAAAATTGATCCCAAAAGGAAAAATTACGCATTCCAGTCACGCATTAACGTACTTTTGGTTAGATATTTTGATTAATGTTTATATTTCCTTATTAATGCACTGTTTAAATTTATAAGTTAATGTTGCTCAACCATGTCTATTACAGGGCTTCCAAAATTATTTTTAGCCAGCCGGACATTTTATATATTATTCCGATTTTAATCCCTTAAAACTAAATAAACAAAAGGCAATTATGGTATTCAGTTGCTGAGTTGGCCATCCCAATGATTGACATTAAAAAAAAAACGATATTAAACTTTCTTTGATTCAAATTCGAAGTTCTGACGTAAACTGTTAAATTGGCAGTGCATCATTTGAAGTGTGCAGCATCAGCGTACTTATATCTCCCTTAGACTCATTATTTGTGCAAAATAACGTTGTCAAAAACTTTACATTCGTTAAAATCTTATACCAGATGTTATCTTGAAGAAAATATTCGAAATAAACGTGAGATAAAGGTATCAATGACAATTTAAGCATTTTTTGAAGAAATTAGGATGCATAATTAAATTTCACACCTGCGCACATGCGCACACTTGTACTAGTTCAAACAGAGACATGTCTCTGGTTCAAACAACGTGGTTATGACAATTTTTCATTTTCATCTTTTTAATTTTTTCATCAAATCATATTTGTAAACGTATTTCTGATAATTTAAATCTTTTTGACTAAATTAATTAGATGCAAACCGCTGAAATGTAAGAAAATAACTTTGAAAAGACCGATCAATGTCCGGTTCAAAATAGTTTACCTGTCACCTGAACAGGTAAATTTCAGCTGTTCCACAACGAATTAGCCTTGATTAAAATGAGAAGGTATTAAAGTAGGGGTTGTTTGGATAGTACTTAATGATCATGTCACTTTTATGACCTGAAATGTTTGGCTGTTAAAGGCAAAAGGTTGGGTCAAAAAGATCGCGAATTATGTTAAAATGACCGTCTCTTAAGAAAGCCTTGAAAACTAAAAAGTAGATGACCGTTTCATGCTTTGCCCAGCTGGACTTTTACCGAACATTATACAAATGTCCGGAATATATGACCGTTTTGGAAGCCTTGGTCTATTACACTAATATAAAATAATTATATTATTTCCAAACTAAATGGTTAAATGAATATATCTTTTTAATGAAAAATAATTAATTCCATGAACATGATAACAGAGTAGTTTTTTAATTGAATTGTATATACAGTATAAACATGTAACATACACTAAGAGGTTCCTGACTGGTAATATACATATATACATGTATAGTGTATATGCAGGGAGGTTGATATATTTGCCTGGTGCATATGCATGGATCTAAATTAGAGGACATACAGAATCAAAAGATATTTTTTATGTTCATATTAATAGAAGGGTAAATATACTGGTCTATTTTCATTTCATTGTTCTTGTATTTTGATAAATTCTTAAAAAAAAAAAAAAAAAAAAGTCACTTATAATGGTTTTATTTTTATTTTTAGTGTCGACTGGACCAACTTTGCACTTTTATTTTTTTTTTTATTTCGTCCCCTCGACCCTAATTTTTTACAAATTTTCTCGTTAAACAGATAAAAAAAAAAGTCTGGCCTAACTACCAGAAAACAAGAAACATTGATACTTTTGTATGCAGAAAAAAAAGTGGCAATTTTTTGGTAAGATCCAATAAAACAAGAATTAAGCAATATGCTTATCAAGACCTCCATTGTAAAACTCATCATAATCATCATGATCATGAAATTGTAAATTTTTAACAGTTCAAAATACTTCTGTTGCAGTTTTTGTTGTTGTCTTATGCTTCTGCAAAATATGTTTCATCTAAAGCAAATATTAAAACACATTCTATATTGTGTAAGAAAGAGGTTGTTTTACTAAAATTAAAATTGTTCTCGTTCATTGTTTAAACATTTTTCTAATATTTCAGACAACTGTTTCGAATAGATGGTGTGAAGGGTGTGTTTTTTGGAACAGATTTTATAACTGTAACTAAAGTAAGTCTTTTTGGATATTTGGATATAATGAAAAACAAAGGGTATGGTATCGATTCATATCATAAAAAACTATACAATTTATAGACTCATCAAGGGCTTTTCCATTAAAACAAACATGAGACCAAGGCAAGGAAAGGCACTTTGAAATCTCAACTAAATTTGCCACTATAGGTGGTAACCCCATTTTGAAAGTGTCTTCCCTGGGTACCATTGTAGTTTGAAAGGAACAGCCATATTGAAAAATGCACAAATATTAACCCACAAGTATAAGTCATGAAAAGCAAAATTCTGATTAGTTTTCAACAGGTGTAAATTATAACCCTCAGTCTGATCCTGAGGGTAACAGTTCAAGTAAGGGTAAAACAAAAACAGATGTTGTGTGAGAACACAGTGTAGGACTCATTAAGTCAAACCCTTTAACAGCTTTAGATGATATACGTAGATAAAACCAGTATAATAACTATGATTGCTCCTTTAAGAAGGATACTTTTTAGAAAAGGGTTGTATATAGTATCTTAAATATTTTTCTTGACTTTTCATTAAATACACATATTGCCAAATGAGATTTTGGATGGCCTTACTATTGCTTGCTTCACTTGCTATTATGGTATAATTCAGTATTTATTAATTTACAGACAGATGAAGATGTAGATTGGCAGGTGGTAAAGCCAGACGTCTATGGAACTATTATGGACTTTTTTGCCAGTGGCTTACCTGTGTTGACTGATGAACAACCCTCTATTGATACTGGTTTGTAACTACAACATATAATGTGTAAACGGAATGCCAATGCTATAAAGTTTTTTTAAGGCGGTACAAAACACCTTGACTAAAATTAATTTGGCTCATTTAATTTTCATAAAATTTTGAAAAAATATTTACTTTGACCCTTTGAAAAAAATATGAAAATTTCAAAAAACTTGAACCTTACACTTTATCGGAAAAATTTCATTGGATATATAGCAGTTTGACAATCACTAATTTAGATCGTTGAGAAGCTTAATATATCCTTAACAATAGAAGGTGATTAAAACATTCAGCTGATTTTTACAGAGTTACCTCCCTGTAGTGTTATGTGCCACCTTAATGGAAAGTGAAAGTTTTGGTATTTTATGGCACTCAACTTAAATATCTTAATTCAAAAAAAGAATCAATTCAAATTTGGAAAAAAATCACCTGACTTCTCTGAAAACAGAACTACAAACCAAGAAAAACAGTATTATTTCCCGTAAAACACTAGGAATATTATATTAAATGTTTTGTACTACTTGTAAGGAAATCTGTCGTAGGAAATGTAAAACAAGAGTAATATATATAAAATTATTTTGATTAACCTGTGCTGTTTTAAAATTTAAACCAAAGATTTCAAGAACATAAAACCAATAAGTTATTCTTAATGATTAAATTATAATGTGTCCTTCTGAAAAGTATCTTCAAGTTACAATGAACACACAGTTGAATGTGTGAAAGAAAGCTTCAATATGTATTTCTATGCTTCAATTTCATCCATATATTTTATATAAGGCAACTTGGTATGACTTGCAAGGAGACACTATCAACCGTGGATGTTAGCAACTATAGGTCACTGTATGGCCTTCAACAATAAGCAAAACTGATACTACATGACAAACTATGATACAACTCCAAAAAGAAAACTGACAGCCTTATTTATGAAACAATAAAAGAAAAACAAATTCAAAGGAGAAAACCAATGGTCTGGTTTATTATTCCTGTTTAAAGATTGGGCGAAAAAACTTTAATTGAAGCCAATACTGAAAAAAAAAAATTCTTCCCAGAGTTTATCCATATATTAATTTAAAACTCAAATATATATTTTTACAGCTGTAGACCCTGAGGATGATGAGGTTGTCCTGATGATAAAGGAATTACTTGACACAAGAATTAGACCTACTGTACAGGAAGATGGTGGAGATATTGTTTATATGGTAACATATTAATACATTCTAACTTCAGTTGTTCTTCTTTTACTCTCTATGTCTTGTATATGCAATACAGCACAGTTGGTTTTTGTTTTTCTACTCTTCCATTGTGTGGTTGGGGCTCAGAGTGGATAAAATTTCAAGCTTTGCCACTCTGCCAACCCTATGGAGTATACATGACATTGCTTTTGTTTATTGTAATACATGATTTGCATTTCTACTAAATGAGTGATAAAAACTTGCTTGGACATGGGTTGGACCACCACCCTGCGTGAAAAAAAAAACATACTGTATATGATATCACACAGACTTATGTCTTGCTAACATGTGGTGAAAGTTATTTGATAGATTTACAATACTATTTATAATATAAATAAGAAGATGTGGTATGAGTACCAATGAGACAACTATCCATCCAAGTCACAATGTGTAAAACGTAAACAATTATAGGTCAAAGTACGGCCTTCAACACAGAGCTTTGGCTCACACCGAACAGCAAGTTATAAAGGGCCCCAAAAGACTATTGTAAAACAATTCAAACAGGAAAACCCTGTCTTGTCTTGATGAAGTTGAAAAGTGAGACTTAGGCACACTGTTTCTGGTGGCTGTGGCCAATACTATGTATTAGTTTATGATAAGGTCATTTTAAGGGGAACATCAATGATATTTGGTATGCAGTTGTATCACCATTGGCACATCTCATTACCATGAAGATAACACAGTCCCCTTATTAATGGTCTATTGACTTTTTTGCTTAATTAACATGTTAAAGTTTGTGATTAGGTCATCTTAAGGGGACATCTTATGATCATTTAATGGTATTTGGGATGCAGTTGTATTAGCATTTGAATTTCGAATTTCCACTGAGGTTATTTGGCAGTGCAACCTCAGTCATAGTTCATTGACTTTGAATGTTAAGTTCACATGTTAAAGTATTGCCATTTTAATTTCAACATTTTCATTTTACTGTACAAATTACATAAAGGCGAAACATATCTCTGTGTCAACAGTTTATTTGATTTTGATTTTGACATTTAAGGGGCCAAAAAAGTTTCCTTATCATATCTTATACCTTCTACTTTGAAAAAAGAAAATAACTGTGGACGATGCGGAACTACAGGAGTGGGTAAAGAATAGAATTTATTAATGTATTTTATCTTGCTTTTGTTACAAATTATTAAATCTTTATTTTAATTTCAGGGTTTTGAAGAGGGTATTGTAAAACTAAAGATGCAGGGTTCTTGTACAAGTTGTCCAAGTTCAGTTGTTACACTGAAACATGGAGTACAAAATATGTTACAGTTTTATATACCAGAAGTAATGGGAGTGGAACAGATTGAGGACGAAGTTGACAGTATTAGTGAACAAGAATTTGTAAAATTTGAGAAAAGTATTGGAGAATCAAAAGATTCCTCTTAAGGAATGTTTGTTAATGGTGACCACATCTGTAAATTTACTGTTATGAATTGTTTTACTAAAAGTAGATATATTTGAAAAATGTTGTGCCAAGTGTGTTTTGAATCATTAAATAAGATGCTTTGTAAACAGAAATTTTGTTTGGCATTTATTTGCATTTTCATGGTTTGGATTTGATATTGAAGCAACTATTTTTCAAACCACTTCTTTATATTACTAAAGAATTGAATGCTTCTTTTTGTTATTTTATTGGGGTGTAAAAGCATGAAAGTGCTTCATACTAAAAATGTGCACATAATCAACCCATAACAACAGTATAAAATTACAAAAAGGAGCATTCCGTTCTTCTAATTACATTTCTATGCTAAAACCATTGGATAAGATACCATGCTTTTAGTTTGTTTTCCTATACATTGTTGTAATCTTTTCATTTGAAGCACATGCCGTCATAAATTTTGAATTTTATTGGGAAATAAAATATAATTTTGGAATGCCTCATGATTGTTGTCTGCCAATCAGAATAATTGATTCTGATAAACCATATATTTAATGTAATAATTATTGTATAGAAAATACTTTATTATTAATAATGCATCAGTAAATAATATCTAAACTGAATCACCATTTAAGACAGAGCAATGCACACCTAGATTGATAAAGTCTATGTAGCTGAAATTTTATTTTCTCTCAACAAAATTCCAGGGTTTTCATGAAGAGCCGGCACCCGGCGGAATGTCACCGTTTCAAAAGACAGAAATCGCCGGTTCAAATGCTTAAACAAAAAATATTTTTGAAGAGAATAAAATAAAAACAAAGTTTTATTAACCTTTTGTCTCATGGAGTTTTTAGTTTCATAGATTTTTCAAAAACGATGGTTTTTTATAACCGACTGGACCATTTTGTCTGACTGAAAGTAAACTTAAAATCGGCGTCAGTAAGACGTTTGCCGGCATTCAAATACGATATTCAATCAATCGCTTGAATGATCAAGATTGATAATTGTAAAATCAAGAGAGATATCAAAATAAAAACGTATGTTATCAATGGATAACTCATGAGAAACCAAAATTAAAAAGGTTTTAGGAGGCAATTTTTTAAATTGCATGTCAATAAATTAAATGAAACTGAATGAAATGAAAGACCAAAAGTGAATGATTTCTTTACCAGCAAAAAGACAAAATCATTGGAACCATTTACAGGTAAAACTTTTTATTTGAAGTTATCAAATTTCAAAGAAGCCTTAGAAGGTCTGTACAGTCTCATGTTTATAATGAGGCCTGCCCAAGCTTGCCTTCTATGCCCTTTTTATAATGTTACAAGTATTTCATTTATTATTACCACCCTTTAACTCTTGGGGAGGGAATGGGAGTTGAAAATAGTGCCTAGGCTAGGAGGGGTGCTGCCCATTTTTTTTTTTTTTTACCTTTTCTCTTCAGTTTGTAGTATATAGTTCCATGTTTATCACTGCCCATTTGTTGTGGATGGGGCCATCAAAGAAGCCTAGGATAGGAGGAAGGCTTCCCATTTTTTATTTATAGTTGGACCTTTCCCCTCAAGTTTTCTGAAAAAGTAGGTAGGAGGGTAAATGCCAAGGCTAGGGAAAAGGCTTTCTTTATTTTTTTCAGTTATAATTTCCCCTTGCTGATCATTAGCCCACTCATTGAAAAAAGTACCAATGTTGGGATGGGTCCTGCCTCAGTTTGATTTTTTTTTACATTAACCAAACCTATCTCAAATGGAAGCCTTTGTTAAAAGTGCTGGCTAAGACTGGGTGGACATTTTCCCACTTCAGCATATATGTCCTTTCCCAGGTTTGCATGTTTTTATTGAAATATAGAACACATGAAAATAATATTTCTTTTCTGGATCAAAACTGAAATTGTCAGATTTTGCAGATGACATATATACATGTAGGTCATACATAAATAGGAGAAGATGTGTTATGAGTGCCAATGAGACAACTCTCCATCCAAGTCACAATTTGTAAAAGTAAACCATTATAGGTCAAAGTAAGGCCTTCAACACAGAGTCTTGGTATTAATAGTTTATGCTGACCCTCCGTTGCTTTCTTACTTTTTGCGAAATCTGGCAATACAATAACAATTAAGATTGTTTTTTACATATTTTTATTTGTCTTATTTTAATACGCAATATCACAAGATTGACCTTACAAGCTAAAAAAAAAGATAACATACCTATGAAACCCCATTTTTTATGCACTTGTAAATAGTGTGAAAATGCCTCAGAGTGCACCATTTTCAATGTAAAGTCAAACAAAATTTCGGGGGGGGCAAGCCCCCCTGACCCCCCCTTTTGGGTCAGCCACTTCAAATTAGTAAACAGCCTGTTCATTGAAAAGTAATTGAAAGCCCTGAAATTCTATCTGTTGTTTTACCTTACCTCTATTTGTATACTTATAAACTAGTCTGCAACTTTTTGAGATAGATCACATAATCCCAGCTTGACTTATGGTTTGTGATAAGACCAGAAGTGGTAAAATAAAGTACTTTGTACCAAGATTGAAATTATAAGTAGAAGGTTTTGACTTCAGGGCAATAACAATTATGCTCCATGTGGGGGAGAATATTATTGCTCTTATGGAAGAGCCTACCAGCTATATCACAATGGGGTTTTATGCGATAAGCAAAAGGGATATTTTGGACATAATTCCTTAACTATATTTATAAAAAACACAAAACATAAAAGGAAGAGTCATTTAAAATCACTTGCTGGAGTTGAGAGAAAACCTGGACTCCCTAGAGTTGTGCATAGATGTTGGGTGTCCCAAACAGGTTCTTTGTTGATATTTATTATTATATATGTTTTACAACATGTGATGTAAATTGATATTCATTAAAATTTAAATAATATAACAGTATTTTTTTGTTTTTAAAAGAAATGTTCAGCACTTAAATTCCGGTATGCATGGCAGGTTCTATTCTGTAGTAAATGATTTCAAATGTGTTTAGAGACCACAAAAGTTTGAAATTTTATATTTACACATCTTCACTAGTCAGGAACAATGATCAGTTCCTCTCCACTTTACTATTGGCGGACTTAACATGTATTTTGTAATTCATTTTCATCTTCAACTATTGAGACACTGAGTTTAATCCCTAGAATTTCTATGTAATATGTAACATTCATAATGCGAATGTTCTGAAAAACAAAAATTAATACAAAACAAAATAACTCTTAAATGCACAAAAGACAAATTGAACAGGAACATATCTTAATCCCCCATAGTAGAAATGCGTCCAAAAAAGGGCTTAAATGATTGGCAAAAACTATCCTTAATCGACTGAAGGTGAAATGTTCATATGATAACCAAAAGATTCGTGCTGAGCTATTATTTTTGGACTGTTAGACTGATATGTTGATGTGATTTTCACAGAAAAAATGGGTCCCTTCTTAAGATGACAAATTGAGTTTTCATTCTTCCAACACTTAATCAAGTTGGCAGGCAATATTCAACAGAAAATGCTTGACAAATATGTTGAGGTAATTTTCAAAGAACTGGTTTCCCTATTCTTTATTACATAGGCTGTTATACTTTTGCCTTACAGTTAACTTTTGTATACAGTATCTGAGGCAAAGGAATTGATAATGCATCTCAGCTGGTGACCATGCACAGTTCCATTTCTCATCAGCACCTAACCTATGGAAAAAAAACTCATCAAAAATACTTGGCTTATAATTTTATATGTCCGACCTGCGTTTTCATCTACAAAAGACTCATCAGTGACGCTTGAAAAAAAAAAGTTAGAAGGCCAAATAAAGTACTAAATTGAGGACCCAAAATTGCGAAAGATTTTGCAAACTACAGCTTAGGTAATTTATACATGGGGTAGAAAATCCTTAGTATTTCTAAATCGATGTTTTATTATCATAATATATAAATATGACCATATCAATGATATTTTATGTGTCTTTGTCAACACAGAAGTGCTGATTACTGGGCTTGTGATACCATCGGGGAGGACACCTCCATCAGCAGTGCCATCGACACAGTGGTTGTAAAAAACTCAACCAAGATACTGTGCTTATAATTTTGAACGCCAAATGCGCGTTTCGTCTACGAAATACCCATCAGTGACGCTCGAATTAAAAAAGTTAAAATACCAAATGGGGTACAAAGTTGAATAGCATTGAGGATCAAAAATTCAGATTTTTCCCAAAACAGTTAGGGTATTCTATTCCTGGGGTAGAAATTCCTTAGTACCGGTATTTTGAAATCCAAAGTTTTGTAAACCAATTATTTTTAAATGTGACAATATCAATGATATTTAATGTCAAAATAAAGTACGAAGTTGAAGAATATAAGGGACCCAAAAATTGAAAATTCTTAAAGCTTTTGCCAAATAGAGGTAAGGTAATCTATTCCTGGTGTAGAAAATGCTTAGTATTTCATAATTCAAAATTTTGTAGGCAATTAATCTTTAAATATGAGCATATCAATGATATTTAACGTCTGGCTACACAGAAATGCTGACTACTGGACTGGTGGTATCACCGTGGAGGAAACCAACACCAGCAGTGACATCGACAAAGTGGTTGAAAAATATTCATCAAAATACCGGTCCTAATCTTGTACGCTGGTCACATGTTTTGTCTAAAAGACTCATCAGTGATGCAAATCAAAAAAAGTTAAAAGGCCAAATAAAGTACAAAGTTGAAGATTATAAGGGACCGAAAATTCCCAAGGGTTTTGCCAAAATGAGCTAAGGTAATCTATTTCTGGGATAGGAAATCCTTAGACATTTTATGTCAACACAAAAGTGCTGATTACTGAGCTGGCAATTCCTTAGGGGAGGAAACTTCTCACAACAGTCACATCTGCCCAGTAGTGTAAAAAACTCATCAAAGGCATCAAAGATACCAGGCTTATAATTTTGTACGTCAGATGCGCATTTCGTCTACAAAAGACTCATCTGTAACGATCGAATAAAGAAAGTTAAGGACTAAATGTAGCACGAAGTTGAAGAGCATAGGAGACCCAAAATGCCGAAAGGTTATGCCAAATACAGGTAAGATTATCTATTCCGCAGATAGAAAACATTAGTATATCGATAATCAATTTTTTGTAAACAGCTTATTCATAGATATGAACATATCAATGATATTTCATGTCAACACAGACTACTGACCGGGTGATTCCCTTGAGGAGGATACCTCCATCAACAGTGGCTAACTACTGACCTGGTGATAACCTCGAGAAGTAAACCTCCAGCAGTGGCAATGAGGTTTACAAGTATTGATCTACAGACTTACAAATTCTATGCCTTCAATCGAAAATTAGTATTTTTTAATAAATTGATGCAAAGTTGGTGTAAGCCTACAATCAGCTTCAGGTGAAGAACTTGTTAATGTGAAACGAATATTAACCTCTCATGTGATAAAAACTTATCAAAGATACCAAGTTTGTGATTTTGTACGCCATACGCGCGCTTCTTCAAAAGTATTTAAAACCAGTGCCACTCGAATAAACATAGCGTAAAGACGAGATAGAACGACATACTTGTTGAGAATACCGCGGGAGTTAAGACGTCGCGTTTTACCAATTGTATCTTGGGTTGACGTCAATGCGGGACGTAGCCTTAGCAGCTCGGATATATATGAAGTAAACGTTAAACTGTATGGTTGTGTTCTTTCTGTATAACGATAGTTGAGTTAGCCCCGACATTTATGGTGCCGTAACCAAAGGATTACATCGAAGATGGAGAAGTTAAAGAATGTAAGAACTGGAAATAGAAGTGCAGTGACGAGACTTTTCCGAAAATTCTAGGAGGCGATGGAAAACATGGGCTTCGACAGAGATGAACTACTTGCAACATACGATAGTCTTACGCAAAAGAAGAAATTGTATGAAAAACTGAACGAACAGATATTGGAAGCAACGGATTCAGACAACGTTGAAAGTGAAATAGTAGATACAGATGAGTATTCAAATAATTTAGACACTAAACTTAGACATTTTCGTAATTTCATACAAATTGGTCAAAACCGTACACCAAGTTCCAATGTAACACAATCTTCATATCAAGTACTCAATGTAGAAAGCCCTCCTTTCCGCCCGGCAAATGTTGATAACTTTCAAAACACAACACCACTCTATGCTTCATCCGCCGTTCAACCACAGACAAGCTACAATGACTCTGATACAGGTCATATTGCTCCACAAAATATAGCTAGTACTAGTAACCATCGTTTACCCAAGTTATCACTACCGAAGTTTAATGGCAACATTTTAGATTGGCAAACGTTTTGGGACTCGTACGAATCTGCTGTACATTTCAATCCTACTTTGACAAACATTGAAAAATTTAATTATCTTAAATCGCAACTTGAAAGCGAGACATTCAATATGATAACTGGATTTGCGCTTACAAATGATAATTACATGGAGGCTATAAATGTACTCAAGGAACGGTTCGGACAAACACACAGAATTACGGAAGCCTACTTACAAGCTCTTTTAGATATTGCCCAACCACGACACACCTTGTCAAGCTTAAGATTATTTTATGACCGATGTCAAGCCTACGTAAGAGGTTTAGATTCGCTCGGACAACCTGAGACGTCACATGGAACTTTACTGGTACCGATTATCATGAGAAAGTTACCCAGTGAAATCAGACAACGCTTAGCCAGAGAACACGGACCGTCTAGTTGGAATTTGAAAGACCTGAGAAGGAGCATATAGAATGAAATTCAAATCATGGAGGTAGGACAAATACAGGTACATATCTCAGTCAGTTCGCAACTGCATCTACATGTACGTTTCATACAGGAACAGAATCATCGCGAGAAAACACATCACACAACGCGAAAAGTCAACCCCGGAATATTACGGAAAGACCATGTGTTTTTTGTAAAGAGATACATGCACCAGTACACTGTACCAATGTTAGTAATCATAAAGCTCGCATGTCTATCGTAAAACGTGATAATTTATGCTTTAATTGTTTAGGTAATCATTATGCCAATGAGTGTCAATTGAAACGAACGTGTCGACACTGCAACCAGAGACATCATTCCAGACTTTGTAGTGCAAGTAGCAATGTTAACAGCGAAGGTTTAGCATTCATTACAAGCAATACAAATAAACAGATTCAATCTACACCCGTCAATCTTATAAATGACATTGAAAACGAGGAAGATACTAAAGTTTTGCATTCATTGACACAGATGCGTACAAATGTGCTACTGAAAACGGCTGTAGCTCCTGTATGGTCAGGTAATATATGTATGGATACGAATGATTTATTTGATGAGGGTGCACAAAGATATTTTTTAAAAGATGATCTAGCGAAGAAATTGAATTTGAAAACTGAAGGAGCTGAAGTTGTACACCTATCGGCATTTGGAAAGGACAACACAAGTACGAGAGAACTACGCAAAACTACCGTATTTGTCGAAACCGAAAATAGTCGTAAATTTCCTATTGAAGTCCTTATTGTTCCTACTATAGCAGTTCCAATACATAATCATATGCGGTACGTAAACCAAAATATGGATTATATCAAAGGATTAAGACTCGCTCATCCAGTTACTCAGGAATATTCTTTTGAGATATCGTTACTTATTGGTGCCGACTACTATTGGAACTTTATCGAAGACAAAGTAATAAGAGGAGACGGACCGATCGCGGTTAAGTCAAAGCTTGGATACTTACTATCAAGAAGGGTACGTTCATCTACGACATCCAGCATCTTGAACGTACTGGTTTCGAATAAATCAGAGGAATTTGGCTTAAAAGAAATTATAAAGGAACAGACACGTCGTGGATTTATCGAGAGAGATGAGGAAGCAGAACCGACAGGGAAAATATTAAAAGATGGACTGAATGATACGTATCTAATGAACTGTTGTGACTTAATATGGACCTTACGAAAATGTTTGATTTATTGACTTACTTTCAAAAACCTATTATATGATACTACTTCATTGAAAGAAGGAACAGGTGCATGGAAAATATAGACATACTGTGATTTGTGTATACGAGATAGAATCATTGTGATTTAATTCGAAGATAACTAATCTGGAAGTTAATGACTGTGCTAAAGTTATTAAGTTCAAGTTTTAGATTTGATAGACAGTAATTTTAATTTATTTTTACTTTATTGTAATTTAATTTTAATATTTACTTTTAGCGGCCCGGAGAATGTTGAGAATACCGCGGGAGTTAAGACGTCGCGTTTTACCAATTGTATCTAGGGTTGACGTCAATGCGGGACGTAGCATTAGCAGCTCGAATATATATGAAGTAAACGTTAAACTGTATGGTTGTGTTCTTTCTGTATAACGATAGTTGAGTTAGCCCCGACAATACTAAGCCATATTTCTAAAATTTAAGATATATAACACTTTGGACACAACCATCCATAAGTAACACCAATGAGCGAGATATTGATGACTTAATGAAAGACAACTCAACTGTCTCAAATGCATTCAAACCACACTTTGTTTTTATACTAAAGCAAAATAAGACTAATTTTATCCGGAAACATGCAGTATATGTTTATTAAAAAGCAGAATATATTCGACTGTAGAGGCAAAGAAATGTTGAAATTATAAAAAAAAACCGGATCACAATAAAAATGTCGACGAAAAGGCTTGGTGACAATTTACACGAAGCACAATCACTTTGGAAGCTGACATGCGTCGTCTTCAAATTGGCGCCGATATTCAAACTACTTCAACCTTTTGATTTGGGAAAACTAACGCCTAATATATTGTCAAAAAGGTGAAAACTTAGTCATTTTATGAAGATTTTTTTTAATGAGACGTGAATAGCAAGCGTTAAGTAAGTTTAAAAACAAACTTTAATCTCCTTTTTTGAAAACTTCACACTATCTTAAATGAAACACAAGTAGTTATATAAATATATCACAGACAATACGTCCAATCACATTTACAACTCACAGACTTTTTCTCCTGCAAAGCAGCTGTTTTAACGTCATTCAAATCACTATACAGAAAGATGAGCATATTGTAACCATACAGGTATATTTACTACAGGCTACCATTTTGAACATTCTTATAAAAATTACTCATCATCGTTTGGAATTGTAATCCAGTATTTAGGATCGGTTTTTGTATCTCTACTTCTTGTTGATTGTTTAATCTTTGATTTTGTGTTTGCATCAGTAAAAAATTCCATGTCTAATTTTCCTTCGTATTCTCTCGTTCCATCGAATATTTCTGGTTCTTTATTCCTATTACGCCGACGCGAACGCTTCTTTCCGGTTCCTGTTGCAGAATCTTTCGTCAAAGGTACCAAGGTGTTACCTCTCCCCTGTATTGTTGCCATCAGAGCAGGATTAAGCATATCACTTGCTAGCAGTTCCGTTTTACTTCCTGAACTCATTGCTTGCCAGTTTTGAGAGTGAGAAATATCTGCTGACCCTTCCTTTCCGTCATCCGTTGGCCGAACTGCTTTGGCAACTTTCTTGTGATATACTACAAAAACGATAATAATCACAATAATAATCAGCAGGAAAACAACTGCAAGTATGATGACAACCAACTTCAAATTACCAGAGTCTTCCTTCACTGATTTTCCTATAGGGGGAGGTGTTACCGATGTATCATTGCCAAGGGTGACCAAAAGTGTAGCATCATCAAAAAGCTGCTTAGTTGAATCTTCTGTTGCCTATCAAAAAAGAGAGACAGACATGTCCAATTTATAAATCCACATTAGAAAACAGAATTGGAAGAAGTGAAAACTTAAACCAAATAGGAAATGAAACTGTAAGACACTGATGACCTACTTTAGAAACAAAATTTCATATATCTTCGATCGTTAGCTGTTTGTGTCGTGATTTGTGGACTTGTTTGCGTTTTTTTCTTTTCTTTCTTTTGACTATATGGTGTTTTCTCTCTTTGTAGTGAGATTTAATTTGTTGTTGTCCATTGACTTACGTGGATCATGGGAAAATTGTATTTACGTTAATTATGAATCTACATGTAGTACTATTAAATTATAAAAAAAAAAAATTCAAATAACAATTGATTAGATATTTATGGTGGTACCAAACACCTTGACTAAAATCAATTAAACTCGTTTAATTTTCATAAAATTTTGACAAAATATTATTTTGACCCTTTGACAAAAATGTAAAAATTTCAAAAAACAACACACTTTATATCGGAAAAATTTCATTGGGTACATAGCAGTTTGACAAACACTAATTTTGATAATTGAGAAGCTAAATATTTCAATAACAATAGAACGTGATTAAAACGTTCAGCTGATTTTTAAAGAGTATCTCCCTGTAGTGTTGTATGCCACCTTAAAACAGCAATATTACTAGTAAAAGGTAAAATCATGTCAAATGTTTCATTCAAAGTCAATTATCTTTGAAATGAATATAGGTTCATATCATATTTGAATTGAAAAATATATAACAATTCTTACACTTAACAAGTGAACATCTCCCATCACGCTCATAATACAGACAATACAAATATCAAAATTGAAATAATCGACTATTATAAATACCTTTATAATAAGTACACCAGTACTTAGCACATTCAAAATTTGAGTGATGTTGCCAGTTCTGCTGTCTATTGAGAATGAGCTCCAATATATATATGGCACTTAAAAAGAATATAAAGAAATTGAAAACAACACGTTATACATTTCATGCGCTCGAAACGGTTTTATGGATTTACCTTCATCAGGAACGCTCAAAGCAAATATTTGAAAGCCAAGGAAGAATAAGGACCGAAAACGTTGAAGAGCTATTAACCAAAAAGGATCTATAAAAATATAGCCAAATCCATCATAAGGCCAACTTTGCCTGAGGGAGTTGAAACCTTAGTTTCTGTATAATTTCAAAATTTATAAACGGGCAATTTCAGATAGTATGTTATAAATCATGTCAGTACCGAAGTACTGACTACTGAGTTGATGATACCCTCGGGGACTGATAGTCCACCAGCAGAGGTATCGACCCAGTGCTGTTAAAAAAATTGAAAACAACACGTTATAAATTCCCTGCGTTCGAAGCGCTTTTCTGGATTGACCTTCATCAGGAACGCTCAAAGCCGAAAAAACTGGATTTAATATTTTGATACTACACATGCAATAGAAAAATAAGCATTCAAATCACAGCGAAACTGTAATATTTTAGTGTTTTGTTCTGGTTTTCCTAAAGAATGGATAGGAATTAAGTATTGACATTTTCCCGCATTTCACTCGCGGGATCACCGAGTCAAAATTCAAAAGTAATCCAAATCTTGAAAATTTGTATATCAAAGAATTTACGTGATTTGAAACAAAAATCAGCAGTCACCAAATCAAAATGCTATTCAGTGTTATATTATATTGCTATGGAGACAGTTTTGAAACAATAGTTCAGGTTTGAAAGTTTATATTAAACTTCAATCCAAAGGATTTTGTTTTATCTGAAAGACACACATAGCTTGAATTTCATTTTTTTTTGTTTTTGTTTTTTTTTTAATGTCATTCTTTTCTATTTTTGAAAATTAATCACTCTAAATTCGCCAAAATCTTTTTAGAATTGTAGATTTCAGCAATTTTGGTCACTTTTCTAGATATACTGAATTACAATTGTCGTAACTACAATCCTGTCCCCATGCCCCCGAATGTGACCTACCGAATTAGACTTATCACAGGGTTTGTACTAACATGAGTAACACGACGTGTGTTACATGTGAAGCAGGATCTGCTTATCCATCCGGAGCACCTGAGATTATCCCCTTTTTTAGTGATGTTCGTGTTGCTCAGTCTTTAGTTTTCTATGTTGTGTATTGTGTACTGTTGTTTGTCTGTTGGTCTTTTTCATTTTTTGCCATGGCGTTGTGTGTTTATTTTCGACTTATGAGTTTGAATGTCCCTTTAGTATCTGTCGCCTCTCTTTTATGCTATCAAAATCTCAAAGTATGCATCTGAAGCTGTGATTCAATAATATGTGGTACATATTTAAGTTTGGCCAGCATATAGAGCAAACACAAATCAGGAAAAGATGGCTCTGTGCTTTGTGCGATAGCGTAATCAATGAATTTAAAGTTATTGTTTTCTTTTCTTGTCTGTCCACATACATACATATGCATTTCAAATTTGCATACTAAAGTAGAAGAATGAATTTGAAAACTATCTAATTCCGCTACGATTTATTCATATATTGATAAGATTATGTCGTTATGCTAAATTCAAATGAGTTAATATTTGATCACAGAGAATGCCCAACATTTATAAGGATTGGGATGGAATATAATACAGTCATACCTGGCTCCAACGTGTAGACGATAGAATTGTTGAACGAATCTGGATCTTTTGCCAAAACTTTCATAGGTTTAATTCCTAGAACTCCCTAAAAGGAAAAAAATCGACATAACTGTAAAGATAACAAAGAAGCTGGAATGGCACTTTGGGGAGGTCGGGATGTGTTTCCAAATTTTTGGCCTTTCCACCTTCCAATTTTAAAACCAAAATAAGATTACATATTTCATTTCGTATCAAACTTTAGTTTTCTATCCGTTTTACACTTTCCATCACAAATTTATAAAAGTAATTTTCTTCCAAAGACTATAAAAGAGAGACGAAAGATACCAAAGGGACATTCAAACTCATAAGTCGAAAATAAATTGACAACGCCATGGCTAAAAAAGAAAAAAGACCAACGGACAAACAACAGTACACAAAACACAACATAGAAAACTAAAGACAGGGCAACACTTAGATATTACTTATGACAACTTCAGTCTCAAGACATGCCACGGGGTTAAACAAGTTAATGAGTACCTAGCTACATCTTTAAAATGTTACTAGACTTAAATGTATGTTATAGCAGTATTGAAATATTTGAATTGCCATAACTTTTCTTTCGTGGTCCAAATTAAAAGAAAAATAAACATAAAAGTTCCATTGTTAAGGAAGAAATACATCGTTATACTCTACTAAAGTATAAACTCACTCTATAACCAGCCTGTGTGTTTGTTCTATATTGAGCCTTGCATGGTGGCACACACATACTGAACATAGGTTTCTGGTCGTCCACATCTCTGATGGTGATTTTCAAAGTAGTCCACGACTTTAGATATGTGGTATCCTATTTTAAAGTAGTATATCAAGTTATTTAACTAATTTATTCTTTCTGAAGTCAATCATTTTAAAGATGTAAACAATATAATCTTATCCAATACAAAAATCGTATCCCGATGTTCAAAATTCAAATTCAAAGTTTTACATGTCTTCCTTTTGGTATGCACATAAGTTATTTTCTTGTTACTAAATATTAAATCGCCAATTTTAAATTGCAGCATTAAAATTATATATGTATAGGGTCCGAAAAAATTTGTTCTAGACACAAGAGAAAGCTTGTTTTCTCCTTTTTACTTAAGCTCGTAAAAACAGTTTTATTTTCCAACAATTAAATGCATCCATTTTCTCTTGCCAATTCTTGCATTTAATTTTATAATATTTTGAAGTTTTAAGTGATATATATCTATAGCTTATACTTTCCTTGTTGATTTGAGATTAATACGAACAAAAATAAAGTAAATTTAAAAGAAAATAATATTATGAAATACGTGTTGAAAATGTTGATTTAATTTCCAATCATTGATATTTTACCTCTGCTGTTAAATTCAGCATAAAATAGGTTGGTTTGCCTCTACTATACAAATCGTCAAAATCTATTGATTTCTTCAGGGTAACAAGTCCGCTAGATGAAAATTTGATTTGAAAATATTCCCTGCCGTCTACACTCTGAATAATACAATAATTATACAAGATAACTCACAGTCACATATCCTGAAATCCTGTCAAAATAGTTTTTTTATGTTAAGCATATCGGAAAGTATTGTACTTCTTATATGAGGCAAATTGTAAGTACACAAATAATGAACATGTGCGATGTCCTTTTTGTAGGACAGCAGGGGTTGAGACAAGCGTATGATTATCAAATTCCTCTTATTTGACACTAATTTTCTCAAATCCTTCCTTCCAATCCCCCAGGTCCTCCCTTTCTTCTTTGCATCCTTCTCGTTTTCTTCGACTTTTTGTTTTAAGACCTCCTTGGTATCGTCTCACTCATTTTTGCAATACATGTCCCTATGTATAATATATCTTTCATCTCTTGTTATAATCTTCAGATGAGCTTGTGAACTACGATCTATCTAAGTTCGACAAGTCTTCAAGATCTCTTTTAATAACATATAACGAAATTGTTATCTTAACTAAAATGTACAAAGGTTGCGTAAAAAAACCAAACAGACAGTGCACAACTTAATTAAATGTACTATACACAATCTAAAATCCAGCAAAGTAACGAAATAAGACATACCGGCTGCACTTTGTACGGTTCTATATAAAAATTAAAGCCGCCATTTCTACGAACATCACGATCTTCTACATGTTCTGGAACATTAAATATGGTTGTTCCATTTGGCTTGTCCTGCAGAGAAAAAGTTCAGTTAACAGAATCGACCCCTTGTATGTACTTGCTTTACATTCATTTGTTAAAACTCTTTTTAGAATTACCATTCTCCCTCAGCTGACAAAACTTCTATTTCAATGGTAAAATGTTGTATATTACCTGCCCTTTTACCTCGTAAGCAGGCAAATTTTTTGGTATTTTTTGCCATAGTTCATTTATCTATATCACCTAAGTTTACTCAAATAAAATCCTTAAGTCATTTAGTTGGTCGTGCCACTGGCTATTATGGTATACGTATGAATTTTGGAATAATGCATGTGGAATGGCATATAATTTCCACTTGGGAACTCTCTGGTCTCACTATTTGGATTTTACACGGTCTTTCCTTCTTTTATTCTCAGTTTTGTTATGCGTGTACATAGACAAATTATTTTTAAAGCTGGACAGTGGTTCTTTTGTTTTGTTATTTTACCACTGTCACAGATTAGAGAGGGTTGAGCGTACGTAAACATTTTCAAATCCGCCCTATTATTCATGTACCTAATACAAGTCAGGAGCCTAAAATCAAGTGGTTGCTGTTTGTCATATTTGTTTTTCGTGTATTGTGTTGTCAATATCAGGCCTTTGGTTTCCTCATTTGAATTCTTGCACATTTTGTCATGTCGGTGACTTATATAGCTGACTATACGGTATTGGACTCACTCATTGTTAAAGGCGTACGATGACCTATAAATGCTAATATCTACTTCATTTGGTTACTGATGGAAAGTTGTCTCATTGGCAATCATATATGACTTTAGATTTTAATATATAATTGTATCTTGCTTGTGTACGAAGAGTCACTGTACTTGAACGCCACATCATAATATAATAAAATAGTCTAAAATGTATTAGACTTAGTATACATTTGTAAGTAAAATATACAGTTATTTCATTATTGGACTGTATTCAAGAGACAATTATAGATGTACAGACACTTTTTGTTCAAAAAGTAAGAACATACCTCTGTCATATCTATATTGTATGGCCTGTCCTTGAAATAAGGTGGAAATTCATTCACTGCATCAATCAGAACCGGTATCTGCATGACGGATAAGAAAAAACATTATCAATACAGATAAATTCATAAAATCATAAAATCATATTATGCAGATCCAGCTTACAATGCATAAAAAAAGGCAAACATATACTAATGTATTAAGAGTAGAATAGTTTTTCATAGCGATGATAAATTAAATTTAGCACGGCAAATATGTCATGCCGGCATAGTCAGGACGAGAATAAGCAAATAAAAATCATTTAGACCGTCCAAGAGCGAGACATTTTGATTGCAACTGTGAACAAGAGGCTCTCAAGAGCCTACATTGCTCACCTGTAATTTTTTGCTTAAATCTTTCATCAATGATCAATATTTTTGCTTTTCAATATATATTAATGAGTGGCTTAAAAATGCCATTTAAATGTTCTTTGTATCTGTCATATTTTCTTCAATAGCAAAAAGTGCATTTTACCCCTATGTTCCATTTTAGCCATAGTGGCTATGTTTCTTGACGTACAAGGAAATAAAATACAGAATTTATACTACATACTCTAAAACTCATTCAGCCCAAGTTTGGCTGAAATTGATTCAGCAGTTTCAAAGGAGAAGATTTGTAGATCTTACTTTGCTGAACATTTTTGCTGTTTATCTTTATCTATAATAATATTCAAGATAAAAACCGAAAACTGAAAAATTTCCTTAAAATCATCAATTCAGGGGCAATACTAAAAATCAGATACCCGATTTAGCTGATAATTTCAGGGCAGGTAGACCTTGACCTAATGAATACTTTTACTTGTTGTCTGATTTGCTCTAAATGCTTTAGTTCTTAAATATAAGTCAAAAACTGCATTTTACCCTATGTTCTATTTTTAGCCATGGCGGCCATGTTTTCTGAGGAAACAGAAAATAAAACACATTCTTTATTCTAGATAACCTAAGAATCATTCAGCTTAAGTTTGGTTTAATTTGGTTCAGTAGTTTCAGAGGAGAAGATTTTTTAAAGTTAGAAAACATGATAAACAAGTTGTGTAAAATTGTCCTTAAAGGGCAATAACTCCTTAAGGGGTCAATTGATAATATTGGTCATTCAACTTATTTGTAGATCTTACTTTGCTGAACATTTTTGCTGTTTGCAGTTTATCTTTATCTATAATAATATTCATGATAATAACCAAAAACTGCAAAATTTCCTTAAAATTACCAATTTAGTGGCAGCAACCCAACAATGGATTGTTAGATTCATCTGAAAATTTCAGGGCTGATAGAACTTGCCCTAATGAACATTTTTATATCATGTCAGATTGCTCTAAATGCTTTAGTTTTTGAGATATAAGCCAAAAACTGCATTTTACCCCTATGTTCTATTTTTAGCCATGGCGACCATGTTTTTTGACAAAACAGAAAATAAAACACAAATTTTATTCTAGATACCTAAGGATCATTCAGCTTAAGTTTGGTTGGAATTGGTTCAGTAGTTTCAGAGGAGAAGATGTTTGAAATAGTTTACACCGGACGGACGACGACGACAATAGACGACGACGACGGACGACGACTGACGACGACGGACGTCAAGTGATGGCAAAAGCTCAAATTTCCTTTGGAAAGGTGAGCTAAAAAGAGAGTGAAAAATACCAAAGGGACATTCAAACTCGTTAAAGACTAAGCAACAACACAAACCCCGCAAAAACCGGGGGTGATCCCAGGTGCTCCTGAAGGGTAAGCAGATCATACTGAACATGTGACACCCGTCGTGGTACTCAAATAAAATATGTTGATACGTTATGTCAAGTGATTAGGCATCATGTAATAGCAGATTGGTAATCTACTATAGGATTAAACGCCTAAACTGGACCAAGTCACTCACAAACAAATAAAAGTCCAAAAGGACTTTTATAATATGTTTGTGAGTGACTTGGTCCAGTTTATACACCAATAAATACCTTTAAAAATGCTTTTAATCCTTATAGTTCTTTCAAATTTGAGATAAGGAATTTAGATTTCCCACTCGTAACCTCCATCACACGTAAATTGTATAGTTGTGTCATTGAATTGGCCTGGCGCATGAATAGTTATTTTGGTTAACGCAAAAAAAATGTACTCCATAAATTTGCTATCTGAGAAAAATAAACTACAAAATTATCTTATTATCATTCAAATGAATGTTTTGTGTTTATTATTTAATTAAACGATGAACGCGAAGTGAAAATAAATATTATAAATGTCCACACGGTTTGTGTTATTATCGCCGTCATCTTGTTTACATTGATTACGAAAAGTAGTTCCGCCAACGTTGTCTATCGAAAAATAAATAACTTCAAGAGCCACTACCGGAAGCCCTCTCGACCAATCATATAAACTATTCCGTAATATGCAAATAATATACGAATTATTCCTAAATAATCGTAAGACATCACATTATTCATTAACCATCGGTCATGTAAATTTTCTAACCCTGCAACTTAACCGAACTGCGAAATTTTGAAATTGAAACACTTTTTTTTCATGACAAAGGATAGAGAAGACGTCACCTACATTAAAAACAAAACAAAAGCACAAAGAACAACACTAAAAACTAATGCAAGAGCAACACAAACTCCTTTTAAACAAAACTACAAAACTAGGGGTACTCTCAGGTGCTCCGGAAGGATAGGCAGATCTTGCTCCACATGTGACACCCGTCGTGTTGCTAATGAAAGTACAAGCCCGGTGATACTTCTAATTCGGTAGGTCACATTCGAGGAAAAGAGGACGTGATTGTGGTTACCACTATTGAAAATATCCGTCGTCTTCTCTGAAACAGATATTTCATAACGGTCAACCAACTCGTAATGGTGTCCGTATAATTTCGAAGGGATGATTTCAACTTCACCACTTTGAACTCTTGGTTTAATAGCTTCCTTGTAAGAGCAAACCTCTATCAAGGTAATCATGATAGGAAATGTAAGATTTGGAATATCGTATCAACTGGGATATATATACATTAGTATCCCATAAAATGAGAAAAAGAGGGTAAACTGGATAGGATGAGTAAACTTTAACTAGCAATAGGTCGCTTTCTGACCCCTTGCCGCGTTATTGCAGTCAATTTTCTTACAGAAAGCATTAAACTCTCCGAGCTCAGGTATCCTTATTCTCTAAAAGTGTAACTGCGTATTTATGCATCCATGCAGCGCGCTGTAAAATGGACATTCCCTTAGCACACAAGTCTTAGTGCCAGACTGGAGAAGTACAAGCGACTAAATATGTATGCCCCAGTCAATACTTGTAATACCATGATACGAACATTGTATTTGCACGGACATGAACCAACAGTCTTAGGTAGAACTATGTTACCATTTATTGTGTTTGCTTCTTATCAAAATGACTTGGAGAAATAATGGTAAGGTACACACTAAGGAGACAGCAACATAACAAAAAACAACATTGGAATACATGTTGTGACCTTTAAAGATATAGTGTCAAACAGGTTAAATTGTATTTAAGTAAAAGAAAAAATAACAGTAAAAATACAACAAAAACAAACACAGAACTGAGTAAACAAATTGAGACCTTCCCTGCCTTTGATATAGTTTTCGGTAGCCAAATTAGAAAGCATAAAGCAAAATAAAACGGTGGTGTTCAACTACATTTTCGAGTCTTTTGACGAAGAAAACACATTGCCAAACGTGATTTAAAGATCCAGTGACTATTCCTACAGGTGTGTTGTTATATGTAAATCATTTGCATTCTATTTACCTCTCTCTTATCATATTCTGAACACTTGAACTCCAGTTGTATAGAACTAATATTAATCTGAAAAAAAAACCCATAACATATCCAACTTTAAAAATATTTCAGTATAACTGTCAGAAAATTTTACAAGAAAAGTGCGACTAGAGAGAAGAAATTAGAAAAATAACAATAAACAGCAGTTTATAATTATAAAAATAAACAGTGCTGACATTTCCGTAATGTACATGTAATATTGTCTCATATGCATGACAAAATAAAGAAATAACATTTCTCATAAAGTTATTGAAACCGACGTGTTAATTTGGCTTAACTGTACAGTAAAGTTTGTAATGACGATATATAAAGCTCCCTTCAACGATGCATATCCGTATAGAATTAGTTCCACCGCAGATAAAGTACATTATCGGAACATATCAAAATTTTTAGAACAGAAAAACGAAGTTTGTCGAGCATACTAATAGTTACTCACATACACCAATAGCTATGGATATAAAGACTATTTCCCTTTTGTTGGTGCAATACCATGACATACCACATTCTGTATGTGCCTGTCCGAAGTCAGGAGCCTGTTGTTCAGTGGTTGTCGTTGGTTCATGTCTGTCATATTCGTTTTTCGTTAATTGTTTTGTTATAAATTAGGCCGTTAGTTTTCGCAATTGAATTGTTTCATATTTTCCATGTCGGGGCCTTTTATAGCCGACTATACGCTATGGGTTCTCCTCATTGTTGAAGGCCGTACGGTTGCCTATAATTGCTTACATCCACTTTATTTGAATTTTGGTGGATAGTTGTCTCATTGGCAATCATACCTCATCTCCTTATTTTTATATTAAAGATTGTGCTACATATATATGATAAAAACTTACACGAATATACTTATTAAAGTCTTCCAAATCAAGCTCCTTTGTAACATAAAAGGATAAAATGTTTGTTTCATTATTCGCAGTTAAGTTGAAAAATGTGCGGACATATTCTCTATTCCGTTGATTTGAAGTTATACCGTTTAACTGCTTGACTTCCAAATTCCAATTACCAGTTTCCGAAGAGTTGTAACTAATGTTAAACTGAAGACCTGTATGAATAAAAAAAATAATGTTGCTTAACGTTATCAATGTACAAAAAATGAATATAATATAAACTAACCGATAACTGATTAAATGGTGTTTTGCGAACCAAAATTGTCGATTTATGCTCATATAATGTATACATCGGTTCACGTACATCAATCAATCAAATATTCCATTCACAAATGTAATTTTGACGATCACCTTCTGAACATCGAATATATCAATAAAATGTGAAACTTAAAAATGTGAAAATTTACATTGAGACATTACATCTATATTTTTAATATTATTTGCATGAAAATTAAGCGGTTAAAGCATGAAAATTGAGTTAAATCTTAAATTGCGTAGCTTGTATGTACATAAACACATTTATCATTACAAAAACAAGGTTTTAACTAGTTATATTGCCTTGAATAATATATGGTCAGATATCTATAACTATGACTAAACTTTCGTACATACCCGTTTCAACTTCTTTGAGTCTTATTTGGTAATGAATTTTCGCCAGCGTGTCTGAACAGCTTGAACTAGTAACTGAAATTTTTTACGGTACTTTTGATATATATTTAATCGTTACAGATATTCCAGCAATGAATGATAAAACAGGAAAATGTGTGTTCTTTCTGCAAATTTTCCTTCATAATATAGATTGTTCTGTAAACATCTTTCATGCATGTCATACCTCTTTCCTTTCCCAATGAGGATTGGATCCGTTCATGCAGGTAACACGACATTCAAAAGTATACGCACTCCTAACCAGAAAAAGGTTTGCAATGCTTAGACGTGTATTGTAATATCGTCTGATGAACATTTAAAATATATAGTTTTGAGTGATTATGTGGTTTCCGTTTAATTTGCGAAAATTGATTTAAACTGGTGAAGATATTGGAGCGATAATTATCTATGTTTTCTTTCTTCTGTTGTCTAAATGATATCGGGCATCGCGTTTTATTATCAAGTTTCAGAACTGCAATTGATTTCTGTACTATAGATGCTCATACATCAAACTGATTCTTTATGATGCACGTTATCAAAAATAGCAAACTTCCTCTAGCAAGGTAAAAGGCTAATTTCAACCCCTTTTAAAAAACATACATGACTACAGATAATGGATGGAGAGTTGTCTCATTGGCATTCATACCACATCTTCTTATTTATAAAGACTACAGCTAAAGATTCTTTAATAGATTGCTGTCTTCTTAACTTCCAGTGGCAAATATTCCATGCGTATTTAGGACAATAACAAATAAAAAAATTCAATAGGTAAGGTCTACATATTTGATCATCCGGAATGAAGGCTCATGATGAAGGGCAGACGTCCGGAATGAAGGCTCAGGATGAAAGGCAGACGTCCGGAATGAAGGCTCAGGATGAAGGGCAGACGTCTGGAATGAAGGCTCGGGATGAAGGGCAGACGTTTGTATTGTCACTGGAAAATGAGAGTAGTTTGATTGGTATAGAAATTTTTCACAGCATCGGGTCCATCAAGAGTGATTACAATAGTTCTTTAACTTTCAGAAAGCTTTACATTCTCTGTATCCAAGGCATCTGATTTAACGTCCCTATTCCTATTGAACGTGGCTGTGTATCTATTCATCCCGTACAACCAAAAAAATGTCCCTCTTCAGCATCGTTTTGGAGAAGCCCATGCATGATATTTATTATATCACCAGTCAAACCTTTGGGTTATTCAGTTAAAGATGTCATAATGTATTTAATTATGTTTTCTTTGAACAATAAACTTGTAGCAATTTTAAATCATACTATACAGAAAAATATATTTATAGGTTTAGATGTTTAACTTATAGTGAATTGTTTTAGATTATAAAGACCAAAAGCTTAAAACAACAAAGGGGTTTTGATCAAAATTATATTTAAGTCCTTCTTAAAAATAAGATAGATTGGTCTTCATTTGATATCAAGAATGGGGAGATTGATGTGTAATTTAGCGTTTTGAAATTATAACACATATTTCTTCTGTGAGAAAAAAACCGATGGTGAGAAATATTATAATTTTTCAACTAGTTGTGGATAATTTAAAAAAATATTTCATTAAATTGTTCATAAACTAATATAGTTATTACGTTGGTTGATTTGTCTTGTTAGGTAATAATTACATAGATGTTGGTCCCTCAATTTTTCACAAGAAGAACAAAATTAATGCAATCAACATGAATAATCAGATCAAGAGTTTTGCGTTTGGGCCCTTTAAAGTAAATGAAGGCCATCATTATTTTGATAGTACATGTAACAATACTACGCACTGAGTCTGGTCATCAACTCAAACAGTATTAAAAAGAATAACATAGGCAATTTAAGTCCGACATACGAACTTTGTTTGCAATTAACTAGAAGGAAAAAAAACGTTTGGAACATCGGAATCAACTTTATATTCAAATAAACTATAAAAGATACCTGTACCAATACACATAAAAAAGCAGAATTTTTACACGAATACCTACCAACATCTATAAAAGCTAGTCCAGATAATACGATGCAGAGTAGTATAGTCATGTTGGCGTAACAATGTGTCCATGTGAAATATCTACAAAGAAAGGAAAACAGTTCAGTATTTTATATTTAGATATTTATGAAAAAAATATGAAAAACTTAAATGTCCAGTTAAAAAGTTCCTAAGTCGTACGGTACGTGTTTCTGGAATTATCTCCATCAGGTGACGCTATGACCAAATGTGTTTCAAGCCATAACATGAAATGGTTGAGAGCATTAAAATCAGCAGGACCTAAATAGAAACGCCTAATGTGTTCAAGGTCAACTTTGCCAGCTAGTATTTTAATTTAATACTGACTTAAGCATAATTGCTTTTTAACAGGACGTTATGACAAAATATATCACTCCTTGAAATCCTGCCAAAACTTTAACATGTTAAACTGGTTCTTGGGCAGATAAAAAAAAACTTGCAAAAGCAATAAAGTTTTTATATATTTTGAAAAGCGAATACACAATGACGAGACACTTCATATGTGCATTGTCACTTTGTGAACTAGAGTTTCGTTATGAATGTATATATGGGATCGAATTTGAACCTAATTAAACATGTTTCTAACATACGAAAGTTTTAATCAGTTTGATATAAATGTTTGTACAATTTCACTTTGGAAAAGTTATTTGATACTAAAATGTTAATCCTCGTTATCTTATTTACCCAGCAAATATTTGGTAATGTAAAATCATATAAAAACTCATAATGACAAAATAAAAAAAAGGAAAACTGTTGTCGAATGCATTGGTACTTGGGGACAGGACAATTTGTTAATGTATATTATCAGTGACCGCTGTGGATAGTAAATTATGAATTGATAGTAAATAGCAATTACATGCTTTTCTAATATATTTATGTAAATATAACACAGAAAAACGCAAAAGTAATTGAAATAAAAAAAAAAAAAGACGGATTTTGGAAAAAAAGGGGGAGGGCTAGAAAAAGATTGTCCTATCCCAAAGTACCTATGATCGAATGGAGATTTTACTGTCCAAGATAATTCCGATGAAAAAAAAACGCAAAAATGAAAGAAAGGGGTCGTAGTTATAAAAAAAGTTTGGCAGTTTAGTTAAAAATTTCATACCGACTTTGGAAATATAGATAATCCAATGATACATATCATCTATAACGATACCATTTTGTTAAATATTCTCATCTTTGAAAAGGATTACTTGGTAACACTTAGCAAATGTGTGTAAAATTTAGTAGTTTAGAATACTTTATATATGTATGAATCATTTAACAAACAAAAACAAAAAAAAATTCGTTTGTGACTCAAGCACATTAGCGATCACCACGCACATTTCTATGTACAAAACGTGCAAAATGTCTTATATACCTATATCAGTTTATGGAAAATGAATCAGTGTAATCAGGGGGTCTAGAGGCGGCCCCGAAGATGAACAATTATAGTAAAATTCTTATTGAAAACAAAATATTTTATAAAATCATTTGTAAGTACATACTTACAATGCTACACTGGTGCTACGCCACTGTATATAATATTTACAAGCCAGAAAATCAAAATCATTTTAGAATGACAAATCCATCAAAGGAATACTTAAAGTTTTCGAAATAGAAAAAAATATGCAAACCTTTGCCATAATAATAAAACTAATTTTCGAATAAACTTACAATCAATATAGGTGGGAAATTCTTGAAGGACAAGAAATTTCACGTCTGAATAAAACAGACTTAACAAAAAACCAAATACTAAAAGTAAAAAAATAATTAAAACATAACTTCTTAAATTAAGCTTACTTGAATAAATGGACGAAAAAAAATCTTCTTTGATTAAAGGTTATCCATATTTTACTCAAAACATAGTCAATCCTGAAATCCGTCAATCTATAGTTCCTTTACCGCCAACATGACAACATTGGAACGCGGGACTATTGCCAACACATTTATCCAATTTGACAAATTTTCTTTTCTGTTAAATCCTATTTAAATAGAAATATTTGTATTATTTTATCACATAACATAACGACTACTTTCAAAAAAGATAGAGTTCTGTGTCCCAGGTATTTTGTCCTTTGATTCCGTCGTTACGGGGAGATAACTTTTTATAAATTGAAGAAATAACGTGTTTTGTCAAGTTAATTATTATAAAATAGACAAAAAATACAAAAAGTCAAATTTAGAATTTTGCAAATGTATCGTTTTTTAATCTCTACGGAAAAACATATATAGGCGTAGTCTTAAAGAAGGACAGGTAGAAATTAGGGAACTCGTACCTGGATATATGAAATATCGGAAAAGATAAAGAAATCAATACCTTGATAATATCAAGTGGCATGGTTTGATTAAATGGTAAAAATGTTTGAAAAACGTTTAGATAAAGTTTGTTTAATATTATAAAATTTACATTTGAAGGAACTGTATTTTAATTACGACCAACAACTCGAGTTCAACGCTGATCAGAAAAAAAACATAACAAATTTAAGCTGTGTAAAGACCAAAAATATTCAAACTATGGTCAATGTTCAACGTTTGTCTGTAGATATGATGACATAAGTGACATGACACGTTTTTGGATATAGATTTGATTTTTACAAGTTATTGACAAACAAACATGCTGATGTAACGTACACAAATCTGTCTTTAAGATAACATGGATAAGACGGGCATGTTCACGCATCCACTTACAATGTTATACAAATTATAGCATGCACTTTGAATAAAAAATATAGGCCGTCATACAATTAATGATATAAAAATTCACCCTATCTACTATGTTGTGCGTTTTGTGCCTGTATCACATCAGACTATACCAAAAAAGTTAAATAACAAAAACAAACAGAACTCCAAGGAAAATTCAAAACGGGAAGTCTTTTATCAAATGGCAAAATCAAATTTAAAGCTTAAACACATCAAACAAATGGAAAACATTTGTCATATTCCTGACTTCTTACAAGCATTTCCTTGTGTAGAAAATGGTGGATTAAACCTGGTTTTATATGCAGCTAAACCTCTTACTTGTCATGATGACCGTCGCATAGAATTCCATTATATTGACAACAATGTGTGATCAAAACAAACAGACATAACATGCATAATAGGTATAAATGTTAAACATGTGTTGTTTGTCTTTGTTTGTAAGTTTGTTTTTCGAAGGAGTCGGTTTTTGGTGGTTGGTATGGGCTGTTGTACTGTCATATATTTTGGTTAATTTAATTTATTATACTTAATGTCAAAATGCCAAATTTTGATTGGTTAATACGAGGGAGATAATTTACTCTATCCCATAGCAAATACTCTATCACCATTCACGGAGACAAGATTTTTTTAATACACATAAAAATAAGTAGTAATATGATTGCCAATGAGACAACTTTCAACCAGAGACCAAATGACGTAGAAGTAAGCAAATATAAGTCAACATACGGCCTTCAACAGTGAGCAAAACCTGTACCGCATAGCAAGCTATAAAAGTCTCCGATATGACAAATTTTAAACAATTAAACGAGAAAACTAATGGCCTGATTTAAGTAAAAAACAATAAACAAAAATGATATACAGCAACAAACGACAACCACTGAATTACAGGCTCCTGACTTAAGGTAGGATCACAGAATGTTGCAGGGTTAAACATGTTTGCCGGCGCCCAACCTTCCCTTCACATGGAACAGTAATGTTACAGCACAAATGAGAACAAACTTTAAAAAGTGCTGGACTCATCCGATCGATACAACGCACAAATCAATTAACACAAGCACAAAAGACACAAAGTACAGATATGAAAGTACTCACAGTTACTGAAAGCTAGTTTAAAGCAAATAATGCTCTTTTTTTATTTTTTCCCTTATGTCATATAGAAATAAGCACTTTTGTTCACTGTTCTGAAACGGACGATAAGAGATAAAGAAATCTAAAAACAATACATTTATTTCATATATACAGAAACTATGACGTAGATTTCAGTTAATGTCCTTGATCACAATAGAAGATGGTAAAACCTTCTCCATACTACAGCTATATAAGCCATGATATTTAACCAAACTCAAATTGTATGTGTCAAATCTACTAGTGGTTTTGCGATTTGTATCTGATATTCATGCGTAATGGACTCAAAAACATTCGTCCTACGCTATGAGATGTAGAAACCTGAAAATTAACATAGAAGTAACTATGAGAAAGGACAGTTGGCTTTGCAATCGCCACACACATGCAAACATAAACTACCTTTTTCTACTACACATAAGTACGATAAGTATTAGACTGTTCGAATATTTCTCGATGGAAGATAAAAGAGGATTAACTTCAAATTACGGTACATAATAAATTTCACAGTTACCAATATATGAGTGGAGTTTAGGACGGCATTATTTCATACTAGCAGATGTACTTTGAGCTTGCTGTAAACACCTGTGAGGATTCAAATTTAAATCATTGTTTATTGGTGTTTTGATTGGACTCGAACTTATGTTCTCTATTGTACGTTAATTCCTAGATGTTTGTGGTTATTTTTGTCGTTAGATTGCTGTCTGATTGGCGTATACCCCTGTTTCCTTTAACTCATATTAATCATAGATGGAGAAATCATAAAAACTATATAGATAGATTTTCCAATAGAACCCTTTCAACATCTTTTCTTTGTTTAAAGATGAGCACCACAAAAACATCGTGATCGTTAGCTCAACTTAACATTAGCAAATATATAAAAAGATGATGCGGCAGTAACCATGGTAACGTCTATAGTAAGGAGAATCTATAAATATGTTTTCTTTTAAAAAATTGTGTTCATGCAGGTTTTGTATACAAGCTCAGACATACTTTTATTAAGTGGAGCATTAAATATTTATATTTTTGCTGTTTCCATGGCAACAGCGGCCATTTTGGAAATTCCAAAGTCAGAAGTCAGAAGTCTCATCTATATTTGCTAGTTAACAATTATATTAAGTTTCATAAAGTTTGGAGCATTTTGAAATGTTTGACATTGTTGCGGTTTCCATGGTACACGGACAAAAAAGATGGAAGAATAACATGAATAATAATAATAATAAAGAAAAGAAACAGAGGAAACCAATATGTCACCCGACATTGTCGATCGGGTAACATAATTATATTAACAAAAGATGCACAAGAAAAAAGATACAAAAATATGTTTTATTTGTAAACATTAATAAATTAAAAATACAATAAATGCAATAAAAATAAACCTTGAATTATTTGTCTTATAAAATGAAATAACAAACAATGTCATTTTTGGGTTAAAAGATCTTAAATTTCCACTCCCAATAACATGCACTGAAATTATCATTCATAATACTGGCAATCACAACTGGCATAGTCCATTTGAAGACTCTGAAAATAGGGAAATTAGTCAATTAAAAATCATATGAATAATTTGGATTTTATTTGCTCTATTCCAATATCATCTGAAGTTAAATGCATATTATCAACACGTGTTGGTTTGCATCTCGATTGGCTTCAAACCAATATTTGTCTGTTTTATACTTGGACTAATGCAAAATTGAATGCAAATCGGTGCATTGACTTCATATTTTTCAAAAGAAAAACAACTGCAGATGGGGTTTAAATATATGATTTGTTCTGTAAAGTAATTCAAATTAATTTGCATGGACTAATAAATTGAAAAGAGTCTAGGATAAATTTTGAAGCAAGGCAATAGAAGTTTTGACATGTAACCGGCACCAATTTAGCTATGATTATTTTCAACTCGTTAATTAATTGTACAGAAAACATTTATCCTAATATGCATCAAACTATTAATCGTTGTCAAATATATTAATGAAAGTGATTTTTTCATTAGTTACTTTTCAGTCACCAGATGGACTATGTATTGCTTGACATAATTTGATATAGAACTAGTTAAAGACTTGAAATGTCTGACATTTACAGATACATTATACTAATGTAACTTAGTACTCTAGAAAAGATTTGTTACTAGCTAATAATTCTTATAATTTGATCAAATAAAAAAAAATTAAGTTCAATGTAAATAAAAACGAGACAGAAACTTAAAACACAAAAACCAAAAACAATCTACATATACTATAACCAATACAGTAACCAAGGAAATAATTCTAGGAAACTAAAGCTCCAGATTATCGTATGTAAAAGTCAAGATACAATGCCGACTGAACTGTACCTTTGTTATCATATATTTCATTTTGGTAGATGTCCAATCAAAATAAAGACCATTATTCAGGGAGGACATCATCTATGTATAGCAGAATTTGAAGTTAAGATAAAAATAGTTTCTCTTAATTTTTTATGAAGCATTTAATGTATGAGCCAGGATTTATCTCAGGATTTTCTCAACAGAAATATTGATAGATGTATTGAGGACTTTTAAAGATGCATGATAATGAATATGCAGCTTAAGCACCACTAGTGGGGTCATGGCATTTCAAAAAAGAATTATCCGATACTAAATTTCCTGAAAATATAATTTGTTTCAGAAGTGAAGTAAAGAAAAAAGTTTGTTTCTATTGAAAATTAGTAAAAAAAAAATGAAATAAACAGTGATTCGAAAAAAATCATTGTTCCTTAATGTTAATGTAAAAAAAGTTTATTTATAGTAAAAGTTGAAAAAAAATTGTCACGAGAAAAAAACCTACCCACATCCTAAAAACAACATAAAAAGAAAAAAAAATGAATGGTCGGTGACTTTCGTAACAACTGAATAAAACACATTTACCAAAAATATTTTTTCTATCGTTGAAATATACTATTACTCGGACAAACAAGAAGCTTATAAAACATATATTATGCGTTAAAAAGATATATGATAAATATCATTACTTAGTCACTTTTGACAAATAAAGGTCCAGTTTCAGGCCTCTTGTTTTTACTTTTTGTTGATCGCTTTATTTTTTTCTTATTTTGTTCCATATAAAATTCAATATCAGCTTTACCATCGTATTGTTTTGTTCCATCAAATATTTCCATTAGTTTCTTTTTCTTTTTCCTAGGTTTTTTCTTCCTTATACTACTTTCTTCAGTTTCAGTGGATTCATCCCTCAAATGAAGTGGATCAAGTTGTTGTCGTCTGCTAGTGACTGTCGGCCATTGCATTGGATCTATAGTCTGTTTCCAATTATTTACTTTCTCATCAACCGTTGACGGTCTATCTGATACTAGTTCTTCAACGGTGGCATCTGGTGACTGTTCCTTAGGAACAACAGTCATTTTCTTCTTTGTTCGTTTATATACGAATATCACAAGAAATATGAGAATTCCAATAATAACCAAGGAAATGGCACCAACAACTATTGCTATTAATCTTAACTTGCTTGAATCATCATTCACCTTAGAAGCTTCGGGAAGGTATGAAGAGTTATTACTAAGTCTGATCAATAATGTTGCAGACTGCGAAAAACCATTAGCAGTATCTTCTGTTGCCTGAAATCACATGAAAAAATGTGTATTTATGTCAAGTATTGCCATTCAAATAGCCATATTCGTGGGCTAGTGCCTTAGGTCAAATTAAATAAAACAAATTTTTAAACAGAAACATCACGATTTTCACAAATTGATATACAACAAAAAGTAAAATAATTATACTTCAATTCTTATTAATCTCATATTTCAGAGAAATTAAATGATAGTTTTTCTTTAATTTTGAAGTATTAATGAAAAACAGGTTCATTTCACCACGATTACGCCAGACGTAATATCATATATAAACAGCAAGCGTTAACCGTAGATACTGCAATACACAATTAATCGACATAATTCTACTGAAGGACGACTAGGCTCCTATTATATCAGATGTAATGTAACAGTACGATTTGATTTATTTGAACAATGTAAAAATACATTTGCATGCAAACAATTGTGAAATTCATTTGAAGACTAAGGATCAGTTCCTTTGCGCATTACTTGGGTCCATATCCTTGTTTTACTTAAAAATTGTACTTTCCGAGTGTTTTGTTCCTAAGAGTGGCATCGACGTCCACGAAGAGGCATTGTTTGTCCACATAGTATCCGGTGTATAGAATAGGTACTGTGTAATATAACAAAATTAGATTGTAGTTAGATAAATATTTTCTTTCTGCTGATGTCAAGTAAAGACCATGAAAGGGACGGAAGTCTATCTTACCACTATTGTCAGAACATTTACTGTCAGCACGTCGCCAATCTGTATAATTGCACCGTTACTCTGGTCGATTTCAAAGCTAGAATGGTAGTTGTTTGGAGCTAAAAATTACAAATATGTAATACAACATTTTATATGTTTTTTCATATTAATTACATATATTTATAATATAGTACCAAATGTTTCCTGTCGGTTTCTGTTGAAATTCAGAATACGATATTGGCGACATTTTTACTGGTTACCATTGCAAAGAATATCCCAACAGACAGGGATATTCTTATCCATTATATTTTTGCACATTTGAACTCTGATCTTAAAGGTTTGATAGAATAACAATAAAATAAAACATCACAAAGTCTTTAAACAGACATTAAAGTTGCTGTTGATACCATTGGTAAATTAGAAAGTTATTCTAACAACCGAAATCTTAAGTTTCATTTTTGATTTCGTATTACTAGCACGTCAAGAAGTAATCGTCATGGATTTTAAAATTGACTTTTGCAAAGAAGAAAATTCTACAACACTTAAAAAATGTCAACACACTATGTTTAAAGACGTCAGTGAACGAATGTCTGTTGAGAAAAACAATATTTTACTGATATGTAAAACTTGGCAACAATATTGTAGAAGAAGACTAATCAATCACGATCTCACATTTATATAGACAAGAGTTAAATAGTTTGAAGTCAATCATCGATTTGACTGATTGATTGTATTTGTCAACCGTTAGGAAATATATGTTTCACAGATAAAACCATGGATTTATTCCACTCGTCATATCCATAATCCCGCCCTCCTTTCCTTGACGCTGAATTTTACTTGTCAGTAACACCACGACGGAAGTCATGTCGGAACAGGAACTGCTTGTCCTTCAAAAGCACCTGTTTTTACTCCTATCTTTATAGGGATCGTGATGTTCTATCTGCATTTTTTTTTTTAATTTTTTGTGTTTATCGACTGCTGCTTGTTTGTTCGTCTTTTTCTTCAGCATATAGTCACGAATGGTCTTGATTGCCTCCTGTTATCCTCGTTCCCAATTTTTACAGACTTTTCTTATTTGTTTCTGCACATATTACAAGAAACATATGTATAGAATTGTTGAAACCATTAAATCAAGGCGATATATTCAATTTTTCATTATACTCATAGACATTTACGTGAAAGCGTTTGGAAAAGTATTGAAAAATGGATCAAAAACTCAAATGTCTGGGTTGTGCAAATTTTTTTTAACCAATGGAGAAAGGTCCATACTGAACATTTATATATGTAATGAAATATGAATCGGAAAAATGAAACAAAAATCTTTGATTAACTCCATAATGGAAGGTGCTTAACCTGAGTCCTCGATAGACTATTTGTAAAGTTTAAACAAAAGTTGTTACCATCTTCGGAAAAAATTTGCTGAAAATTCACGTAGTTCCCGAGCCCGGAAAAAAAAATAAAAAAAATTATTCAAATAAATCCATAATAGCAGGTTCAAAACTTTAATATATATTTGCAATTATACTGTGAAGTTTCAAAGATTTGAATTGGAACCTTTATTAGGAGTTGATTACATAAAATTGGTACCATATTTCGTAAATATTGCTGACGAATGACTAAGTTCCCATGCAAGGCCTGAAAAATGGAGAAAAAATCTTTAAGCAATTCCATAATAGCAGGTACACAACTTCAAAAAGTGACTGTGCAATCTTTCTGCGAAGTTTCAGCGATCTTGGTTGAAAATTAAAGGAGTTGATTACACAAATAAGATACCCACTTTTCACGCCCGTCCGGGACATCACCATACCATAAGTTTATTTTAGACTTTGTCCAACTCAGCCATAAAAGAGTAAGACTATAACTAGAATAAAACTGCTACATTTTTACTTACATTGCTTTATGCTGTATTTGATAACAGAGCCGATAGAATCTTGGTCCTTTGCTTTTATATCTGTTGGTTGTACTTTCACAGGTCCCTAAATCAAACATTACCAATACAAGAATTGTCCTTTGTGAAGCGTATCTGTGTCAAGTTGCTTTTACTATAAACTTATTAAGATGGATTTCGATAACGCAACCATAAATTGTATGAGTATCTATACAATACTGATTTTTTTCTTATTCATTTGTAACTAATAATCTTTATGAAATATTTTGCAGCTCCATCACAATCACAAAAGTGTTTCCAATGTATATGACATTATATATTTTATGTTGTTGGTTTCGTATAAAAAATGACAAGAAATTCTGCTTTGCATCTTGGAGACTTACTATAGAAGTTCTAAACACATGTGGTTAGTGCTGTTTGTTTGCATACATGTAGATGAGGTTGAAATGTTGGGCTTTTTATAGCCGACTATACGGTATGGGGTTTCTCATTGTTGAAGGACGTACGGTTACCTATAATTGCTTACATCCACTTTATTTGAACTTTGGTCGATAGTTGTCTCATTGGCAATCATACCTCATCTCCTTACTTTTATTTCAATTACGATGTTTGGTAGTTATAATACGTTGTCGAGAAAAATTATAATTTGGCTTCAAAGTTCTGGTACTATTGTAAATATTTTGAACTGTTGCACAATTAAAGTCTGAATAGGTTTATACATATAAAAAAAAAACGTTTATCATGTTCGTGATTAAAGTTTAAGAGGTAAAACACCCATCAAATGTGTTGTTGGAATCAAAACAAAACTGGGCCTAACTAAATATCCAATTCTATCTGAGATGCAGCCTTACATGTAGTACAATTGAACATTTTTAGTAAAATGTACTACATTGTGTCATCTATCGTAGCACATGACCATGGTTCTGCTCTTGCCTTTTATACGTACTTTCAATTTTTAATATGTAGTTATGCTTGAAATGTTCTCATTATTCATTTTGCTGATTTAAATGAGGTTCAGGTACAATTAAGAACCGTATATTGTCAATCAGTGAAAACTGAAAATTAACAAAATATATTACTTAGCACATGAAACTACATTCCTGTGAAAAGTTGAAATCGGAGTTCTTTCACCAGTTGTATCTGTACATGACGTTACGTTTACTAGTATTGAAACCTTGAGATATAGAAGTATTTTTGTACATTGGTGATGGTTTATTATTCGAAATAAATATACCCGCCAAAAGGGTCCAGTATATGCTTCATATGGAGTAACTGAACAATTGTTTTGGCATCCAGGGTACTGGAAAGATGGCGGTAGGTCATCGACGTCAACTATTTCTATTTGTAGAGTTGTGTTAATTTCGAAACCAGATTCATCATTCGCCTAAAATGAGGTGTCATTCAATATTTACACAGAACAAAGACAAAGTTATCATCACCATTCTTCCACCATGCGTAGTAAACTTTAACAATACATGGTAGATACAAAAATGCTTTTGCAAAATTTAGATGTGGTGTATTTCCCATCAGAATTGAAACTGGGCGTTATCGATATAGAAAAAGAGTGTGTGTTTAATTGTACTGATGACGTTGAATCATGCTAGTTATGTTGATTTGTTTTGAAGCGGAATGTGTTTCATACTCATGATGGTTGACTTTATTTGTATTACACTAAATTGTTTTATAGTCTCTCATAACTCTTTATCAAGTGGCTCTTGTTGTTAACTTGTGTTTTATTATGCTGTATATTTTATATGTAAAAGTCACAGTGGTAAGTCCCTAATAAAGTCTTGAATTGTCTTGTCTAAATCAAAATTAGAAATTAAATATTATAAGAAATATCATTTTCAATAGTGAATGTAGAAAAATGTTAAACATATATGAAAAACTGGACTATGCAATTTTTTCCTAAATTCTTAAACGAAATTAATATGAACATTAAAAAACTATTGTCTGCTCTATGGTCGGGTTGTTGTCTCTTTGACACATTCCCCATTTCCATTCTCAATTTTATTGCAAGAAAAACTATATTTGCATACATACAATGAAATATAAGTATCAAGTTCATTCACTTTATTGCGTACAATCATCATATTAATATTTTATCTGAAAACTTAATCTAAAAAGCTATTTATAAACTATGTATACTACATGTAGAATGTTTACTTATCATACCTTAACTACAACTGTCAAAGTTAAAATGGTCATGTTATTTTTATGAAGCTGATCGAAGTCCGGAGATGCTTTGACTCGAAGGCTATCCGAGGATGCTATTGGTATGTAAAACCATGATGTACCATCATTCTAAAGAAACAAAACATTACAATAGCATACATAGAGAAAAATTCCAGATACTCAATTTACTGGATAAAAAATATAGTATTTTTATAGAAACCCTAGATAGTTTTGGTTGGTTTTGTAAATGCGTAAGAATAACTGGCTAAGGCTCGTCTACATGAAACTGCAAGTGCAAGAATGTATGAAGTTTCATGTAATATATAATCCCAAAGGGGATACGAGTTCGTGTTGCTCAGTCTTTAGATTTCTGTGATGTGTTTTGTATACAGTCTTTTGGTCTTTTTACGCGTTTTTTGCCATGGCGTTGTCAGTTTATTTTCGAGTTATGTTCCTTAAATATCCTTCGCCTCTCTTTTTAAAGTTGTTTCATTATTGGAAATATATTTGATAATACATTTTATTCAGTAAATGCAATAACATTTGGCTTTTGAATCGTATTTGACTATCCAATCACTCAAAGCATTGATCTCGGGGAAGGGCAATTTGTTAGGAGACCAATTTGGAAAAAGTTTCCACTTGATTTCTTAATAATTATGCTTTTAATATTCTGTTCAAATACAGACTTCCGTTTGTAACGGTGAAAATCTTAACAATACTCAAAATAAACTACTATATATCATTTGGCCGACTTTGAAATAAGAGGCAACAGTAGGTAACCGGTGTTCAAATCTTGTTAAATACATTTAAATAAACAAATCAAGTGATAACCCAGCAGGCACTCAACGTTGATTCAACGTTGAAACAAGGTTGTTTCTCAACGTTGAAACAATGTCAAATTTATGTTTGATTTTGAAAATTGGAATTAACGTTGAAATTTCAACGTTGAGGTTCCAACATCCATTCAACGTTGATTTAAGGTTGAATAGTAGTTGAAAGTTCATTAATAAAATTTAGTATAAAGCTACATACACATTTATACCTGCTTTCCAATTTTTGTGCTGTTGTTAGATGTAGACAGGCAGCCTGGCTGTACAGGTTTTTTTTTAATGTTTTTTTTTCTCACCAAGACAGATAAGTTAAATTGGAGACATCTAAATAAATACATCAATTGTTACTGATACAACATTCCGTGCTTGTACAGTCAATAATCTAGACCATAAATGTCATATCTTAAGATCCTGTTGGCTTCTGTGTCTCTCATATTTAAATGTTAAATTTATTGAAAAATGTGTATTTATCTATTAGGAACAAGAAAAACTACAAGAAGGAATAGCTGAAATTATTGTGTGTGTCCAATTGTATTTCAAGATAACTAAACATAATTATCTAAATTGATATACAAGTGGACACCTGCCATTTTTTGATATATTCTTACTTGTAGTTTTTCTTGTTGTGAATAGCTATAAAAATACAAATCATTCAATGAATTTGAATAAAAATTATGACATACACTTTATTACCACCACAGAAAGCATCACCAAACAGAAAGAAGATGTTGAATAGTTCTAAACAAATAGTCCTTTAAATATTAAACGACTGACCAATGTTAAGCCCTTCTTAAAAGTAGTATATCCCAAGAAGAGTGAAGACATTATTAGATCCAACTTGTGTTCAGGATGATAGCAATACTTCTGAAAATACGACGATGCTGCATGACTGCTATTAAATCAGACACCTCTCCACAAAAAACCAATTGTCCTTGATTGTATATACGTGTAAATATATATATTACCCTCACACCTATAATTGGTATAAACAATTAAATGAATACAAATTTACTGAGGAACAATATCAAATTTAGTAATACAATGATATTTCTTTTGATACAAGATTTATTTTATAAATTCATTTGCTATCTTTTGTCTCTTTTTGTCCTTTTTGCATGTCAACTTTCTTCCACCACTTCGAGATCTTTCTGAGGCAGACTTCAAGTTCAAGCAGGAGGGATCTTTATCAGATATGTGTTTCTCAGTGACATCTTTATACTTTTGCAGCATATTTAACCTCTGGAAAAGATAAGATGATAATACATATAAATTGTATGTCCTGAAAAGATACTCTAAATTTGAGCCACTTTCAATTTATTTCTAGAAGCAATGAAAAATAAAACCATAACAACAAAACACATATTGTAATAAGGTAATCATTAATACAAAAAAATATATGCATAAATGTTTACTATTAGTAGTTTTTGTTAATGAAGAAGCATCTACTCGAGATTTGTAAGATTGCAGGTTTGACTATGTAATTGATAACCATGAAAACACTTTACCCATGACGTTTTTTTATTGATGACTGCACAAGTCTATTAACATGAAATAAAGAGCTTTACTAGAATACTGTATATAAGACAAACACTGAAACATAATATGGATTGTAAGGTTAACAAAAATAGAACGAACAAGATTAAACTTTGAACACAAATGATATATACAGACAAAAAACCTACCTTCAATGATTTTATAGACTGGAATTCCCAAAACTGAATTTTGATTTTGCTCCACTTGATGCATTTCAGCCATTGATTTGTTTGACAAGATTCTGTAAAATAAATAATACATGTTTACGATAATGGACTGCTAACATTCAGCGCAAGGTTCAATACACATACAGTGAGAAACATTACATGATAGTATTTACTTTGTACATGTATGTTCTCAATCATGCTAAACGCATGTTCTTAATACTAAATTCAGCTTATTCTTTTTAGTGTGTTATACATGTATGTGTAATATTATAGTCTACCCTTCACATAAATAATTGTCTTTGTCGAATACATATTGTTGAATTTGTGTTTGGCTAGCAGGTGATAATTCTATTATTTTTCTTCGTTAACTAATAGCTAAAAGTTTCTAATGCATGTAATAATGTCATTATTACATACATTAGAAACTTTTAGCAATTATTTAACTAAAGAAAAATAAAAGACCTTTCCTTGTTATTGTTTTCTTTAAAGTTGTGTCGTCTTTTTGTATTGATGTATGGTCATGTTGATTTAAGAGTAGTCATAATTGAAAGTGCGCACATGGAGATGCAAATTGAATGTTAACCTCATTTCTCGTATTACACACAGTCAGAGATCACCTGAAGATCAGATAAGGGTCAGACTGACTTGTTTTAAAAATAGAATACTTTTGTAGAAAGGTTAATTAGGTCAAAAGTTATCAATGAAAATTCTATAGTTATCTTCTCATAGCGTGAAATAATACTATTTTGTTGAATTATATAATGTTATTGTACAAGTAAAAATAGTATGATTTTTCCATCACATGATCGTTCAATACTTTGTTGTCCAGTCGAAGTTGATTGTTTATAATCGTCAAAATGTATGTAGTTTACCAAGCCGTAAAGTTAAACTAAACAAAGACACATATATATATAGTATACATGTTTGGAAATTCATCTGATCACCGTAAATTATGTAAACCCATGCGTATATCCCCCCTTTTAATTAAAATCTTTAACCATATTAATGTCTCAATGTAAATAAAAATGCTTTCCACATTAAATGCTTTTAAAAATAGTATAACTGGATAAAATTGTATATGCCAGATGATATATTCACTATGGCCCTTCCATGTGTTCTGATCTGTTCTCAGCCTCAGGGATACAATGTTGACGTTATATTTTTCTCTAATTGTGCAATATTGATACAAATTCAGAGTTTTTAAATACAATTCATACATGTATATAAAAACCGTGATGTCTACATAGAAACATCTACTTACCATACTTGATAAACGGAAAGATTCTCCTCGACTTGGTCTTTGCTGTTCTTTCTTTTTCAAAACAGGAAAGATGCGGGTTTAAATATTGCGCATGGGCAATCTAACTTCCTGTTCAAATCCCGCGAAAATATGAATATAAAAAAAAATCATGATTTTTGTTAATAATCAACTATTTTAAATTCCTTAACATGTTCAAAATATTCATTCATATTATGTGAAATGAAATTAATGCATTCTATTTCTTTTTACCTAGAAATTCAGTATCAAACGATTTACCTCCTCCCACATACACAGAATTCAGTTTTATTTGAGATCTCATTTTATCATGATATTTTTGTGAAAACCGAAACTCTATCTTATTCTTTTCTTTATAAATATATACTGCTACGTTCATGCATGTATTGCCTTTAATTAATGATTTTTTTTTATATAGGCCTAATATAGGCCTACCATGAGTAAATAAGTTAACGTTTATTCAATGTTGAATCAACGTTCCGATTTCAACGTTGAAATGATCAACGTTAATTCAACGTTGAATATTTGTTAATTACTCAACGTTGAAAATGTAACGTTGTTTCAACGTTGAATACATGTTGATCACCATTTCAACCTCATTTCAACGTTTATTCAACGTTGAGTGCCTGCTGGGAAAATCCTTTTGGAATCACATGAACTCAAAACGAAACGAGATCGGCTGTTTCGACAGGATGTGCGTCTACGGCATGCGAATCAACAAGCAGTCAAAATGTCATAATCGGGAATAGGACATAATCGATAAAATTGCAGATCAGACGACTATTCTTATATCTAAAGATCAATGACCGCGAAAACATGTGTCTTTTGAGTTGAGACAAAACACACGGTACCGGTCAACCAGTTCGTAATGGTTACCGTAAAACTTGTAGTGGATATTTAAGATATTCTTCCTCAAACCCCTTATAACTATCAGTTCGAACTACTGTGGATTTTATGAGGTAATTAAATATTTACATACATGTATCTCATTTGAGAAATGTTATTGTATAAATGATAAACTAACTTAAACCGTTTGTTATTTGAATGTATTTTATACATACTTTTTGTCAATCATATCAAACTTTTTCTAATCCTTCATGAATTAAAGTTTAAAACGTATATTTATATATCTTCTTTTTTAATATTGCAGTTTGATCTGAAATCCAATTTAACTAAAATAAAGTCTGTACCTGGCCATTGGTTGATTTTACTGTATAGGTGAAGTCCTTCAACTGAGGTGTAGGAATATCTGCGTCAATAAGGTATGGAAATATGCAAAACACTGGCGTATCATTTTTCGTATTCTAAAATAATATATATATATATATATATATATATATAGGAAAATTAAAAAGAGAAGAAAAGAATCTTTTATTATGTTACAACGACATTGTAAAAGATTAAGTAACAAAAGGAAAAAAGGAAATAAAGGAAAAGAGAATGATGAAAATGATATTAATAGTCCACTGCACAATTTTTTGCAGAAGGATTGAGAATGATTATTTCAAAACTTAGTATACAACAATGACAGCTTGCTTCCTTGCATTTAACAAAAAAGAAATTTCCCGATGCCATCTAGCATTCTAAACTCTCCTAAACTTAAGAATGAATAATACAATATTACTAGAAAAAAAAATCCACGAAGATGTTATGAGCTTTTGTTCACTCATTCTACCCCGCATTATGTGAATAAGCTATGACTTGCAGTTGCTGGGAAAATATTGTCGAAATGTCATATATATTGTATGTGCACGACAGACTAAGTTGTTAAGTTTCAAAACACAGGTAAAGGAAACATGCTATTGGCATTGTCAGATAAAATTAATGACTAGACCCTACAATCAAGCATACAATAAAAGGTTTCATTTTTTTTCCCGAAAGCATCTAACATAATAGTTTGTTTTTTTAAATGGCAACAAACATATCTTTATTATTATTCATTTTATTTTTCATGGGTGCTTTTATTATTTTATTTTCTTATGTAGATTAAACAAGCTATACATTGAATTCCAAAGGAATGGACATATGATTGCCTTTTAATGATATTGAAATATTTACATTATATGGTTATATTACCTCGTCAACTTTGATTATTTTGGGAAACGAATTGTTGAATTGCTGTGGAAATTCATTGACAGATTCGATGATAATTCTGATATCCTGAAAAATGAGTACATGTAATATAATATAATATGGCCAATGTCATGTGTTTTTTTGCAGGCGAAAAATTAGTGAAACCCAGTTAACTTTCAAAGCAATTAATATTTTTAAGCAAATTTTTAAATATTTGTACGCACAATCAAATATTCATTCTGCGCTAGAAGACAATTTAGATACATCACTGCAAAACATGCAGGAAGTCCATTACCAAAATGAAATAATTCGTAAATGTATCTGAAAGACAACACATTGCATTATTCTGATTGGATGTTGTTTTGCGCATGGAATGTCCTTTTTATTCCTAAAAGACAACACATTGCATTATTCTGATTGAATTTTGTTTTGCGCATGGAATGTCCTGTTTATTCATTTGTGGAAAGGTATTGAAATTGCCATATACTAGTAAATCACATTACAGTTTTGATACATAATAATTCATAAACATAAATTCATAAATCACTCTGTATCATATGCAGAAATACGAAATTATGTTGTCATGCAGACATATGAAGTTAATATCATCCTTTACGATTGGGTCGATTTGGATCAGGATTCAAGGTCTTCATGTAATAAATTCTGATGAATTTGGTTCGATTTTTTGTCGGTCTTTTGTTCGCAGTGCATAGACATGTGATTAAAATTTATATGATTTCCCGTCTATGAAGCTTTAAAAGCCGATTTACTCTATATACGATTATCACTAAAAGTTCTCTCAAGTACATGCACTCTATATAAGCTTTTCGTCAACTTCTAAATCGTAGTTTTATTAGTTTTGCTTATCATTTTCACGAATAGTAACCAATAAATGGTGTTTCATATTTTTCAATTAAACCTCTAATAATACATTGTTTATTACTGGAAATCTTCTCTTATGTCAGATTATCTACCTTTGGCACGTTGTCAGCACCAAAACAGTTAACTTTAAAATGGATTTCTTTTAGCTCCCCTCTACTCTGAAAAAAAAAAAATAAACAATGCAACATGCCGCATTTGCTTCAGCAGAACCTTCTTAAAAATTAAATACTGGAGACAAAATTGATATCAATGTCTCACATGCCCTTTATCGGCCGTCTAACATTGCTATTTATTTTATCATTTTCATGTTCATGGCACATGCTTACAAACTACCAACCTACCTGACAATTCAAACTACTTTACACTGATAGATGTAGGGAAGGAAAGTAGTTCCGGAAAGGAATCGATCAATGTACAGACTTTGGCATGCTACTTGATATGAATGTGGAATCTTACTCAATCTAGTGAACAAAACTTTAAAACCGTTTTCACTGTTATAGTCTCCACATGTCGAATATCAACCATATGCTATTAAAAAAATCACCAGTTTTATAAAAGCCCGTTTCATGGTACTGGACACGACTATGGAAATAGCAAGACGGATATCTTGCATATCAGTACTGGCTTCCTTAGCTGACGAAATTTGTATAAAAAAATGCTTATTTTTTTCTATTCAGCCAGTTTGGGTGGGGTTCGTGTTGCTCAGTCTATGGTTTTCAATGTTGTGTTTTGTATGCTATTGTTTGTCTGTTGGTCTTTTTCTTTTTTAACCAGGGCGTTGTCAGTTTGTTTTCGACTTATGAGTTGGAATGTCCCTCTGGTATCTTTCGCCTCTCTTTTGGTCCTTACCAAAAGCCTTAATTTTAAACTGAATTGATAGGGTAATACTGGCGCACATATTTTAAATTAGCAATTCTCTTCTAGGAGATATAGGTGATTCGCTACAATGAAGATCAATGGGAGGAAGCAGATATCCAACTTTGTAGTTATTAAATGACTTTAGCTGCAAACAATTTCTAATGTGTTGATGGCAAGTATTTGTTTCTGTAAAATGTATTCACAACTTGTATAGACTAACAATTTTAAGCTCGACATATTGTGAAGACACCTGTCTATTGCTGAACACATTTCATCAAATCGAAAGCTAGATCTTAAATGTCGAACCGCCATTTTTTTTAAGGATATAAAAATAACAAAACAAATGAAGCTTTTGTTGTGAATCCTTCTGTACTAAAACTATACCATCTACTTACTGTATTCCTCCAAAACGTATCTTCCTTGTCAAGAGAATTATTTAATATTTTAAATGAAAGTAAAGCACTAGTGTCTGATGATAGAGTGAAATCGAAATAATTCTCAACTTTCAGCTGTAAATCCAAATTAGTAGTAATGTCAAAAATATTCACTTTAGTCGCATGAAATGTCCAATTTGTCGATGGATCTACAGCGACATTCCATATGACACCTGAAATACAAAAGTATGTTCGATCAATCAAAAGTTGTTTGCTTAGCGTCTACCGGTAAATATTTCATGCATTTTCAGGACAAATATTCCGTTTTGAAATCTTTTGGAAAAAAAAACTATTGTAAAAGGAGATTAAGAGAGAGAGGATTTTGTGTTAGAAAGAAAAAAATATTGAAAAAAAAACGAAAAGTTATGGAAACAGTTGAAAGGAAACAAATTTAATTACACCTAGAGCGCGATTAAAATTGAATGGGTGTGTCCTTAACGGATCTTAACCTCAAAATAAAAGACTTTTTGTGAGTATACATGGACATGTAAGTCATGTAACTATTTGTTCCATATTGATTTATTAAGTATTAACATAGTTGGCAGAAAACTATAACTGTTACCAACGCGGTTTAGTTTCAAATATAAAAATAAATCGTAAATGAAAATAACTGTAATATAAAAATAACCCTTTTATATAATTAACAATAGTATAAAATCAACTCAAGGCAGTAAGGTGACCTACATTTGTAAACTTCTATGTCATTTGGTCTTTGGTGGAAAGTTGTCTCATTGGCAATCATACCACATCTTCTTATTTTATATCTAATATAAAATTAACTATTATATAAAAATAACCCTAATATAAAAAATAAGGAGTTGTGGTATGATTGTAAATGAGAAGGACTAGCATGTGAGCAACTACAGGGTACCTTACGGCTAGCACAAATGAGCAAAACCCATACCGTATTGCAAGCTTCAAATGACTCCGGCATAGCGAAATGTGAAACAATTCAAAAGAGAATCATTGTTTCGTATAAGACTACATTACCAAAAATAGATTTCCTAAAAATAACCCCCCCCCCCCCCCCCCCCAAATAAAACAGTTATCACCTGTATGAGTCTCGTTTACAGCTGTTACTTCAGGAATGTTACTTATATATGTTCCACAGTTACACAAAACTGAAATAAAGATAATAAATAGAACATGGTGTATGTCATTTTTTTTTCTCGTTAGTGTTTTTAGGTTGCTGTCTCATTGACATATAACTCACCTCTTGCAATGTATACTCAACACTTCTTTTATTTACCGTTTTTGATAATTTCCAAAGTTGTAGGTTTTTTTGTGGTTTTTTTTATGGCGGTTACTGCGTTATCGATCAGTACTATACTGTCTCATGTCAGGGCAAATATTGAACACTCTTTTTGTCGGAATATTGTTCGATCCCACTTCAGCTCTGATGGACTATCTGTTGCGGAGGGTTTCACCTAAGTAGCTTTGTGATACTGACTCTTGATTTGAATGATTATTTTATAGTTGATGAATACTGTTCTCATTGTTTTAAAAAGTGTTTGCAACTTACTTAAATTCAAGGGCAAAATAGATGGCGCTGGTTTCTCTGTTTATGATTATGTTCATTTTGGTAATACCATTCTAAAATGTTTTAAACATTCGATCTTCAAAACTTTTGGTTTGATAATGAAACTCAAGAAACAAGTATAGTAGTATAAGGCAAAGACATGCATATCATAGATATAAGAAGATGTGGTATGAGTGCCAATGAGACAACTCTCCATCCAAGTCACAATAGATATAAGAAGATGTGGTATGAGTGCCAATGAGACAACTCTCCATCCAAGTCACAATAGATATAAGAAGATGTGGCATGAGTGCCAATGAGACAACTCTCCATCCAAGTCACAATAGATATAAGAAGATGTGGTATGAGTGCCAATGAGACAACTCTCCATCCAAGTCACAATAGATATAAGAAGATGTGGTATGAGTGCCAATGAGACAACTCTCCATCCAAGTCACAATAGATATAAGAAGATGTGGTATGAGTGCCAATGAGACAACTCTCCATCCAAGTCACAATAGATATAAGAAGATGTGGTATGAGTGCCAATGAGACAACTCTCCATCCAAGTCACAATAGATATAAGAAGATGTGGTATGAGTGCCAATGAGACAACTCTCCATCCAAATCACAATAGATATAAGAAGATGTGGTATGAGTGCCAATGAGACAACTCTCCATCCAAGTCACAATAGATATAAGAAGATGTGGTATGAGTGCCAATGAGACAACTCTCCATCCAAGTCACAATAAATATAAGAAGATGTGGTATGAGTGCCAATGAGACAACTCTCCATCCAAGTCACAATAGATATAAGAAGATGTGGTATGAGTGCCAATGAGACAACTCTCCATCCAAGTCACAATAGATATAAGAAGATGTGGTATGAGTGCCAATGAGACAACTCTCCATCCAAGTCACAATAGATATAAGAAGATGTGGTATGAGTGCCAATGAGACAACTCTCCATCCAAATCACAATAGATATAAGAAGATGTGGTATGAGTGCCAATGAGACAACTCTCCATCCAAGTCACAATAGATATAAGAAGATGTGGTATGAGTGCCAATGAGACAACTCTCCATCCAAATCACAATAGATATAAGAAGATGTGGTATGAGTGCCAATGAGACAACTCTCCATCCAAGTCACAATAGATATAAGAAGATGCGGTATGAGTGCCAATGAGACAACTCTCCATCCAAGTCACAATAGATATAAGAAGATGCGGTATGAGTGCCAATGAGACAACTCTCCATCCAAGTCACAATAGATATAAGAAGATGTGGTATGAGTGCCAATGAGACAACTCTCCATCCAAGTCAAAATTTATAAAAGTAAACCATTATAGGTCACAGTACGGCCTTCAACACGGAGCATTGGCTCACACCGAACAGCAAGCTATAAAGGGCCCCAAAAATTACTAATGTAAAACCATTCAAACGGGAAAACCAACGGTCTAATCTATATAAAAAACGAGAAACGAGAAACACTTATGCACCACATCAACAAACGACAACTACTGAACATCAGATTCCTGCATTGTTAATGATTATGAATTGAACCAGTGGTAATTAATTTTGTTCTCATCCTAAATATATATGACATATTTGCAACTAGACGTTAAGCAAATAACAGTCGATCAACGTTTGCTTAATTTATAGTAAATAAACTAAAGTGTTTTGTTATTAAATTCTTCCACCATAAATATCTCAAGCGATTTTTATTGTTACGTTGTCATAAATTTTTATCTTTTTATTATTTTTCAGACCACTTGACATGCCATGACAAAGTAAGTTATCCGGAGTAACATCAATCTGCAATTGCATATAAGGTATAATTTATTACATATTAAATATCTATTGATTCGATTTTATCCGTAATACACGAACAATCGGAATGGTTTTTAGTTTTGGGTTTTTGTAATGTTAGGCCTCCTGGGACAGACAAAAATGTCAAATGTTTATTAAATATGCATTCCGATGTTTATAATATATAGATTAAGTAAAATAGAGAGAGAAAACAGAATATTTCACATGTAAATGATATGCTTATCATGTAAAACTATCAAATGGAGTTATCAACAATTTGGGAATATAAAGAAACTGGACCATGAACAACTGAAAATTTCTTTTCAATTCAGAAATCTAGACATCTTTTAATACTTAAAAGTAGTCTGTTTAAAACAACTATATTCTAAAACATGTGTTGTAGATTTAATTGCGTATCACACTGGTTTATATATGAATACAAATGTACATAATATATAATGTAACTGTACATAATATATAAATACAAATGTACATAATATATAAATACAAATGTACATAATATATGAATACAAATGTACATAATACATAAATACAAATGTACATAATATATAATACAAATGTACATAATACATAAATACAAATGTACATAATATCTAAATACAAATGTACATATAAAAACAAAAAAATATTGAATACGCATCCTTTGATGAGGATAAGAACGATGATTCAGCATTATAAAAAACTATAGAATTTTAATGAAACAAGTTAGTACACAACTTTGAAAGGAGAAATAGACAAATATTAATATATCCAGTAAAATGAATAAAAAAAGATGTAGCAAATATCGTTATTTGACAGCTATGATGATGGATGGCTATTTTTAAAACGTCCAGCGTCAAACTAAACGTCTATACATGACCAGAACATGTTATTATGATATAAATATGGACCCTGTTTTGTACTAGGCCGACATACTGAGCCGAAACTTTAAGGTGCTATTTCGCAAGGTAACAGTCCACAGGAAGACATGTCACCCTACCCGGATACTTTGTTCTTACTACTAATGCCGCGTGACTTACGTAGAAGCAGCAAATACAATTTTTTATGTCTTTGGTTTTGACCCGACTTGGAATTGAACATACGACCTCCCGCAGTCGAAGAGCATGACGCTACCACAGAGACGATTTTATCATTTGACAATGTGTACTTTTACAAATATGTGTAAGACCATTACATTTAGTTTATTGGAGGAGGCAAATATAACCGGAGTGTTTCGAGTGAAATGTAAAGAGTGGCAATTCCCTGTAGAACTATAATTGTTTCACTCACAGGGCTGAATACTGAAAGTTTAAAATACTGAAACCTTTCTTAAAGTTGAATACGCTCAACAATTGTATATTTAAGTTAGATCAAGATTGTATTCGGTGGAAAGCTACTATATTTAGATACGATATTGTACATTATTCATCATACATGTAATAAGAATAAAAGGTATTAATTTGCAACCTTTACTTCCAACAGAATTTTGATTTTGTCCTTCTTAAACAACCCTGGATCAGTGCTCAAATTTCCAAAACTTTATCAAAACTGCAGTCTTAAGGCACTTATAATTTTGTCATATGTTCAAGAATCACCAAATGTAGACATAACCTCACAGTCCACAGATGGAGTTGTGATACTCTAAATTTTAGTATAAAAAATTGTTGAAAATGGTTTTGGTATGAAATAAATTCTTGGCAAACAGGACCAACTTGATAACTGGTGTAATTCGAATTCCTTTTTACAGAATTGTGAAACTCAACTGAATCATAGTTTTCTTGCAAAAATAAATAGTTTACTAGCTGTTTCATTTTTCATTGATTTTATATCAGCTTAAATATCTAACAACTGAACAAACAAGTTAGTACTCACCCTTTGAAACTCCTGTTAGTACAAAATATACCAACAGAAACCCACGAGACATTCCGATCTCCTAGACTGGAAGCTAATTCATATCGAAATCGGAAACTGGAGATCTGTGAAATACTGTCAAAATAAATCCCATGTCTTAACAACAAATAGGACAACTATCATGCATTGTTTTAGTCATAACACACTTCCTGTTTGAGCTTTTATACTATTATCCTTATCAGTACAAACTATGAAAAATTCGCTCAGTAATGTATCGATCTGGGGACTAGGTGACGTGTATTGATTTGTCATTTATTCATTTGATTTAGATTAAGATATTTTTTGAAACTTTCAGCGATCTGGTGTACAGTGTAATCGTTTGTTATTATTACATGTCGGTGTAATGTACTGTACATTTATATCGTTTTATCAAGTTGTTGACCTCGTGGGAACATTCTATTGAAAGATATTGCATCTTTTAACTATCAACAGTAATAGATAAGTTTTAAGAATGAACAAATAAAGTAACCCACCGAATACATGTACAGTAGTGTAGCCTGTTTTTTAAAAATGTAATATTCTATAATATCAATGACCTTAAAAACCTGTGCTCTTTCTGTGAGCAATCGTCAGGTATAGTCTCCTTTATTCATGACGCCACAACCACAAATTCAGAGGACTGCAATTTCTTTTAATTCATTTACCAACTTAGTATTGAAAAAAGCGAATCACGCTTACATGTACATACTAGTACAAGTATATCAAAATATAGATCTGAGACCAACGAAATAGAAAGGATTGTTTGGAATTGCAGTCGTAAGCTGTTCAGAAAACGGTTTCATCGAGAAAACATCGCCTGCACTGTATAAAATGCTCTAGACGAATTGGCCAACTAGGTTATAAAAACATATCGATTTCGTTATTCGGGAACCCTTGATGTCATAACTAGTATATAAACAGCTTGCGGATATAAAATGATTTTCAAAGATGACTTAGTAGCAAAGAGGTAGGCGAGTTTTTCCTGTATTGTTTTCACTTACAGGAGAAAAATCAGAAAGCATTGAAACCTACAATATTTGAATATTAAATAGATAGCCTAAACAACATATATTAAAATATGTGACATCAATATCAATAGCATTTGTCCATCTAATTAAATTATATTATATATTGCCAAAATCTCTGTCTATTCAAAATTGCAAATTTTGAATGTTTTTCTTAAAAAGTTTGTATATAAGAATATCCTTAACCAAAATGAATGAATTTAAAGTCGGGCGAAATCATAAAGCTTTGATTCCAGTAAAATTTTCTATAGTTAAGGATGTCCTTTAAATAGATTTTTTTATGCATATATATATATACTCCAAATTGGCCAAGGCTTACATTGTTACAGAATCAATATTACTATTCCGATATATAATTTGGCATCTACAATTTAGCAAAATGTTTATACACACACAAACCTGTGATGCTGCTCATTTGAGTAAAGTTTGAGACATTTAGGAAATGTCCATAGTGTGAAATGAATTCAGAAGAAGTTGTCTCTATAAGTTTATTTTTATTTTAATAACTCAAAAAAATGCTACTGGATGAATAGGCTACAATTGAGATCATAGACGACCGAGCGTGTTGGTTTATGGAAAGAGGGGACAAAAACAGGAATGTATATGCCCATCTCGTTAAGATGGGCGTTTGAATGTTTTTGTTCCCCCTTTATAAAATTAATTCTTCAAACAGATAATAGAGTAAAAAGAAGTAAATTGGATAATACGTCTAATCATTTTGTTGTCAAATATTTTTGATGGACATAACTTTCGTGTCCAAAACTCTAAACTATTATCCACTTGCCAGCATTTGGATCATCTAATAATGGACAGTTTATTTTGAGAATAGTAATAAAGTTTGTAAGCATGAATTGCTGACCCTTTCAGAGCACATGAATTGCTCAATCTTAAGCTTTTCTGTGCAGTGTTTTGTGGCCTGATGTTTGTTTTTTTTTTTCTGGTGTCATGGTGTTTTGTCTGTTTTCATTCGATTTATGGCTGTTGTGTGACCAATCGGTATCTTCTCCCTCTCTTTTTTTCATAATAATAATTAATGATACAAAATTAGGGAGAATGATTCAAACTAGCTTAAGATTATCTTAAAAACCATAAAAACAACTTACAAACGTATTTTTTCTGACTAAGTGTTTGCTTGTTTGTTGTTGACTAACACTACTTTAAGCGACCTTGGCTATATCATGGCGGGATATTGTTATTGGTGTATTGGTGAGAGAACCACCGACCTTAAACAGGAAAAATGTGTCAATTATGAACGGGGTTTAATATACTTCGTCACGAGCGAGGTTCGTACTCACAGCCTCGGAGTTGACTCACAACCTTGGAGTTGATAGTCCAGCAATCGCTGTAGATGAAATTATTATACCCCTAATGAAACAAGTGCATATTACTGTTGACAAGTTGTGAAGTTTAAAAAAAAAATAAAATAGATCTCGAAAACTTATTATAGATTGCAATGAATTTACTACGCCAAAGTTTTAAAACGTAATTGAACTGCCCAGGGGCGGATTTAGAGAGTTTTTCAGGGGGCCCCGCGGGCCCCCCTTATGGGGACAAAAATTTGGTTGATTATATAGGGAATCACTGAAGCATGACTGGAGCGGGTCCCCTCTTAAACAGTCAGTGGGCCCCCACTTATGAAAATTTCTGGATCCGCCACTGCTGCTCAAGGTTTTTATTATACCGCTTTGAAATGCCTGTTACTTTGGCAAACGAAAATTTATAAAACAGACGACTAACAATTCATATTTGGGGTCGAAATTTACCAATATGGTGATTAAGGGACCAGGAAATTTGAATAATTCCGGAACACATGAGTACAGCTGGTTAATGGTGGTATTTGAGATGCTCAATCTTGTGTAAAGCTTTATAGGCTGTTGTTTGTCTTTTTGTTGCTTTTCCTTTGGTCATGGTTCTTACTTTTCCCATTGAATTATGGTGTTTGACTTCCCGTGATATATTGTGCCTCTTTTGTGTAAATTCTTTTTTGGTATATTCATTTAGAAGACACAGGAAGTGGTTATCGGTGAATGTCAAAAAGTACCGCTTCACTTAAAATTTAGCAACAAGAACCACCAGAAAGAACTCACGTACGACCGTTTAATTACTGAATTAAGTGTAATTCTACATGTTAAAAGTATTATTACGTTATTTGATCAATTTTCCATGGTCGGGCGTGCCTTAAATGACTAGGTGAAATTAATGAAGTAGTAATTATTCATGGTTTGTCACGTACACTCGAATGCACCTTTAAGTATCAAAGATAAAGAAAGCTTTACCCACTAAAGATACATGTATCATAAACTAGTCAAAACATTAACTAAATTTTATCATCGGTATAAGGACATTATTCGTAAATATAACTCAACATGCAGATATCTTATACGTTCAGGTTTCACATCCAATCTTTTATGGTAATATTCTTTACAAAGCACAAAAATGTCAGTATTCACCTCAAAAGCTAACAAAACCTTTAAACAGACTTATTAAGAAGGGATATAGTTACGATACTGTTGTCAGGTCATTGCATATTTAGGCTTTAATATTAATTCACTAATAGGGTCTTTGCATCGGAATTAAACACATTTATTCTAAAACCAGTTGTTGGTATGACACGGGTTATGTTCTTCTCATATATTTTATGACGGTATAATACTAAACCCCTAACAGGAGGGATTGTGCCTGATATTCATATGATGAAGACATAATCTTTTAATCAGTTTAATTGAGGTCTGGAGCTGGCATGTCAGTAACTGCTAGTAGTCCGTTGTTATTTATGTATTATTGTCATTTTGTTTATTTTCTTTTGTTTCCTATTCTGACATCGGACTCGGACTTCTCATATATACTGAGTTTTACTGTACGTACTGTTGTGCGTTTGTTTTTCTACATTGGCTAGAGGTATAGGGGGAGGGTTGAGATATCAAAAAACATGTTTAACCCCGCCGCATTTTTGCGCCTGTCCCAAGTCAGGAGCCTCTGGCCTTTGTTAGTCTTGTATCATTTTTAATTTTAGTTTCCTGTGTATAATTTGGAGTTTAGTATGACGTCCATTATCACTGAACTAGTATACATATTTGTTTAGGGGCCAGCTGAAGGACGCCTTCGGGTGCGGGAGTTTCTCGCTACATTGAAGACCCATTGGTTGCCTTCGGCTCTTGTCTGCTCTATGGTCGGGTTGTTGTCTCTTTGACACATTCCCCATTTCCATTCTCAATTTTATGTACAATGTACCTTTAGTTAAGTTCAAAGTTTATAGTTTAATAAGTTTTGTATACTTTGTTATATCGTGTTTGTTTTTTAGATTCATTGTACTGTAATTCCATGGATTGTATGACGAACTTTAAAGAGAGAAGCATTACGGTTACTTCGATAGGTCATATGGTTTGTGCTGCCCGTCTCTTTGCTTTGATTGGTTGATTGAGCTTTACGTCATTTTCAAATCATTTGAAACAAATGAAAATAAACATACGACTCCAAAGGTGTATTCAATAGGAACTTATGGCAAGCCGTTTTACTATTTATTCTAACTTCAAGATATCTAACAAACTTTATAAGATATCTTATGAATTATATGAGATATCTTATAAAGTATATAAGATATCTTATAAAGTATATAAGATACCTAATAAAAATTAGATTATATAAGATATCTTATATATTATATGAGATATCTTGAAGTAAGAATAAATAGTAAAACGGCTTGCCATAGGAACCATTGAAATAGATGACATGGTTTTTAACTTTTCGAAGGCAATTTCGCACCCTTATTGTACAGGTGACGGATATTGACCGAAGTCATTTGAACAAATGCATGTCAACGAACTATCCCAACTTCTCCGTCAATGTGACCCCTGTCAAATTAAGAAGTACTACATATCTCCTTATTGTTTTTTTTTTATATTTTTTGGCGACAGACGGGTGCAACTAGTCGAGTAGGATCTGTTTACCCTTAAGGAGCAAATGAGATTATCCCAGGTTTTTAATGGAGCACTTATTGTTCAATATCTAGTTTTTCTGTATACATGTATTGTTAATGTTGTTTGACTTGTTCTCTTCTTTTTTTGGCCGTGGTGTTGTCTGTTTTTATTGGACTCTCTTTAAATATAACTGTAATGATACATCTTACAACACGTACACAATAGCTGAGTAACGCGAACGGATACAAAATCTGAATTTCTGCGTAAGTTTTTTTTTTAAACATCTTAAATTCTACGTAAAGCCCGGTTGTCACTATCAACGTTTTCTTTGATCAGGTAAAACTTGGTCAAAGTCAAAGGTTGTCATTATCAAAGTTTTTTTTTAATCAAAAACTTGGTAAAAGAAAAAACTGCACTGTTATTGGACAATTCTGTAAAAGTCCATCCGTCAAAGTGTTTGATCAAAGATTTCTTTGACTGTTGTCATTATTAACAAATCCATCAAAAACTTTGACCAAGAAAACTTGTACAAGAAAACTTTGATAGTGACAACGAGCCTTTATTTAAAAAAAAAACTAATTCAATACATACCTGTAATTATTTCCTAAATTATAGAGGTACAACCAAACAAAAATATTAGTCACAAACACTACAAGTAATTATCCGTTTGTTTTGTAGCTAAAAATGTTTTGATAAAAACTAAACTGCTTTACAATCCTAGTAACAGAGCTATCTAGATCCTACACTCTACAAGTGTTTATTTAGTTTGACAGCTTCGACCTGATAATATATCCGGAAGATTACAAAACGTTTGTCCGAAACTACATACAACGTCTCTTGTGCAAATAATTGTATAATGTTAATAAACTTTACTAACGACCTTTCGTTGAACACTTGCATACAAAATCATACACAAACATTAAAGAAAAGATTTTTTACAAATTTGTTATATTTCAATTCAACATATTCCATTCATCAGTCAAAAGCGAACACCTTTCAAATGTATACGGATTAAGCGAGGAGTATCATGACTGCAAGAGCAACTTTTACTTTTAATACTTGCATTATTGGATACTTAATAAGCTGTATTATATTGGTCCTTCAATGGATACTCAGATTTATTACCTATTCAAGTACTATTGTAAATTTGTACAAGTTTATTTTGAATATTGATAAAGATTTCTAATCTAGAATAAGGTGAATATACGCATGTGCAGAATAACAAACATAACGTATTATCATATTTTAAGCCGTTTAGACAAGCCAGAGACATTTAATCATTAGTTGTATTTGGTTTTGAACTAACTTTCAGTTACTGAGAGTAATCATAGTTCGGTATATTTGTATTTAAAATGTTTGTTGTGCGTCGTACCAATCTGTTGAGTTATGCCATTTTACAACTAATTTTTATACGACCACAACAAATTTTTGCGTTCGCATATTGGTATCACGTCGTCGTCGTTGGGGGTGATGGTCCCAACCGTTTAGGAATGAGGGGCCAAAAAGAGGCCAAAACAAGCATTTTTCTAGTTTCAGGACAATAACTTGCGTATAAGTATTTTGATTGCTCTGAAATTGTACCACAAGGTTCAATACCACTAGTAGAAGGTTGGGATTTATTTTGGGGGTAATTGCCCAAAACCGTTCAGGAATTATGGGCCAAAAAGGGTCTAAAACGAGCATTTTTCTAGTTTTCAGACAATAACTTTTGTTTAAGTGTATGGATGTCTATTAATTTGTACCACATTTTACAAAAAGAAAATTTCTTCAAAATTAATTTTTTTGGAAAGGGGGAGGGGGATTTTTTTTTGGGGGGGCAATTTTTTTTCCTCAAAACAATATTCTCTTCAAATATTATTTTTTTTGGAAAAGGGGGGGGATAAAAAAAATTTGGGGGGGGTCAATTTTTTTCCTTCAAGATTTAAGGAATTGTCAATTTTCCAAAGAAAAAATTGGGGGTCACAATTTTTTTTGCTAATTCTTTGTATATAGTCTGAAAACAGATTTACTAAGTATTGCGCAACAGCACAGTGTATTGCATAACAGCAAGAAATCTTCAATTGAATATAAATTCAAATCATACAACCAATTTCAAGTTCTTTGACTACATTTATTCTGTGTCAGAATCCTATAATGTGTCTAATATTTAATTACAATCCAAATTCAGACCTGTATCAAGCGTGAATATTGTGTCCATTTTTGCCCCAACTGTTCAGGGTTGGACCTCTGCGGTCGTATCCAGCTGCGCTCGGCGAAGCAGTTTATTACAATTTGTTCTTATTTTGTGCTGTTCATGACATCACTGTCCAATGTAAGGGGAGGATTCAGCGCTGCTCATAAGCATGTTCAAACACGCCACAATCTTAATGTGTCAGTCCCAATTCATGAGCATGTAAATCAGTTGTTCTAATTGTTTGCTGTCTGTCATATTTGCTTTTCGTTAGTTTCAATTTGTATAAATGAGGCCGTTGGGTTCCTCGTTTCAATTGTTTCAATTTATTTTGTCATATCGGGACCTTTTATACATTGCAGCTTACTCTATGGTATGTGTTTTGGTCATTGTTGAAGGCCGTACGATGACCTTTAGTTGCTTACATACTGGTCATTTGGGCTATTGTGGAATTTGGTGGATACTTGTCTCAATGACAATCATATCATATTTCGGATTATCAGGTTCCAACTCGTTGACATTTATCTACACGATGGATCATTTCAATGAAATATATTCTTTTTTTTTTTAATTTTTGAGACATTGATTCAGATCGAGATCAAATTAAAAAAAATGAAAGATTCTGCAAAATGTGTCCAGCAAGTATTCTTTGTTTTATAATATGAAGTTCTAAAACATTTATGATTGCTTTGTAACTGAAAAACAAACCACTGTATAAATTGTTCACAATTTAATCAGAATAGATCAACATACATTTTTCTTTAATTTTTCCATAAACAGTAATGTATACTATACGAATCTATTGAAACACATGTAAAATACAGGTCTGATGAAACACGTATAATATCATACGCTCGACTGATGACGCTGCATGGTTGTGCGTCTTTGGCGAATATACGATTTTTTTGTCATTGGTACTTTTTATCGGTAGAGGAATCCAGAGCAATGAGTAAAAAAAAAAAAAAATTTGTTTCCGCTTTGTTAGTGTTTTGTGTAAACTTTCGTCACGCCGCGTTGTATCACGCTAAAGCATGTTTGGGATAGTAACTAACCAAAACTTAACCCTATCCGAATTATAATAAGTATTGCGTGTTAAATTGTTATCATTCAGCTGCATATATGATTTAGTTTCTGTATTGAATTCCGGCCAATGAACATCGGTTTCTTTGGAATTAGGATTTCTGAAATATGAAAGATTATAAAAATATTATAATATTGAGAAAGAAAAAACAACATTCCACGAAGAAATAAAAGTCCACTCTATTTTGATTTTTCCTTATGTCAAATCGATGCATACCTAAACATCTTCTTGTTTAAGAATTGAATGCTTCTTTTTTATAATTTTATAGGGGAGTAAAAGCGTTTACCGAAGCACATTTTGTATGAAGCTTCCGCGCTTCATAATAAAACTATGCACACGATCAACGCTTTTACAACCTTATTCAATTCTTATGATTACATTTTAATGCTACAACCGTAAAATTAAGAATTATATCAAGCTTTTTGTTTGTTTTTCAATGCACTGTTTTAACATTGTCACGGATAGCACGTGCAGTCATAGCTGTTGTATTTTATAAGGAAATAGAATATGATCTTGGAGTGTCTCGCGATTGTTGTCAGATAATCAAAATTACAGATTCTAATGAAACATGCATGTAATGTAATTATAAACAAGGCAAATGATAGAATGGGATATTTTTTGTCATACTAACTTATTATTTACACTAATCAACGATGCGCCAGCTGTCGCAGGAGAAGCAGAAAATCATATCCTCCTGACACCTGATGTCTTTTATCGTTTTCAGAGTGTTATCTTTGGCCAAGAGTTTTAAAGGTCCCCTTGGTCTTTTAGGTAATCAAGTAGTTATATCCATGGCTTTGAAATACTTTGTTTTGAGTGTTCTGTGTGAAGGTAAATCCTGAAAAGCACTTCGGACGCAAAACACTTGTTAAGACCCCTAATACCTTTGTTGTAGGCATGGAGCCTATAGTCTAATGGTTCACATGTTGGCCCTGTTATATATGCAAGTGTCTGTCTAACCTTTCATATAAATGGAATAAGTTTAATATTATTAATTAATATATTTCAAAATAACGACTTACCCGGTTTTTGCAAAATTTGTCCAATAATCTTTCATACGTAAGGCTAAGTCAAACTGATCGGTAGAAACTGGAAGGTGGGAATAGTGCAAATCCTCAATTCCAAATAGGAAGACAACTTCCGATGCATGTCCAGATCCTCTGTACCAGGTTGGTCTGGTTGGGCCAAATGGAAGAGGGCTTTTTTGCGTAAACACATACTGATATGATTTTGAATATGTATTATTATTCGAGTGCGACTCTAATATAGAAAATGAAGGCGCTATAAAGAACAAATCTGTATACATTTCTAAAACTTGCCGACTTTGTTCATCAATGTTGTCTTGGACGCTATATTCATTACAAATGGCTTCAGAAACTTTTAGGCTATGATGATAATATAATCCAGATAAAGAGGGCGCAAAATGTTTACATAGAAACGAATTTGGAATTCCATTTGTAATGTTAAATTTGTACTTTTCTTGTTCTTTTACTGTTGTTAAGAGATAAAGAGAGCCTTCCATATTACAGTTTCCAACTATCATATCTAGAGACCGAAACATAGCGTACTCAGGCGAATTCTTGTTAGACAGAACTTTTGAGGGCAAGTCATTAAACAGTTCACCATCAATAACCGGTGCTAGAGGAATCGCTACTCGTATGGATGTCTCTATGTCCGTGGCCAATGTATCAAGAGTTTTCAGTATGTCCCCAGCATTTTTAGATCTCATACAATTCAAAAGGGCATTATAATTTTTGGTAATTGGGTCGTAAATACACCCAACAGCATCACTTAAAGCAACAGACACTAATTTTGAGTCGTCAGTTAGAGCAAAGAATGAATCTGCAACACCACTCTCGGCAATGACGCGTTTAAACAATCCTTTGATGCTTGGTACAACTGACAAAAGAGACACACTAAAACCACCAGCTGATTCTCCAAATATTGTAACGGAAGACGGATCACCGGTGTAATCTGCAATATTTTCTTGAATCCACTGAAGAGCTAAGATTTGATCCCATAGACCAAAATTTCCCCGAGCAGAAGTATCATTGTATGAAAGAAAGCCAAATATTCCAAGTCGGTAGTTTATTGTCACTACAACAACGTCTCCCCTAGCAGCTAACATTGTACCGTTATATAGTGTTCCGGATCCAAATTGATAGGCACCGCCGTGTATCCAAACCATTACCGAACGTTTAATATTAGATGATATATTATTTGGAACATATATGTTCAACTGCAAGCAGTCCTCTGAGAATCCGTTATAAGTAAACATAGGGTATGGTTCTGGTGATTGCATGCAAGCAAGACCAAGGCTAGTGGCATTAAGTGTTCCATTCCATCGACCATATGGCTCCGATTTGGCAAATCGTAGATTTCCAACAGGTGGTTTGGCATATGGTATATTATAAAATTTATAGACTGATGTTGTATAGTCTGGTGTCGGTTCCTTTATGCCAGTAATGTTGCCAAGTCGTGTTTTGATTGTAACAGGAACACTGGAAATCTCATCGGAGAAGAAACATATCAGACAAGCTAAACTGAGAAGTTGTCTGGCCTTTAAAGGAAAAACATGAATATTATAGTGTTTCGGTTCTCATTCATCTTTGGCTTTCGAATATTTGGCTTTGAGCATAAGATGAAGGTAAATCCAGAAAAGTGCTTCGGACGGATCAAATTTAGAAAGTGTTGTTTTCAATTTTTTTTTAATTATTTTTATAGTTTTTGCTTTAGGTAGGAAAAATGAGAGTCATTGGAATACATTATGGTAAAACTAGTTAATGAAATAATTTGTTTTGAGGTAAGAAAGAATTCTTTATGTTTAAGCAAGCAATTATATTAATTCGTTCATCATGTTAGATAAGTACATTCAGTGGTTGTCGTTGGTTCATTTCTGTCATTTGTTTTTCGTAAATGTTTTTTTTTTATAAATTAGGCCGTTAATTTTCTCAATTGAATTGTTTCATATTTTTCATGTCGGGGCCTTTAATAGCCGACTATACGGTATAAGGGTCTTCTCATTGTTGAAGGCCGTACGATTGCCTATAATTGCTTACAACTTTTGTGGATAGTTGTCTCAATGGCAATCATACCACATCTCCTTATTTTTATATTAGAAACAAATTATAAAATTTGCAAGTGATGAGATAACATTAAAAAGGCAGACGCAATATTAGATGAACGGATGAGAGACAAAACGCGCGAAATCTTACCCAAAGATGAAAATTCGTGGAAAGGTTATACTTATTTGTCGATTCGGTTTCTTGAGAATTAGTGCATAACTCTCAGCAGAACACATGTTACACAAAATATAATTTCTCATTATATTTATCTATAACTCATTCACTTATTCTAGATTATTTAATTGATTGGTTTTTGGTGTTTAACGCCATTTTCAGTACTATTCCGGGCTATTTTTGGAGGTTTTAGGTTCTCCATAAAATCGCTTCGAACGCACCACATTCAAAGTGTTATTTTTATTCACTATTTAGAGTCGCCCATCGAAGCTCCGAAATGTTTAATCACTACGTCTCTGTTTTGTATGACACATAAAATTATATTTGTTCAACAAACCTGTATTTACGTCTATGAAATACAATATTTACTCATTTTAAACTTGTACTATTGCAGTAAAAGCCGTAAACGTAATTTTAGGAAAAAAATCAAAACATGAGATGATTTTTCAGTTACGTGACATATCTGAGTACACAAACTCATCATAAGTACCAGGCTTAAAATTTTGTACGTCAAACGCGCGTTTCGTCTTTAAAAGACTCGTCAGTGACGCTCGATTAAAAAATAGTGACACAAACACGTTAATTAGCCTAGCTGTTTTAAAGCTTAAGTAATAAATGATGTAAATTCTCTTCTAATTCTATATGTTGGTAATTCATAAATAAAACCAATAAATTCAACGATTTTACTTACCATTATTATACATATAAACAAAGATCAAATGTAGTCTGTGAAACGTTTACAATTATAATCAATTGTATAATTGCACATATGATTAGGTGATAAAGACGTTATCATCGGGTTACTAATATGGTTTATCTGTTAATAAATAGGACTATCAGTACATGTGTATCCGTATTCCTTTGTGATAAAAGGGGCCAATAATAGACTACAGTCTTAAGTGAGGTACCAACCATTCATCTTTTGTGGGAGGACAATGGGTTTTTTTGATAAATTGTTTTATGCTAGAAAAAAAAATTCCGAAGGGAAGTGAAAAAAAATTAATTCGCCTCCATAAAAATTTAGCAAACAAAACCCCCCAATAAATTCAATATTGAGTTTCAAAAACAAATGCTTGTTCCTGTATTTAATTGAAAAAGTCAGTTTGTTTTTATTCAAGTTGGAAAAAAAATATTTCCTGAGAGAAAAAAAAAACATGCCAAAAACAAATGATGAGTGGTTGGTGACTAACTTTTTCTGATCATTTCTCATCATACGGCGACCTTTAAAATGAACGTTCAGCAAAATAGTAGGTTTTTTTTAGAACTTTTTAACTTCATTTACAATCAGCTCATTTGGTTCGATATTCGCGTGGTTGCAAGGACATCGAAGTTGACATTTTATATTAAGACACCTATATTTTTATGAAAACTGTAAAGTGACTCTTAAAAGTCTTTTGGTTAATGTGTCGCTCCTGTCTCATTGAAACGCAGACTGGTTCCCTGTAACAAGGGTAACTCAGATACCCGTATTTTGCAAGGGAGATAACCAGCTTAATTGACATGTACATTTGTACCGTACTGTTTGTGATTATGATTACAGTTAAACAACAGTTTCAAAACAAATGATATAACGGTAAGACGTAATGATAATCATTAAATTTAATATTTAAAATTATTTCATCAATATGACGTGTAAAAAATTTAGTCAATGGGAATATTCAATTTAGTTAGGTTTCTAGTTTAATAGGACATGAATGAACATTACAATTTTATTATAAAATATGAACGATAAATTGACAGGAAAACGTAATGGTTAGAGGTAAGTAAATAGAATGAAAAAAAATATACGAAACGTCTGAACTGATATCTATGTTTTTACATAAAGGGAAAGCTTTGCTAAATTTTTCATAAGACTAGCACAAAATTTAATAAAAAAAATAATTACTTCAAAGTCGTAACACATTGGAATCGTGTTACCATGAGCGCGACGTTATTATTAAGGAGGACTACCATTGTGTGTATGAATGAAAACAAATCGATATAAGGTCAACCCTATAGAATGACATGTATTTGTTAACATCCATGTCCTTTGGTCTTTGGTGGATATTTAACATTGGTGATCAACTAATCATACCACATCTCCTTTTATAATCTGACAATGTAAAATTTATGTGTCCTGTAGATCCAACATAAAAAGGCTTTGATACATTAACCATGAAAATTTAACAAACATGTTTAATCGCGCAACAGTCTGTATGTGCCTGTCCCAAGTCAAGAGCCTGTAGTTCAGTGGTTGTCGTTGGTTCATGCCGTGAGACTTTGGAATCGTCTTACCATAAGTGCGACCTTACTAGCACCACTCGTTATAATTAAGGTGGAACACCATTGTCCGTATGCATGAAAACAAAACAATGTAAGATAGATAGACTGACATGTATTTGTCATACATTCGAATGATAATATTAATTAAATACAAGGTAGACATAAGGGACGCCCGAAGCTATCTAAATAGTATGTTGGTTTCTTTTTTAGTTATGGTTTTTGATTTTCGAATATTTTGGCATCATTTGTCGAAATACACATATGGTGCAGTAATATTGGTGCAGTAAATGTTATCTAAACCACAATGATGATAAATGGGGATCAATGAAAATACGGGTATAGTTATATGAAATTTTCTGTTGTGAAATTTGGAAGTCATTTTTAAATATGTATTATCTCTATCATGCATAGCTCTGATTCTTTTTCCGAGTTCGGCTCTACTTTTTGTCCTTTTTTTTTGTTTTATTATGTATAGGATATTACATGACTTTTGTTTCCTTATAGACTTTCATTTGTATTGTGTACTTGCAGGTACATGTGTGTGGTTAGCCTTCAATAAAATCCACACATCATTTAAATCAACACAGGCTTAACATTTCATGTTTATGCAATAAAGATAACAAATGTTATTAATCAAACCAACATCAGAAACTCTACACAAAAATGTACGACAAAAGGGATGATTTTTCTTTCCCTATTGTTAATTTTCCCTTTTTGGACAGTGATGTTCCTTTGTCATCGTCCTACGGTGTTTATAGATCCCAACTCGTTCGCTATGCTCGTGTTTGTAGTGACGTTTTGGATTTTAATGAGCGTAATCTATGTATTACTAGTAAATTATTAAGTCATGGATTTCGTTACCACAAATCACTTAAAACCTTTACTAAATTCTTTCATAGATACAAAGATTTGGTCTGCAAGTTTGACTGTACCTGTAGAAAAATTATTTTAAACGGAATAGCACATCCTAAATTTTACGGTGATGTTGTAAACCGAGCCCGGAAATTTGTGCTAATTTTAAGACGGTTTTTGTCTAAAATGGAAGTGGCCGCATTTGTGTTCAGTCTTTATACTGAAATATATGTTGTATTTGATGATGAAACATAATATATATACAGGTTGAGACTGAACACGAATGCGGTCACTTCCATTTAGACAAAAACCATCTGAAAAGTGACGTTTTCTGGCAATTTTGATAGATTTTTCATATTTAAGCTTGAATTTGAGCGTCTTTAATGACCAAATCAGTTCAAAACTTCTACAATCTGTCGATACCTATAGTTTGGCATTGCACAAGGTCATCTTTTTTCTCTGACTGATAATGACGTCTTTACACTAAATCCATTGGATGTTGGATGTGTACTGATTGATATTTTAGTCTTAGATGCATGATTTTTTTCATTAGTTGTTATTGGCTTTGAACTAGCTGTCAGTAACTGCGAGTACTATCAGATGAATTTCTATTTGCATCCATCTGATGAGTTAAGACTTTTTCAACTGATTTTTATAGTTTGTTCTTATGTTGTACTGTTACACCACTGTCCCAGGTAAGGGGGGAGGGGGATTGAGCGCTCACAAACATGTTCAACCCCGCCATATTCTTTGTTTACCTGTCCCAAGTCAGGAGCCTGTAGTTCAGTGGTGGTCGTTGGTTCATGTCTGTCATATTTGTTTTTCGTTAATTGTTTTGTTATAAACTAGGCCGTTAGTTTTCTCAATTGAATTGTTTTTCTATTTTTCATGTGGTGTGGGGGGGGGGGGGGGGCTTTTATAACCGACCATACGGTATGAGTTTTTCTCATTGTTGAAGGCCGTTCGATTACCTATAATTGCTTACATCCACTTCATTTGAACTTTGGTGGATAGTTGTCAAATTGGCAATCAAACCACATCTCCTTATTTTCATAATGCTTATTTTAGGTAAAGTTATTCAAATTTTGGATTAAATTCAAATTTGCAAATATTTTGGTTTCGAGCATCACTGATGAGATATTAATTGTCGAAACGCGTATCTGGTGTAGCAATTAAATTGGTACAATCTGAATGTATATGTTAAATGAAGATTTATTTGTTTATGTTCATTACGTTAAATGAATAAAAGGATAAGTGGCTGTAAATATCTTGTTTTAAAGGACGTATTATCATTCATATAAGTCTTTATAATCAGTGCATTTCTTTTTGGACTATTCAATCTTTCCTGTGTGCATATTTAATGATATTTCACATCAGCTCAGAAGCTCTGACTACTAGACTGGATATACTCTAGGACAATAAACGTCTACCAGAAGAGGCATCGATATAGCGATTGGAAAAACCATTAAAATATACATCTTATAACTTAATGCGCTTTTTATTACATGTGCATTAAATGAAAAAGCATTAAACAAATTTCTTGCGTCGGATTGAAATTTGAAAGCCAAAAATATCTGTATATTGAAAAAATAAAAACAACGCACCTATCCTCTCTTTGAAGATACAATTAAAGTTTTGTCATTTTTTCGTTTTTTGTAAAGGTGTTTTAGTTATTTCTTTGAATAATGATTTTTTATTGCCTTTTTGGTATTTCTGCCTCGTTTTTTGCCATTGAGAACTCTTGCACCAATAGTTTACATATATGAACTAATATACTTATTTGGTTAGGAAAACTATTATAGCATTAACTGGAAGATGCATGCACTTAATACGGCTACTACTAGGAAGTATAGAATTGGAAACTTGGGATTTGTTGTAACTCTGCAAAAATGTATTCGCGTGGGATCAGTATTACGTTTGCACAACTCTATCCCACTTTTGGCTATCTGTTGTAAATGTAAAACACACAACAAATAAACTGAAAAGTCCGGGTACTAACAGGATGACAACTAACTTTAACCAAAGTTCGAAACAACGGTGACGTTGCTCTACTAAACTATCACGTATTAACGTATCGTAGCAAGGACGACATTACCACTGTTTCGGAGATTGATCTTGAATAAGGAAATTCGAAGAAAAAACATGGCATATCTTGGAGAAAACAGGATCAAAATATGCTCGCTACTAAAGGAAGCTAGCTAAGGTAGTCGCAGTTGTTGGTTGAATACTATACCTACCAAAGCCATAATTGTGTCTACTGTTTGCTTTTTGGAATATGATACCATTGCACAAAGGAAATGTTAGATATTGAAGGATTATTGACTTTAGTACTTCTTTTATCATATTTTCCACCTATTTATTATAAAACCATATCACGGCTTTGGGACGTCGGCGAGATTTGTCCAGACGACATCAGGTTTAATCATAAAGTTATGACCGGACCTTTACATTTGAAACACGTATGATATTTGTTCCGAGTCCTGTCTAAGGTCATCTTTGCTCGAGAAATTTGTAACCTAAGCTTTTACTAAATTATTTAACGCTAATTTCCAATTTTTTAAGGTATATGAGAAAAAGTCAACACTTATCAGCACAATTGTATGTATTCTACCAGAACACCCCGTACAATACTTCATTTAACAATTCGATATACACATATTTTCGAATATTTAAACATGTTAAATGTCTGTCCCTCCGAGGATTACTATTTAAACAATAGTCTATTAAAAGTTGATATTTTCGTAAAGGGTGAATGAGTCGAACTGGTTTCTCAAATTATTCCATAAATAAAAGCACATATAAAAATAAACAAATAGACAAATAGATAGATATATTATCTGAAACATTAATGATGGGAATCTCATTCATAACTGATTTTTCTGATGATGATATTTTCTATTGATCATGCTTAAAATTGATTATTTTCACATTTTTCAGTATTCCTAAAAGAAGACGAACATACTATTTATTAATGTGATGAGAGGAAGATAGATATTAGTTGAAATAAGTTGATTTGAACAAAATGAGTTGTGGAGAAAAACAAATGACTCTGTAATATGTTCAAATATATAATTAAAACCCCATTGTAGGCAAACCAATTAAAAACAATACCTATCAAGGAACTCTGTACATTGTACAAAAAACTACAGATTCTCACACGAATTAGAGGGGGAAATAGAAGCCGAGGACTGAAAGTAACTATCAATATGTATATCGGTTTTGTTTTAAATATTTGAATATGTTCATGATGAAATAAGAGTGGTAAAAATACGAAGCAGCTTATTAGCCAAAGAGAAAAGAGCAAACGTCAAAATGATCGAATGGAATACTATTTATATTTAATTTAAAAACTTCATCTTTAGATTGATCCTAATGATGGATTGCTGACTAGGAGAAATTTTTAATCTGATTCTACAAAACAAAACTTGATCAATAAATACATCTGACCATAAAAAAATAGCTTTATTGTCATATATACATATTTAGTTTGTGACAAAACAAAACAAAACATAATATAGCAAAGAAATAACATTTTTATTATAAATGAACACATGGAAAACAAATAGTAAGACCTCTGCCCTCAGTTCTAATGACTGTTTTTTAAAGGAGCCAATATTTTTAACATGTTCCATGATAGGGGGTTTAGCATTTCTTTTACTTTTTGTTCTTGGTTAAGAGACATAAATAAGATTTAGAAAAAAGGAAACAAACCAGTTGTTATTTTAATTCAAAAATGTGAATTTATTGAACTATGTTAAGAATATAAATCCTCATTTGTTTTACATTGGGTTGCAGCCATTACTTTATTATCAGCTATATCATACTGATCTTCGGTTTGTTCTCCAAAAAAATGATCGTAAGTATTATTTACATCATCTTTGGGTTCATTACCGGAAGTTTCTGTTACGTTATATGTATTGTCGGACAAATGGACGTCATATGTTAACGGTTCACTTTCTGCTCTTGAAGGCACATGTGCAGAAACATCATAGTCATTTTCCATCTGGTTCTGTCTGTTTGGAACACCATTGTCAGCCGTCTGGTTTTCCTTACTGCCCATCGATTGTGCATTTACTTCAGAATAATCATACTGATCCCGGTTTTCTGATTCTATATTCATTTCAATATCTTCAGTACGTACTGTAACCTTTCGTTGTTTTGATTTCCTATATCTGTAAAATCAAGTCATGTGTATATACTTTTAAAATTAGATTATATGTATATAAATAGCAAAATCCAGACAAAAAGTAAGCATAGTTAAGTTGTAACGGTTATTTTCTATTTCATTTGGTCTCTGGTGAAGAGTTGTCTCATCGGCAATCATGCCACTTCTTATATTTACAATAATTATTCTGTATTTCATAATACTCAAATATACAAACTGCTGTATAACTGATATTAAATTTAAAACAAAATAAATACGATACCCGATTATTTTTTTATTTTAATATTTCAAAATGCATTGTTATGCCAAACCAAAAAAACATCATGAACATTGGAATAATAAGTGAATATGTGCAATGCCGTTAAACACAACATTTTTTGATTGGTTGATTGTTGCATGGGTGCTTAAAACGTCTACTTTTCGAAAAAATTCATCAAATAGTGTTACAGGTTAAGAGAAGATTACACAAACAAATTTTTGAGAAGTTTACGCTTTAGTTATAAAGCATAAGTATGGTGAAATGTAATTCTTGTTTTTTTGTCTTAAAAATATTTTTTAAAAGTGTTAAAATATTGTTTAATGTTTTGAGAGAGCACAGCAAACGGGTACAATTTTTCAAGGTAAAAAGGTTCTAAACAGGTTAGATAAATACTGTTAACTTTTAAGCGTAGGTAGAGTATGCATTTAAAGGAAGGTGTAATTTGGCCTCTGAAACAGCGAAAATGATAACATTATTCGACACGAACAAAACGATATTAACATTGTTTTATAAATGAATATGTTGGTAAATTCAGGTGATTGTTCTGAAAAAAGGAGTAGTTTCATTGCCTTTTGGTGTCGACGTCACTGCTATGTACCTTGCCACACATTTCAACATTTATATATAAAAAAAGTATAACAAAAATGCCGAACTCCAAGGCATACTCAAAAAGGTCCATAATAATTGTCTTAACCAAACGCCAGACTGTATCAACCAACGGAACGAATGGAAAACAACTGTCATACTCCCGACCTGGCGCAGCCCTCTTCGATGAAAATGGTGTGTTAAACCTAGTTTTATAGCTAGCTAAACCTCCAACTTGTATGACAATTGTTCATAGTTCCGTTATATTGACAAAATTGGGTGAGCAACCAAAACAGACATAAGTTAATGTGATAATAATTGGGATTCAGCAACCAAAACTGTGTAAACATACACAACAGCTGACTAAAAAAATCAAACAAACATACAAATAAATCTAGCAAACACGCCAACAAACAATTTTTGTAGCTGAAAGTAAATTTGATTTTTCGTCCCATAAATATCTAATTTTAATGTAGTTTTAGGTAAATTAAATATGTCCAAAAGCCTAACCCAAAAACATATTTTACATATTGAAACATCTTTATATAAGACGTATAACTCCTACATATCTATATGCGAAAAGCTGTTGCTCATATGCAAATTTTGAATTGGGATTATCTTGACGAATTTTTTATTTTTTTGTAAAATTCAAGATCCTTGAAAGAAAAACAAACGAATATGAAGAAGAAAAAAAGAGATGTTTGACAAACTTGTGATCATCTGAAAAAGATAGATTTATAATCCTGAGAGGTTGTCAGATACTAATTATAAACTACATTAAAAATATTAGATATCTATTTTGAATTACATTTGCATATGTTGAAATTGACATTTTTGGAGGAATATATCAATGTTGAAATGAAACGAGGATGACGTAGCAGTGACAGCAACAGGCAAATTAAGTTTAAATTTAACTGAAATCAAATGGAAAATCGTGGTTTACCTACATCTCCTTTACATTTATTATATATCATTGAAATTCCGATGTATTGGCTATTGAATTAATAAAAGTTTAGTATTGTATTAAAACAAACCTTTTGAAAAGTAAAGTCACTATCACCAAGATAATCAAGGCTGCAACAACACCGAGTACAATTCCGACAATGGTTAATTCTGAAACAAAAAGCGTGAGTTGCACATACATAAAGATTGCCAAAAGTGTAAAATAATGCATCTTATATTTTGCTCGCACAAGGTTACCTGCAAACTAGTCAATTAATTACTGTACTCAATATTACATGTTATTTATTTTTTATACATTAATTAAATGTATGGAATATATAATGTTTATAATTTCTTTCTGTGTACTGTTATGTAATGTAACTAAATAGATTATTTAATTTTTTTGCAATAAAAAGGGATCTTGAATAAATAATAGATGAAAGTAAACCATAACTTTTTGGTCTATTCTTTTATAGTAATTATGAGTCATAGAAGAAAAGATAAAATCATAAGGCATCTTTGGAGGTCATAGCTTTTGTATTTTTGTTATAATTAATCAGTCAAGATATTAACCTCTTCTCTGATAATATATAATATCTAAGTTCTATTCATTTAGTTTTATATGATTTATTGAGTGTTGTTTGATTAACGTTCGTTTGCCAACTATTCGTGCTTAGATATTAGAAGATGTGGTTACATTGCATTCAAGACGAGCTGCAATATATGCAATAGCTAGGTTCTACCAAGTGGTCGTGTGACAAAAAAGTTAGGAAACTTTGACTGCCACTCAAAAATATACGATAAGCTATAATTTATATTCCCACAGGCCATCACCGGACCTCTAAACTATGAAGGGCCATTCGGGTGATCATGCAATTATATTGACACGTTCGCTTGAGAAACACGTTTAAGTTTGTTCGCGTACCCTAGAGTAACACATTGTAGTTCTTTCGCGTTACTTTGAGCAACACGTTGCAACTATTGTATGTTTGAAGTTGTTAAACGTATAAACGATACCAATTACGTTCGTAATGAACATGATGAACTCGTCTGTTCTAGGAAGTCAAAAATATGTTCTTACCATTTAAATACTTCACATGTTGAAATGAAGGACACTCACACGAGGCAATTTATGAATGATAAAAAACGAAAATTTTAGTGTCTGTGTCAGAAAAGTATTGTGTTCAGACATAAGTTATTGGAAAATCTTCTACTGGCCTGTCGCTTGACGCTATTTTTATGGGATTATGATTTCAATTTGATAGACAAATTATGTATCCAATTAACGGTTGCTTATGCAGATAATTCTGTTAGTCGTAATAGGGGTGATATGTTTTTGTATCATACTAGTACGCGGTCCCTACAGGAACGCGAACCACATTCTCTGTAAAGCATCAAGGCGTTGCTCTACTTTCAACCTAACCTGACTGTGCATTTATATATTCCAAGACGACTAACGAACACCTTTTTTCAGTTGAGGTTTACTGCCGAATGGTAGAATCCAACGTGACCATATATCTCTATCTACGTCAACCCATATATTTTATAGTTAACGCAAAAAAAAAATGTACTCCATGAAATTTGATATCTGAGGTGAAAATAAATTAATCAATATATTATTCAAATGAATATTGTGTGTTTATCTTTTTAATTTAACGATGAACGCGAAGTGAAAATAAACATTTTAAAAACAATTTAACGTCGAGCCGGTTTGTGTTATCATTATCGCCACCAACTAGTTTACATTGGTTGCAAAAAGTAATTCCGTCAACGTCGTCTATCCAAAAATAAATAACTCCAAGAGCCACTACCGGAAGCCTTCTCGACCAATCATATAAGTATTTTCCCTGATATTCAAATCATATAAAAATTATTTTTTTGAATAATCTTCATATATGAACCATATTTAGATAAATGTTACGATAACTTGGCAGGACATAAATTATGAATTAAGTAATAAATTCGGGTCGGCTAGATAATAATTTTGGAAAACAATCGGTCCGAACAAGAGAAAATGAAGAAATTAACATAAGAAAAGTTATCTCTCGAAGTAAATACACCATTACTGTACAAAAATATAAGCATACAACATTTTTTCCGCGCTTGTTCGGGTTACTATCTTATCGAACATGTTTGGTTTTTTTTATTAATTCATGTAGCACTCATTTTTCTATTTCGTAGGGTAAACAGTAACTTAATTATAATACAACTTAAAGGGGCATTAGCTGTCAAATTCATGTTCACCGATTTGTCTCAAATTCTTATATTCGACTAATAACATACTAAAACACATATCAAAATTATAAAATGTCTAAAATAAACAATTTACGATGCATAGACTCGATGGTATGTATCATCATTTCGTGTGTATTTTAGTCTAGACGCCATCTAATTAACCATCGAGGTGACCTCCGAAGACTGCCGACGGTCACATAACCCGATATAAACATAAACATAGATATAAATAGATTGCGAACTAGTGCAATTGGATTTTTCTAGGTCTGTTTGATTTCATATAATAGATTAAAAAAATATGTTAACAATCGTTTTTACCTGTATAAGAACGAGTTTTTCTAGATCGAATCAGTCAACCAAATGGTTTACCCTTGTTTCGCTTCCAATGTTTACATTCGTTTCCATTTAATATCTGAACACGCCTAGTTCATGCGTAACTCATCTCTAGCTATAGGGATCTATTAAAGTTCACATGAATAAGGATTCAATGAGGTCGAACTATTCACTTGCAAGTGAATACTTCATTAGCGATGTTTCTTTGCTTAATTTGACAAAACTGAACCAAACTGGCTGTTAAAAGCGAATTATTATTTCACTATATCACTTTCATTAATGATTGAACAAAACAAAAACATATTTAATTTTTTTTTTATATCTCGTAGCTAATGCCCCTTTAAAACCTCTGCAAAATAGAACTTTAAATTCTTAAAGATAGCACATACGGTAAAAACAGAAAAATATTAAAATACAAATATAGAAAGAGTTATGATTGGTTTTGCTTCATTCTGTTCCACAAATCATATATCCATCATCGTGTAAACTCATATGCTTCAGAAATCATCCCCGTGAGTAGAAGTGCAAGCTGTAATTTTTATTAGGGTTGATTACTGATACATTTCATCTGATGGGTCGTGGCTTAAACGAAATGTAATTACATGCAAAAGTTACGGGTAGAATTTGAAAATGATTTATATTTAACAAGCGATGGCTAGTATTAAGACACGTCAACTGTTTAATCAACAGAACAAGGAATGCTAAATATACAATATTTAAGACATACACAAGCTAGCATTAAGTTCTTGTTCAATTCATTTTTATCAAATGTCCTCTAATGCTGAATAGACAATTGCTAACTAGGTAAATATCATTCAGTTAGAAATTAAAGATGTTCGACCAACTACAGACAATGTTGTGCTATATGATTATATGTTCAATATCATTAACCATAATTTAGTATACCGTCACTGGTGCTTTCTTCATCGTTTTGCATTACATGTTCTGTCTCTTTTGCAAGTTGTCCTGATTTGTCTTCGGCACTTACAAGGCTTATGACTGTAATTTTCAAATAAGATTTAACAAGTCAAGATCAAATTGTAACTTAAAGAGTAAAAACTGTGATGTTTGTAAGTCCCAAATCGACCAAATTGTCATTCAGTTATTGTATCAAAGGTTAGAACAATATATTATACATGCTATATCCAGACAACTTAACAGAAGAATAATATTTTTGACCATTTCTACCAATTGTTATATTATCTCCGTGAAATTATTTAACATTTAAAAAAGTGGCCCATACCAGCGGCACGTCTTTGTACATCTTTATGTAGGAAGAGACCCTTCCCCCGTGCGCTTATCAAACAATGTGTATCCGACGTGATCCCATAATATAACTCATCGATCCGGTCTAGAATGCTCATAATGTTACTTTCGTTTATAATTTTGTTTCCTTTCCGTAAGGCATTCCCATTTCTAAAACCCATTTTAGCCAATAAAATCTATTTAGAAGCAACATTATCAAGAAAACCGATCAGAACTAACTTTTGTTTCGTTATAATTTCAAGATGTTGTGTATATCGTATACAATTAACAGCTTGACATCGTGATGCGAAGCAATAATGTTTGTAGAATAGTCTTTAATTTATTTAGCTAATGTAATTAATATAATGTATATAGCTTACAATCTTCAATTTGTATGCTCAGATTCAAGAACATCGTTCACCAATTTCAGTATATGACTTTTTTTTTTCGTCTTGTCAAAGTGATTGAACAAGTGTGGTCTTTTGTGAGGCACTGTACATTCATTTCACGTGAAATTAAAAATTTCGTATGATGCATATGTAAGTGTATGCTTATCCAAAAACATTGCATCAAGAACACCGTGAAGTCATAGTCCTGTATATAGAGCATGTTCCGGCTGCGGCGTTACAGGCTGCAAAGCAGTATGGTTTTTAAGACAGGCAGGATTTGGTATGAAAGTAAGTGCAAGTAAATTAGTATTCTAATTTTTCTTATGTTAATAGACTCATGACGATTAAGTCTAAGAACTTGACAAATTGTACAGATCCCTTTTTTGCAATTTCCCTGATGTATTTATTTAAGGGAAGATCAACATTTTACATATTCACGTTATTTTTCCACCTGCCAAAGTAGCGAACTTAGTTGGTTTACAGTATTTCTGTCAATGGGTTTCTGTCTCATTGACGTACACAAGACACAGAACCAATTCGTGAAAAAAAAAAGGAACAGCCCCAGTATTATTGTTTCTTCATCGCAAAACCAGTCAGGCCTTTGTAAAGATGTTGTGAATCCCTGAGTAGCAAAAACACAAATTGAGGATGAATGAAATCATAGAATGAATTATGAAACAAAGTAAAAAAAAAAATTTCTCACAAGGTCATAATTTGCTTTTAAGGAATTGACCTTTGAAATGACAGAAGTCGGTTTAATACCATAACATCTATTATGCACATTTTAAAGAAATTTTACGAGATTTTCTGAAAATTTCTTTATAGAAATAATATTATAGTTCTAATAATTCAAACGACAGGAACAATTTTTCGTAAATCTGAGCATATATCTAATGTTATCACAAAATAATTCAAAGTTGGGATGCTAAAAGACTCTATCACGAGTTGGTTGACCGCTATGGAATATTTTTTCAACAGATAACGACGGATATGTTCCAATTGTCGTAACTACAATCCCGTCCCCTTTTCCTCGAACGTGACCTACCGAATTAGACTTATCGCAGATTTTGTATTAATTTGAGCAACACGACCGATGCCACAAGTGGAGCAGAATCTGCTTACCCTTCTAGAACCTCTGAGATCATTCCCGGTTTTTTGTGGGGTTTGTGTTGCTCAGTCTTTGTTTACTGTTGTTTTTCGTTTTTCGTTTTTTGTCATGGTATTGTCAGTTTGTTTTCGACTAATGAGTTTGAAATTCTTTGGTATCTTTCGCCACTATTTTAAGACCGCGGTCTGTAAGTGTAAACATAAAATTAGGACAAGTTAGACGAATTATTTTTTCCGGTAATCTGTGATTGTTTTCTAGGTCAGTAAGCACACGTTTTCTTTGTAAAGCGTTAACACGTAGTTGTCATCATTCTGTGCAACGTGTTTCCTGGATTTGTCCATGAGGTAATGAAAAAAGAGTTGCTTTTTATAGAAATAAACAATTATATTAGCGTTAACATTATTATCCTTATGTATGCTCATCCGTTAAAGGTAGTTTCCCGACCTGTTACAACAATGTAGAAACATGTACATACTAAACACGTATTGTCAGAATTTAACCAGAACAGTGGTACCAATCGTCAATTTTCTGATATTTACTCACGGAGTAAACACAAACTATCATGGTTACTAAAGCAACAAAAAAAAATATTCTACAGAACAATGTCTTAGGAGAATTGAACATTTTTGTTCAAAACCATAATCTGTATAGTGATAAAAAAAATTTATTTAATTATGTGCAAAATTTTGAATGACGTTGATAAAAGGGGTTTATTGATTTCTAAACTTGACCAACTGATTCACAGATCCAATTAAGGGCATACGATACAGTTACAGGAGAAGTTATGACGTTGCTAACGTAAATTGTTATTTTCGCGACGTCAAACTGTGACTTATTAGGAAAAGATGCAGTTTTCGACTGATTTTTATCATTCAAACTGATTTAACTTGAAAACGAGTTCATGGACCCTTCTTTTTTAAAATGACATTTGGTTTGATTACGTATGAAGATTATGTGTACCAATTTTCATGAAAAAGTCAATAGTGCAATTATTTTAAATTTGATAAATATATAGCAAAAAATGACGTTTTTTTCTACATTCATGAACATTTGATAAATATGAGTTATTTGTAAAAATAAAATGTACAAATTTATAAAACATTTATATAAAACAGAAATTACAAATAATTTAACAAAAAACAGCTTGTGTATATCTTTTAAAACAAAAAAGCTATGTATTTCTGTCGAAAGGAAAAATACGTCCACAAATCCGAATTTTGAGGAAATATCTGAAATTTCAACCTCAATTTACTCAAAAAGTAGCACATGATGGTATATTTTTTATTGCATATTTGATTTAATCAGGTAAAAAATAGCCTATATGCAAATTTTCATCAAAATTTCATTACGGGATCAAAACTGTATCGTATGCCCTTAAGTCTGAACCAGTTTATATTAAGTTTTTGAGTGAAAAGCCAATATTAATCTTATGGTTTAGTAAAACAAAAATCGCTTATTATGTCCATATCAAAACTTTCATCAACACATACCGTCCTATTTAGTCTATAAAGGAATTCCCACTTTTGACGTCATGAAACGGATTTATACGGATATCCTTTTGTAGTTGCCATGACGTTCTACGGTAAATATAATTTTATGACTTAACATAAAACATTGGAATTATTTGAAATGAACTTATTTCAGTATAGAAAAGCTTTTTTGAGTGATTTTGATATGTTTCTACCCATGATCACCTATAAACGTATACAAAAAGACGACATGACGTCTTCTATGATTGTGACATGTTTCCTATATTGTTTTGATCGTTACCTGTAGTCTGAGTAGCATTGGTCCAGATAGACGTTACATTCTGATGTTCACTAATAAATCGGTCATGGGGGACCCCAGTCGCCTCTGAAAAACATATTATTTAAATACATTTAAGTTAAGGTACGACTTTCTCCTATTCATTATTACTAGATTTTTCCTCGCTATGTTCGAGAGTAGATGAGATAATAATAAACTAGCTTCACTTTATTAATGAATTTAAAGAGAATTGAAAGAAATCTTTCGAACTAGGTAATTTGTGACAAATTTACATTGAGATTAGGCAAATACATTGTAGAAGATATTTTCAAAAGAAAGTAAAAAAATCTACAGAACAGAGGCCAGACTAATGTGAACAAGACCCTACTTATTACCTAATCTGGCTACATATTTGGACTCCTTCAATTCAAAAATCAAAAAGTGATATAAATCTACCAAATAAGATCCTTCAGATGTTCCTACGATATTAGCCTGCCAGTCATCAGTAATCATATTTTGAATTTTGTGTTATATAGTTCCCAAGGACTTCAAACGTTTTGCATGTAGTGCAAAACAGCAAAAACTATCAAAATTGCTCTATATACATGTAGGCAGAATACAAGTTTTGCACATGCTTTGATACCATACTTACTACCTAGCTGTTTAAAAACCAAAGTTTGAAAGAAAAAACATTTTTATTAGTGCAGTGTTTAAGTGAATTGTGAAATGTAATTGTTTTGCAATTTTATATATTGCTAAATAAACACCCTAAGGGGACATGTCACCTACACTTGTAAAGATATAAAGGCTAATTGATGCAAAGAAACCAAATCTGTGTTATAGTCGCATATGAATAATTACATCTATATTCGTGATGTACATGTAAGTATGCTAAAATTGTGTAGACATTTAGGCTGTTAAGCAATAAACGAAAAGTTTTGAATTGTCATTTTCAATATATAGTCAAATAATTTTCTACTCCATTGAATCATTAAAAAGAACTATTTATTTTTGAGTTAACAGTTATACTAATTTAAGCAGAATGGAAATTCAATATATATTTTTTGGAGATATATCTATAAATCTTATTGAAAAAAAACAACTGTTTACATTTGTCCATGTATGTCTTAATGTTACTGGACCAATCCTTTCTCAAACAATTAATACACTATATGAATATATATATTTCAAACAAGTGAACTAATAAATTGAAATATTTAGTCTTCCTGTATATATTTTTTTTTCATTGCATTTTTAATTGATCGGCAAATCCTCTTGGAGATTTAGGCCTGTATTTCATATTGCCCATTATTACCCAGTAAAACCCAGTAAATCCCGGGTTTTTCCGAGAATTTCCCACTGGCCTGGCCAATGCTCATAACACTCGGATTTTGCCAACCCTATTCGCCACTGACATATTTAATAAAAAAAAAAACATTTCTTAAATTTCGATGATGAATTCCCTAAGACAAAGTTAACAGAAGGTGTTCTGTTTTCTTTTATGATCTCTCATCATATAGGTCCTAAAATATAAGCGCATTATTTGCTTTTACAAGTTTGTTTTGAGAGTTCTTGATGAAGTTAAATCCATGAAGTGCATCGGACACACATAATTTCTAAAGTGTTTTACTTTAATGTTCAACATTTTCTACTTAAGGAAATGCCTGTTCCAAGCCAGGAATATGACAGTTCTTTTCCATTCGTTTGATGTGTATAAGCTTTTGATTTTGTCATTTGATAAGGGACCTTCCGTTTTAAATTTTCCTTGGAGTTCGGTATTTTTGTTATTTTACTTTTTTTATTATGTCATTGGGTTGTTGTTTAATTGACTTACAATACAAACTTTTTGTACATCTTTGTACAAAAACATTTATGGTTTTATTGCATCTGAACAGTACTGAGGTAATGGTTAATTCAATTTGACAACAGAAAAAAACAAGTTACTTATAAGTATTGTTCTCACAAAGGCAACACAAGTGTGCATTTTTAATTTAAAAAAAAAACTGCACATACCGTGGTATATTTTTCTTTTACAGTGATATCTAACTTCCAGGTACTTTGTAACACCCACACATTGATTTCCAAACTTATCCGTTGTTACAACGAGAACACATCTTTGTGATTCACCACATTCATTATTTAGAACATGTAGTGTTCTCTTGTGGCTGTCACAAGCAAATACCTCAGTACCAAAGAATTCTCTACATCGCTTACTGTCTGAATGTTTACGTCCATAGTTTGCATAGTCAAAAACTATTACAGAGTTGTTTGGACATGCTATATTCAGCGTATTACCTTGACATAGAACTAAAATTAAACATTTATTTCTTGAGTTTCGATTTAAATCTATTACATCATAAATCTATAGGTTTAAGGAACATGTCTTCAAACTTGTCATATCATTGAATTATAGATTTGAGGAACATAAAACTAAGAAAGTTTCGTTTAATAAGAACAACTGTTTTCTACTACAAACATGTTTGTTATTCGCATCAACCTAGATGCTAGTTAATGTGAGATGGATAAAGGTATATTTATATATTGTCTTATCTGCCTTCTCTATAGGCGGTTTGAATCAGATGTGGATACTAACATATTCCAAAGATATGTTAGAGTACCTACTATCTTAGTTTCTTCTCACCTGCAATAGTATTTTAACATATGACTTTTCTATCCTTTACACAAGCATTTCCTATTCCAGTTATTAAAACAACCGACAGCATTTGTCCTATTTTGTTACGTTAAGAGAACGTGTTTAAAAAAAACATTCGGCATTCCTATGGGAGGTAGACTGCATACATGACCTTCTTCAGAAGAATGACAGGAAGCTAGCATTATCCTTTCACTTCACATTCCGCTATATGAATAACTCATTTGGTGACTATGTTACATTTAAACGCATCTATCCAATACTAGTAATAGAAATAAAGGATACAACGGATACAGCTAAGTCTGCGTCATATCTTGACTTAATCTTGAAATTGACAATAACAATGACAACCATAATGCAGTATCTGCTTACCCTTCCGGATCACCTGAGGTCACCCCCGGTTATTTGTAGGTTTGTGCTGCTCAGTCTATATTTTATTTCATTTTATTATTGTATACTGTTGTTTGTATTTTGGTCATTTTTTTTTTCCATGGCGTTCTCAATTTGTCATCGACGAATGAGTTTCAATATCCGTTTGGTATCTTTCGCCTCAATTTTACTCACGGTAACTGAACTTCAACACAATTAAACATTATTACTGCATACCATTACTAGTAAGTAAAAGTTTTATTACAGCCAAATATTGTTTACATTGCTTAATTCCGCCTAACATTTATCAGTAAATGATATTGATACTAGTACCTTTTGTTATTGGATTTACATGTTCATCTGACAGGATTTCTGTAGATTTTGTAATATGATCTACAAATTAATGAGAATATTTTTTTCAATTAATTAATCATTATTGTATTGGTTTTTTTTTTCTTAATTTTCATACAATGTCATTTTTACAGGTAGTTGAAATATTCATATTTATCTATGTATGTTCTGTTTACTATTGATCTTCTTGTATATTATATCAGTCTCATTCAGATGTGTCATGTATTCACGCAGCTTGCTTAAAGATAAAAAAGTCTATCATTTTCAAACTGTTGAATTGATAGATGTTGCCTTTTCCACTAATAATCCAATTCAAGTACATAATTCATACATTTTTGGCTTATAGATTATTAAACCTTATGTTTGTTTTCCGATTATTCATCGTTAAGGTATAACTTTATACTTTTCACATTTAATGTAAAATTCTCAATTACCTGTATCCAATTTATTTAAAGCAAGTACCTGTTGTCATCATTAATGCCGTATCGGTACTACCCTTTGCATTTATATCCCTTTGGTTCATATGATCCCCTGAACCAGTTTCTCTCTGATAAAATGTTGATATTGCATAATTATCTACAGGTGTTAAACAAATTCTATAATAGATTTTCTCTAATTCTTTACCGATTTTTCCTTTTCTAACCTAATTTGTTTTATTTAAGCAAATAGAAGTTCGTGTGAACTCAGTTTTTCATTAATCAAAACTCAATTATGACGTCAAATTTCATGTTTTCGAATGAATTTCATTTTTTGAAAAGGTTATCACGAAAAAAAGCGACGACGTTTGATAACGTAACACAGAAAGAACACATCTTTCTGCAGATCATTGGAAAAGTAGCATTACGTTTTTCTTCGTATCGTCTAAAAGAGATTCTATCACCAAACCTCGTGTAATACGATATTTCTCCACTCTCGACAGTAAAATTCGAAATATTTAAAACGCACGGCGAGCCTCAAGTTTTGAATTTTAAAATTTAAGTGGGAGAAATATCGTAGCACACTTGATGCAGTGGTATAATCCATATTTATATCATGCAATCATCGTTAAAAAAAATCGCAAGAGAAAATTTACTGTGGAAAAGAATTTCAATGAAAGATTTTTAGTTGGACTTCCTTTGATATACCATCAAAATATTTGATGATAAGTAGTTTTCATATTAATCATTTTCTTCACTCGCTGACTAATAAAAAGTTCTTTTAGATATTGTAATAACATGAATAAGTTGCCGGGAATATTTATTGGGCCATCAACTAATGTTTCAAGATGATTATTGTTGAGGTTAAGTCGGATCTGTAATTTTACCGATTGTGTCGTATTACCGATTATGACATTTTGACGGGTGATGCATGCAAAGCAGAAGACGCTTACCCGGTCAATGCACTCGGCATCGTTCCTTTATAAATTCATGCGATTCTCTTAGTATTAGTTTATGATCTCTTCTTAATCGATTTATGAGATTTAAACATTGGTCCACTAGTGTTGTCTCCAATTTTCAAGTTAAATTATTTGCCTAAATTTACATATATCTTTGATGATTTAAATAGGAAAAACAAAGAAATTTAACGAACCTGCATAAATTAAAATCTAATTACAAATTTCGAAATTGCTACTAGACAAAAAAAAGATGATTTTATTTGAGTTTAAAGTTTATTGCAGGTGATCGACACTAATCTTTTATAATTCTATTTCTTTCTAGCCAGTAATTCAATGTTTTATTTTTAAATGCATAGATAGATGTATTTTAAGATGTCATCAAATCTTTTTACACACATTTACTTCCCCTTCCTCAAACCGATAAGCAGACACATGAACAAGATAAATTCAACCTACTTTTACTTGTGATTCTAATAATTTAGTGTTACATGTGTTATGTGCATAACTGTTGATAACAACAACAAAAAAACAAATGTAGTAACTATTGAATTAAATGCATATTAATTCAATCTATCCTAATAGGGGATAGATTGCGTTAACTTTGTGAAGTTGCCGTTTCAGTTATTCGAGTTATCTTTCTTTATACAGTTTCTTTATAATGTAGGTTTGCGATTTTCTGAAAATCAAACTACGCTTCTCGAAATAGGGTCACGTGGCCTAGCGGACCAATATCGTTTGTGACGTCAGTGTATCGTCTGCATTGGCGTTCAGAGATTTAAAGAAGAACAGGCAGACATTTTTCGTCATGGTAAATTCTGGGTTTTGTATTAATATATTTCTATGTAATGTAAGAAAAACCCACCCGCCCACCTCTTGATTTTAAAATGTGTATTTTGGCGATATACTGCTGCTGTTTTGATTTATTTTTCAGGTTTTTATGGACATAAAAATTATATTATTTCCGTGTACCCAATGGTGTATGATGATTCGTCATGGCTCACCAAGTGTAGAAATTCCAAGATGACTCAAGAAGAGATTTAATTAGCTATATTTCGTTCAAATTTTGATCGTTATTCTATAAGAAAATCGCAAACCTACATTATAAAGAAACTGTATAAAGAAAGATAACTCGAATAACTGAAACGGCAACTTCACAAAGTTAACGCAATCTATCCCCTATTAGGATAGATTGAATTAACTTAGGATTCATGCTTGAATAAATACCAAAGAGATATAAATGAATTATTATTTTAATTGGCAAAATAAAGGCCACGGCTCACAAATTTATCAAACATTATCATCAATAAAGATGAAACATTAGCATGATCATGAATCACAAATGATCAAAATTAACACATTAGCGTGGATCACTGTTGATCAGTTATAATATTAGAATGGATCACGATTGATCAATTAAAACCTTAGCATGGATCACGATTGATCAATTATAACATTAGCATTGATCAAGAATGATCAATTAGAACCATCTGTACAAAAAGAGCACTTTATCATTACTGTCCATTTATGAATACTGACATTGACTTTAAAAATACTGGCCCTGGGAACAGAAACTCAGTAACGGATATTATAGTCCATTATGTGAACATGGTGCAAGATTGTTGGCGTTGTGTCGCTTTCCCGCCAAATGGTCACATGTTAACATGCGACCACCGCCATGAAATAAAAAGAAAACGACGCAACAAGCCGTGGCCTTATTGACTTTTGGTTACTATATATTTATATTAATCCCTTCTCTCGCAGGGGGAAGCCTTTAAATAAACGAACGTCATAACACACTGTTGCAAGTGCACGACTTAAATTAACAAATATTATTAAATTTGAAACCGCACAGTTTGTACACTAAATCCTTATCTGCACATTTTCTTCATTAGTAACGCTTACACAACTTCCTGGAGAAAACTTTGAATTCTATACAAAAATTGTTCATTTCCCATGTTTGAAAGATGAACACCATCCTTGTGGAATAGTCCCTTCTCATTCCATGTTATTTCAGGATATTTTATATATCCTCCACCAGACTTAAGACATAACCAACCAGCAAAATTGTTAATTCTGACCGCAGCCCGGTTCAGAGACTTAATGTTTTGGCTTTTCCGCCAAAATAGCCTCGGTAGTATCTGGGACCAAATTAGTGTAGCTTTAGGGAGCAATTCTGAAACCTTACAAAGAGACGACTTAATTTGCCGTCTAAAATTATGTAACTTGCAGGAGCCTATGTTGTTCCCCCTACAATGTATAATTAAAAAATCTGGCTCCTGTTCAAATCTTAATAAATATTTTGTCCTTTGTACTAATTCGTGCCAATTCATGCCCCCTTTACCTTGCCACCAAATGGGACATTTTTCCGCTTCAAACTCAAATGGATGCCGTCATAAGTGGTGCGGGCATGGGTAAATGCATGTTTTACAATGGACGAGCCTATTATCCAAACAGACTTTTTCTCATATCTCTCAAGTGTCCCTATTAAAACACATTTAAATTTTTAATAACACATGTACCAACTATTTACATCTATAAACAATAATTGTCTTTGATTAATATATGACCACATCAAAATAAATTTTTTTTTCATCTGATGTATGACCTCTATGCAACAGATTTCCATCGTCCTAGTTTCATAATTTCCTCATTAGAAATTCCTTTAGCAGAGGCTTCTGAAGCTGCTCCAATCCTGAATGAATGGGACTTGTAGCCACTTGAATCAATACCTATTACATTCAATGCCTTAGATAATATACCAGAGAACTGATAACGAGACACATATTTTCCACCAAGGTGACAAAGTAAAGGACCATTTATATTTGGTCTTACCCTTAGGTATCTTTTTAGTAGCTGTATTGGACAAACTGTGGAATCCGTCTTCCTTATATCAATAGAAATACCCTTACCAGTTTGATCCCCCTTAGAGTGAGTTAAGTGAAGCCTGATAAACTCCCCGTTTGCTCCGCATAAAATTTGTGTACCATGTATTGATATTATATTTTGCGCTTGGCCTAATTTTGTGTAAACCAATTCTCCAACTCGTAGGAAGCCATGAAAGGCGACTGAAAAAGCTGCCGCAAAAAGCAAAGATTCATATGCTGAACAACAAATCGATGGCAATTTTTCAATTATCCTAGCCAAGAGTTCCGATGTAAATGGAAGCCTCTTATCCTTCGAGAACTTAGAGCGTTTCAATCCCTCTAACATTTTTTGTATAATAAAATTTTGTGAAAAGTCCATCAATTGAGACTGTAGAACCTTGCAACAAAAACCGATAGCGGTCACGTAACATCTAACAGTTTTATGTGCTCTCCCTTTCAGTGATAAATATGCAATAAAAAGCACAATATGCGAGGGGGGAGGCGGCCACACGCACTCCATATTAAAGTCTCCGGAATATCTCGAAACTCCGCAACCCCGTTCTATATGTATCCTTCGTGTTCGAAGCTAGAGAGGCATCTACTAGACGATCAATTTCAGATCGGAAATCAGCTGCAGAAAAGTTTCTGGAATTGGTGTCGCCTCTGTCTCTGCTTGTGGTGCTACCATGCGGAATCTGTGCCACTGTTTACGTGAAATAGCATCAGCGATGAAGTTCGAACGACCTTCAATATGTACTGCTTTAAATTGCATATTAAAAAGAATTGTGTGTAATACA